ATTATATTTTCTAATCTACTGTATAAGCAGTTATTTTTCGTGAATTTCAAGGATCATTCATTGATTGCGAATTTAACAACACACACAAATATTTCCAGCATGTAATGTCACATGGGAAAATCATTCAAGTAAGCCCTGTTGCATGTCGTACATAGCGTCTATACACAAGCACAAGCTGCCACAGGGTCGTGGGGTACATTTTGAAACCAAACTAATTGGGCACTTCAATATATTATTTTCATTTTCTTCTCCCGAAATATTTTATTTTATTATGATGATTGTGAAACTCGGTAATGAACTCATGATCCATGGAAATAGAATGATAAATATTGAAAAGTATTTAACGGGTAGTTGTTGTGGCTTTGCGCGAAGTTAACAACTTGCCAGTTTGTCCTGAAACCCTTGATCCGTGAAAATATCTTTGTGCAAAAATATTGGCTTAGACAGTATATTACTCGATCATCCCTCTGTAGTTGAGAAGACTGGGTCTGAAACGCAAACTAGCAGTCATTTACTAAGCTCAGATATATTGGTAATTCCTGAGGCCTAGCTAAACGAAGGGTTGTAGGTTCAGCTATACAGATACTGAAAGATGCTCAACATGGGATGGCAAGATGCGTTCCCACTGTAAACCATGATTTAATGAACGTTTTACGACAGAGAGAACGATAACGTAGTTAACATTTTGTGAAAGAGAGGATGTTTTAAGTATTGAAGTCTTCATGTATAGACTCAGCTGGCTTGTGGAAAAGTGCTAAGTGTATAGACTTTACTTGTGCCTGCAAGAGAGTAAACGGGCGAATGCCGATTTTCAAGATTATTTGTAAGAAAGTGCAGTAGACCTGAATGAAACATACCACATACAGTAGAGATGTATGAGATGATGCAGGGAGGTGCATGTGTTCATGTTAAGGAAAGTCATGTTTTGGAAACGTTGAAGTGAAAACTTTATGTTAGCTTGTATAGGAGGGCTGATAATAGATAGTTCAGTGCACTTTAGTTTTGAGTTGAAAAAAGGAAAGAGAAAACGGTAAAAAATATCAGTTAAAATAGGAGAAGACAGAAGTGAAAGATGAGGGAGGATGGAGGTGTAAGATACGCAGACATCAGTAGAATTGATAAAGCTTCCCCAGCTCAGCTCCACTGGGAAAAAAATTGAAAGCAATAAATCAATTTAATGTAACAAGCCTAATTGGAGAGAGAGATATTTCATACATGTATTTGCAAATGATCAGGGTAATGGAGGAAGGAGGAGAGATGGAAGGAGGGAAAGAGTGAGGGAGGTAGTGAATGAAATGGAGAGAGAAAGAGAGGGGGGGAGGATTGTGTGTAATATAGAAAAGTATGTCAAAATAAATTGAAATGGTAGAAAAAGGGATGAAATATTACAAGAGTAGATGTCATAGACAAGCGAATATGTGACACTTTTCCTGATCCAGCATTGGGAGGAGACTTGTTATCATAAATGATCATTTAATATTCTGTAGTATTGGTAACTACATCGTAATTAAAGAGTAGATGGAGGAATAGAGGGAGGAATAGAATGAAGAAGGAAGAGAAAGATAGAAAATAGAGAACAAGAGAGAGAGAGAGAGAGAGAGAGAGAAGAGAGAATGACCAAATGGGATGGTCAAGAAGATATTGAAAAAGGAGATTAAGGTATGAATATGAATGAAAACAGAGAAAAATTGAGGAAAACATTGAGAGGAGGGTTGTGTGACAAGCCAAATCATTTGAAGTAGACATTGTCCCCCTATAAGATGTCATCAAGGATTGAGAGAAGGATGGGTAGACATTGTGAATAATTCCTTCAAGTGAGAAGAGATCAGAAACCCAAGAAGTAAGAGTACATCACTTCATCCACGAGTGGTCATGACAGTGACTCACGCTACCCCTCCAGGCGATGCCCTCCTCATCACCGTTTGAATGTGATGCACAGTTCTTACCTAGCAATGGACACTTACAATCTATTCCCCACAATCCTAGCTACAAGTCTGGTTTTCCCTTTACATACATGCATTCAGTCATTTGAAGTGCAAGTTCTGAGCATTATGAAACTGATAAATTTGCCAAGCTTGGCATAGCTTTACATGATTACTATTATTACCTTCCTAATTCCTCCTCTTTCTTTTTAGAAATACTTTAGTCTATCACAAATTATCTCTTGTATTAACCCGACACCCACAAAATGTGTAATATCAATAAATTTGTATCTTTAATAATGCATAGGGTAATCTGAAATAACTGGCATGTATCGAAAATCATATTTTGTTCAGGTGAAATTATTTCAGGTCAAGGCTCTTTTTGCATAATGAAGGATTTCCTTCTCTTTTCACCAGAGGTTAGCCCCCCCCCCCCCCTTCAAATATTTCAATCTCGTTCAATCATTAGAGTAGCGGAGGTGTCAGGCGTACATGCAGTTAGCCAGCTGCACAAAGAGAGGGAAGGTGTGATTTCCGCAAGTTGGGGGTATAAAGCTACAAAGTTAACACCTTCCCATGGTGGCTTTGTGTGGTGGGGCAGGTGTTAAGATATGCTGGAATATAGCATTCTATTCAGCGTCGCCGTCGATGTTGGTTATTTCCGCTGCTGACTTCGCTGTGGCGTTTTCTGTAGAGCTATTTGCAAACTGATCTGATATTTTGGTGTTGTACATGTGTACTGGCTGGAATTTCCTTTCCTTTATTTTATACATATACTTGTTCTTACTTACTTGTCAGCCAACACATCCCCCCCCCCTGACTGTCTCTTTCCACTTCATCTATCTGTTTCTCTCCTTTTCTTCTATTTTCTCCTATGCTCTTGCTCTTTCTGATTCTCTCTCTCCCTCTCTTTCTCTCTTCTGTGTTTGTCTTCTCTCTCTCTCTATCTTTGTCTTATTTTTCTATCCCTCTCTTCCTTTGATTTTATTTCTCTTTCTCTCTCTCTCTCTCTCTCTCTCTCTCTCTCTCTATTTATCTTTATATATATATATATATATATATATCTCTCTCTCACTGTTCAATTTTCTCCCCCTTTGTGCCCTCTTCCTCTCGAACCACTCTGTTGGTCGACAGCGTACAAAATACACATTTCTCTTTATTTCTCTTTGTATGTTCTTTGTGTATGCCATGCTTTTTTTCTTTCAATTAATGACTCACTTTTAACCACATTTTATCAAATTATATTTCACTGAGGGATATAATTCCAAGAAACTTACCACATGGTGTTATAGAAACTCTTCAGGCCCACTGGCCATTGAAACCCATAACTCAGGAAACATAAAATGTTTCACTATATCAGATTTATCATTCATAATTTCCCTCGAGATAATTAAAACATAATTATTGTATCGTATACTTTGAAGCAATTTGTCTTAACTTTATTTCCCTAAGATGAGATTGAGAAAAAGACATAATTCGTCCTTGTTTTCACGAAGTGACGGTAGTAAGGAAAATCATAACGCAAAGTGAATGCAATTTTGTTTCACTACCGTCACTTCGTGAAAACAGCGTCGAATTATACAATTGCAACAGATGGCTTTCAGGCACAATGCTTGTAGTAATCAAGCTCAGACTCTGTCTTGAACTCATTTGTATTTGAATGAATGATTTAGAATATAAATGGTGTGAAAAGAGATGTCAAATTTGCCACTAAATAACCCCATCATATGTGGCACTCTGCCTTCTACTACTGGACCATAAATCTAAACTAGATGAAGTAAATCCACAACTTCTACTTGTAGGGTCTGCAGTTGTAAACTACACAGATACCACCCTCAGCTCTATGATGACATTAGGGGATTTCCCTTTGTCTTGCCAACTGCACACAGACACATGGGCAAATTGCTACTATCCCGGTATTAATTCCTCTTTCCATTTCGCAATCTTGAGTTTTTCCGACATGGTGGAGGAGTATATTTTATCTCCCACTAACCTTGGGTATTTTTCCTTCTCAACATTAAGCTATTTTCTGCATCTCTGTTTTCTATTTTGGGAATTATCAGTTAAATGTGATTCCTCTACTGAGGCAGGTATAAAAAGATTCTGTGATAGGTTCTTGAATCATAAAAAGCTCTCCTACTCATTCTTTCCCAGCTGCAGATATTTCTCTTTAGTTTAGAGACCTTAAAGTTTATATTTGAGAAAGGTTCAGGCACATATTTATTTGAGTTTGCAGATTCAGTTTTATTTTTGGAGTGCCATAATAGGATTATTATAATATAACACATTTAGATAGCCCGTCTTCCATGGTGTAGTAAAATTGGCTGTTTGAAATTAAGCTTCTGTTTGTCTTCAATTAAGGTATGCCCAAGGATATCAGAACATTTTATCAAAAACTTGTCAAGAAGCAAATATTTGAAGAGCAGGAAAGGAAACTTCTGTGACTTTGCCTGCAAGATCTTGATGTAACCAGAATTTTATTTAAACACAAGAAATCAATTTGTGGAGTTCATGTATCAGCAAGTGAAGTGATCTTTCAGCAACGTTAACTTTGTAAAGCGACTCGCATATTCATCATTATTCAACTTGACCTCGCTGACAATTTAAGTCCTGCAGATTGATACATTCCGGAAACATAATGCGCATTATTTGATGGAAGGTCTCAAACTATTTGTAAGATAGCTTTGCATCAATTTCTACAATCAGAATTCAGCCATAATATGTGATAAGAACCTACAGGCAAAGTGTGTGGATAAATTGGCATTTTAAGAGCGATGACTCAAGTTTGACTGAAAAATTGCCTTTTGTCAAGCTTCTTCATCATCATCCGAGTTATTGGCAGTAACACCATCATCATCATCTTTTGTGAAAACTTTGTAGAGACTTGTGCTGCCAAGAGTGTGGAAATACAACCTACTGATATTTGAACTTGACCCTCATCAGCATCATCAATATTTTCTAAACATAATTATCCAAGGAGATTAAAAACAATCATGTTATCTGCACCCCACTTAATCCTGTTTCTTACCCTCCTCTCCCCTTCGCTGTGCCGAATCTTCATCTCTACCTCCTCCACAGGACCATGTGACATGGTCCTCTGTATCTTCGGAGCGGTGTGCGAGGAGAACGAGCAAGGGCGGCCTCAGTGTATCTGTGATCGCCAATGCCCGGACATGATGGCACCTGTCTGCGGGTCAGACGGGACAACGTACCTCAGTGAGTGCTTTCTGGATAAAGCTTCATGTGAGCAGAAGAAGAGAGTTTACGTTGCATCACAAGGATCATGTGGTAAGTAGACAAATTTTCTTTCAGATTAATATTTTAATCAAAATGTTTCTCCAAAGATATTTTCAGTTGTTTGGATTAATCCTAAGAAGCTCTTGCCAGCTTACCCTAGGTAATTAACTTATATAAGAACATAGCTGGCATAAAATCAAATGAGATATATAGATATTTTTAAAAGGTCTCTCTTATATGAATGTGATGTACTTGACAATTATTTATGCTTTTGTTAGCTTTTTCATTGGATTCAAAATTAATTTGAATACCGGTAGTATGATTTTCCTCTCTATTAATTTAGTTTATCAAAGAGAAAGTTCAATTTAGAAGCACACACAGAGATAAGAACATGCCATTATTTCCAGTATTTACATTTTTTTTAAACCAGGAAATATTAAATGAATTGCCATTACTCCATCAGAAACAATCTGACTTTCTCTATTCAACTAGAAACGAATATGCCAATCTTCTTAATTTACATTTGCTTTTAAAGAAATTCAAACTTTGTTGCTCAAACCGTCCCGCTCCTCATTTCAAAGTTATTCCTCCCATGGCAACAAATCCAACAAAAACAGAAAATATTTTGAAACCCATTAGAAAAGAGTTGGAGGGGTCAGGTCATATGGTTGGTAGAGAAATTTGAAACTTGCTCTGTCCATTATGAAGAGTGCTTGAGGCCTGATCGTGTTGATTTTCCAATTAGCCGTTACAGTCTTGTGGTTGTAGCAAAAGTTTGGCTATACAAGAAAAGTGTGACGTTCAAGGGCCTGCCTTGCTTACATAAGTTTTCGCAGAAGAAAACTTGCAACTTTTTAATAGAAAATAATGCAAGTACTTGTTTTACAACTCTGGATCAAAGGGAGGGAGGGAGAGTCATTTAAACATTAAAATTAACACACTTCATAACTTTGTACATTCTTCAAATGACTTTCAAGTAAATGTAAAGAAAATTTAATAGATGTATATTTGTATGCTTCATTCATATTATCAAAATGGTTCTGGCACTTTTTTTTTTGCTCTGGCAAAAATTGCTTTAAGGTCAATATCTTATATTAATTTTATTCCTCCTAAATTCAACCCATCCCCAAAAGTATACATACCAACCCTAACCCTAAATCCAACCTTAAACCCAGTTGCAACCCTAACCCTTACCCTCTATTTTGAATAAAATAAAGCTTGGAGCAGTTGTGTTTGGAGCAAGTGTTTGTGGACCTTAAAACTGGTCTGAAACACCACACTACCTTACTAATTCATCCTTTGAAAATCTGAGACCCTAAATATGAAACTGGTTTCTTGCCAAAGCACCCAGTCTGACCTAGAAAGTGTTATACAGACATAACATGTCTCACCTCGTTCTTAATCATCACTTTACATACAGGTGTGTTAAATCAGTAATATTGTCCAAGCGTTGAAATAGGTCACTCGATTGGTTGTGTCTTTCCCAATCAAGTTAGACAAACTGCTGAAATTGTGAACAAACATATTACTTGCTCGTTGCTTGTGAACTGTTTTGATCTCTTACTTACACAGTGACATGGGTGTGTTTCCACTGTTTGTAGAACGTGTCTCATGGGAGGAAACGCTTTTGGGAACAGTAGTGAAAAATTTTTATGACAAAGAAGGATGTTCAACAGATCCAGCAGGTTGATACAAAACTAAATTTTGATGAATCGATATTTGAATAGCATTTGAATACTTTATCATAAAATAAATTTTCTTTTGAGATACAAATATGTTTACATAACTGATTAAACAAAACCTGTGAAGAAGTTTTCAACACAAGGGAAGTTCACACTCTTCAGTACAATCACTATAAGACTAAATTTGATTACTTTATTTTTCTTTGATTTTACCTGAGCTTTTGAACTATTTTAACATTCTTAGATAAAAAGATGTGTTCAGAAGATATGGAGTGAGTGGAATGTCTTTTTTCAGTCTTCTTTTTGCATTCTAATTGGATCAGGATCAAAATCTTCAACTGGATTATCTTGATCATTCGCTATTAGATGCAATATAAAAAGATGCGATCATTAAAAACTTGGCATCATTACTGGAAATGTTACCTCTTCCACGCTCTTGTCTTAAGTGTTAGCATATTTTAGGATTTGGATCTACGCTATCATTAATCTTTATGTTGTTTAATAAATCACAGAATCAGAATGAAAAATGCCAAATTGTATCTTCGGATCGTAATTGTAAACGTTACACTCTCCACATTTCATGTTCACTCGTGTGAATGCACCCACCCCAAAGACTTTGGCCCTCATCACACACACACACACACACACACACTTTGGTCCTTACCAAACAGCCCAAACAAACAGAGCCATGAATAGAGCATCAAGTTTGTTCTTGACATTCTCCTTTGTCTGCGACTCCTCTGTGTAAGAAATGAGAGACCCCTGTCAAAATATAATTTCTATTTGCTCAGGAAATAGTTTGGCTTAGGGGACATCTTGCAAATGTTTGCTGGAGAAACATTTAAAGGGAACGCTTCTGAAGTAAATCTGAACATGATTGAACTTGAATTCCTTCTCCTTTGAAATTGAAATTGAGGAGGCCAATTTGCAGCTTAATCTCAAATCGATAGCTATCAAATGACAGTTTTTTTTTTAATATCATTACCGGTACTTTTCAATTTCACGTGTATTTACATATTCCACATTGAATAGAATATAACCTTAAAAACATTCCCGATATGACCCTATAAATACAATATGAACGAAAATCATAAATTTTATATCATTTTAATCAAGTTTATGAGATGGATATACCTTTATGTAATTTGTATAAAGAAAACTATTTCTACCCATTTTTTTCTTCAGATGAGACCACACTCTCTTGTTTATTGTATCTTTATTTGATTAAATCACAATCCTTTGTTAACCTGGTATTGATATTGATTTTGATTTGATTTGATTTCAATCCTATCAGATGAGCAGGATCCATGTGAGGGTGTCCAATGCAGCTTTGGATCCGAGTGCATGATAGAGGGCGACAGAGCAACATGTGAATGTCCCAATGCGTGTCTGTCGATCTACAGTCCTGTATGTGGGAGTGATGGTGTTTCCTATGGCAACACGTGCGAGATGGAGGCAGCCAGTTGCAGGCAACAGAAAGAGATCACTCTTGTTAATGAGGGGATGTGTGGTATGTATAATATTGTTTAATTTATCAGCAAAAAGGAGGATTATTTTGTATATATCAAACACTGATTATATTACCGGTAAACACATTAATTAGCAATACCAAGAAAATGAGAGATCTTAATGCCCCCATCATCACTGCTTGCAGGGAGGCCCATACTATCGAGTCAAGTATGTTACAATATGCTGTACATACACTGCAGATATACAGATACGGTATACTAAACTATCGCAAGTGGCTCAGGCTTGGATATTGAGAATTTGGTGAAAAATACTGTTAAATCCTGAATAACATCATGAACTAAAACAATGATTCAAAGAAAGTTTTATGTATTAAAATCTGGATTTTATTTTTCCTACAGAAAGCTCCTTTTTGTCATCCCTTCTTCATATATATGTATTTCTTGCACAACTTTATAATTCTCCCCCTTTTCTATTCCTTCCAAAGTTGAGGTGGATCCATGTGACAACGTGACATGCAACTTCGGAGCTTCCTGCGTCGTAGAGGGCGCTGTTGCAAGTTGCCTGTGTCCTGAGATATGCCTGGAGAGTTACAACCCGGTGTGCGGTAGTGACGGTGTCGATTACAACAACGAATGTGATCTGAATGCTGCTGCTTGCTCGCAACAAAAAAGTGTAACTGTGGTGTTCCAGGGTTTGTGTGGTAAGTCTTCTTTCAAACTGGAGATTTATTATCTAATGTATATATACAGTGTGTCTCTAAAAAAAGTAAACCCAACTTCAACGGCAAATTTTCAGAAAACTATAAAATATTTACACATTATTTTTTCATGGTTAGATAGTCCAATAAGTCCTCTGTCCAATTATATCACTTAGGTTATCTGACGCTCATGCATGACTGAGCATGATTCAACTTAGTGAACTGGTGTCAAATCATCACTGTGGCAAGTTATTTCTTGCTATTGTCATGCATTCAGGGCCTATTTGAAGTTAAATTTTTGTCACATGTTAGGCCTATGATTACATAACAACTTCAGCAAAGGTTGTTCCTAACACAGACACACTTCACATGCTTTCCAAACATGGTACAGTTGACAATTGAGCAGAGAGTATTCCTGGTAACTCGATACCAGGAAACAAGAAGTTTTGTGGAAGTTCAAGATGCTTTTCGGGTGCAGTTCCCCGAGAGGCAGCCTCCAACAAAAAGAGCCATCTGGTACAATGTGAGAAAGTATGCTGATCACGGAACCAGTTTGAACAGGAATAAAGGACACTCTGGCCACAGACGAACTGGGAGGTCTGCTGAAAACATCCAAGTGGTAAGAGAGGCCATCCAAGCCAACCCACGCATAAGCACCAGGAGAAATGATACTGGAATACCACGCGCAACTTTTAACAGAATAGCAAGACTGGATTTGCATCTCCATCCATATCATGTTCATGTTCAGCACCAACTTCTACCAGCTGATTTTCCCAGACGACTTCAATTTTCACAATGGTTTGTGAACCGGTGCAACCGAGATCGACAGTTCCTCCAGTTTTTTTACCATCGGGGATGAAGCAACGTTTTCCATGGATGGAATGGTAAACACCCACAATGAGCACGAGTATGCTGAACTCCATCATCCACCGGGATATGCTTTTAATAAGAACATGAGCAGGGAGAAAGTGAGTGTCTAGATTGGTCTTTGTGGCAATGGTTCATTGGTGGGACCTTACTTTTTTGAAGGCAACATCAATGGCAGGGCGTACCTTGACATGCTGAACAATTTTATTGTGCCTGAGATGGAACAGATCTTCCCCCGACAACGACGTGGAGCATTCCGCAGGGCCTGGTGGGCTCAGGATGGGGCCCCAGCCCACAGACTTATTGCTGTGAGGAATCGTTTGACTGAACTCTTTGGCAATCGCATCATTGCTCTTCATTTCCCAGTTGAGTGGCCTGCACGTTCACCAGATCTGACACCATGCGATTTCTTTCTTTGGGGGTATCTTAAAGGAAAAGTGTTCCAAACCCCACCGGCCACAATTCAGGAGCTGAGGCAACAGATAACAGGTGAAGTGAACCGATTACGACAAGATCAGGGAATGATCAGGCGTGCATGCTGTCAGGGACATGAGGAGGCGTTGCGAGCTTTGCATGGAAAGGAATGGCGGTCATGTCGAGGGTACACATCCCTAAGCTATGCTTGTAAGAAATCAGACATTTCCTATGTCATTTGATTGATGAACTTCCAGTGCAATTCTAACTTGCCACAGTGATGATTTCACACCCATTCACTAAGTTGAATCATGCTCAGTCATGCATGAGAGTTACATAACCTACGTGGTATCATTGGACAGAGGACTTATTGGACTATCTAACCATAAAAAATAATGTGTAAATATTTTATAGTTTTCTGAAAATTTGCCGTTGAAGTTGGGTTTACTTTTTTTAGAGACACACTGTATATAACAGTGCGAGAATTCTCAACTCTGACAGAATATGTAGGCATGAAGAAAATGGTCTATGAATGTGAAACGTAGCTGTACAAATACATTGTATGAATATTTTTGTATGTATTTGCACTTCAGAACCTGAAGAAGGCCTCACAAGCCAAAAGCTTGTAATAAAATTGTAAAGTACAGCTACGTTTTACATTCTTTCAGTGGTATATATTGGAAAAACTGGTATGTCAAAACTAAACATAATATTGTTGAGAAGGAAATGCAATCTCTGACCCTTGACCCTTGACCCTAATTGGTGCATCTGTTATGATAGTTTTTGAAAATTTCTTAAAAGCAAAATGAAATTGATATAAAAGATATACATGTATAAATAAATTAAGAATTTCCCAAGTTTATGATTTCCTAAGAAGATACAAAAAATTGTTTGGACTAGAAGTTGGATTAAAATTTTAGCAGATTTCTTCAGTCATCCCTGGTATGTCATTTAAAATACCTGAAAAGACCTTTGATACTAATCTGATAAATCTCTTTAAATCATATATGTTTTGTTCTTAGACCCTTGCCAAGAGGTTGAATATGAGAATTCAGTGTGTAAGCTGGATCGTAATCGTGAGCCCCAGCCAGGCTGCGATTCCAATTGTCCTAACAGCGTGATAAACCCTGTATGTGGATCTGATGGTGTGACGTATGACAATGACTGTGAGATCAACAGAGCTGCATGTCTGAGTAACCTAGAGGATATCTTAATCACCTTCACTGAGGGCCCCTGTGAGGACGGAACACGTAAGTGGATTGAAAAGTCTTTTTCTTTCATATACAGGAGAAATATATAGCAGCTATACCAAAACAAAATGTACCAAATGCTTCTGTTGTACATTTTCTTCTTATCCTGATGGATTATTTTCAATGAAAATTGTGAACTAATATTGATCAAGTATGTTCTTGACTTTGAATAAATAGAACGGCATTAAAAGAAAGTGATCAATAACTATATAATACCATGCATACTGCAAACATTACCAAGGATGGCTAACTGAAATATCATGTGAGCTGCTTGTAGGAAAAATGGTATGATCATCCCAACTTTAGATAGATTGGGATCTCAGTTTTGATATTGAACTTCTCATATACAATTAAATGCATTACACTCTTAATCGCCAATAGGATATTACAAAAAGAAACAACAAAAAAGCAAGCAATTATAAAAACATATCACAGTGAATATTAAGCTTGCATACTAAACTTTAGGGTGTATATACATGTAAATGTAAGCTTAAATTCTAGATTTCAATTACTTTAATCAAAAGATTTCTCAACCTTATTTCTTTCACACCTGCCCTAGATCCCTGTGAAGAATTCACCTGTGACTATGGCCAGTGTTTGGTAGACGATGCTGGCATGCCTCAGTGTGTGTGTACGCCCTGTCCCGAGGTCTTTACTCCTGTCTGCGGCAGCGACGGTCTGACGCACTCCAGCATGTGCCACATGGAAGAAGCCAGCTGTATGGAACGCACTGACATTACTCTAGCAAAAGAGGGCGTTTGTGGTGAGTGAGAGAGAGAGAGATACTTGCATGTTTGTTTCTTGCAGCGCAATTAGACTGTATTTTAGTTAACCCACATACATGAAATATCAGTGTGGGGTCTTATTGGTGTTTTCTTCTTTGTAGATTAATTATACTACAATTGTGCCCAATTAGCAAGGAATATAGTTTGTTTGGAACAAGGTTGCATACATGAATTGTGAGTAATTTTTTTTTTTTTTTTACCAAAGCTGAAATGTTGAAATGAACAGACAGTGATATAGATTCACTCTTATTTGTTCAGACTGATTTTTTTTGTATAGATGTACATTTAGTCAAAGAAAAGTTGAAACTTAAATTTGCTTCTTTCTAGAGATGGAGATGGGCTGACCATGCATCCATTCGTTCCTTTATACTAGGATTACAATGAAATTTTAGATAACTTTTTCAGATATTTAGTCTGTAGTTATGAGGTTCAAAAAAATATTCAAACATATGTGATGATCTTACTATCTCCTTTTGACTTGCCCTTCTCTTGCCCTGTAGATGGAAGTAATATAATCGGTTGTCAAACCCCAGCATGTAATAAGACAGAGGGCGCTGTGAGCCCTGTGTGCGGAACAGACGGTAACAACTATCCAGGATTGTGTGCTTTGCAGGAGGCTGCTTGTGAAGCCGGGATCGATATTCAAGTTGCAATTAATGGACCTTGTGGTATGTCACCAAAACTTTGTTTAACTTCTTTTAAAGTCCGTCTTTACTAGTTTGGCCAGGAGGGATTAGACCTCCCTGCATGGTCACTGAAAGGTGGTTATCTCATCAAATCAGCTCTCAATTAAAATGAGAAAAGGGGGATCATGGGGGACCAATAGGCACCGATAAGGCATTGTCTGCTATATAGATGGCGCAAGAAGCTATAAGTAGTGCAGGGGGGCTTTAAACAAAATATTTATTTTTAAAAAATCCTGTCCAATTCACCACAAAAAGACCAGATAAAGTGAATAAAAAATGATAGAGCCATATAGTGTATAACGTGCTAGTATGTTGTTCAAATTTCTGTACATTAACTGAATTCTGGTGCTGTAACATATGTTACAATTCCAAGTTTTATTTTATCAAAGATATACTGTTATGGTGGCAAGCGGGTTTTATGTAAGGGTTGAGTCGGGAACGATAGTAGTGTTTGCTACAAGGTTGAAGTTAAGTACAGTCAAACCTGCTTTAGTGACCACCTGTCTACAAAGACCACTTTTTTGTTTCCCTTGAAAATGGTTTCTCATTGAAACATGTACTTCAGAAACCTGTACATAAAGACCACTTTTCTGGTCTCCTTTGAGTGGTCTTTATAGACAGGTTTCACTGTATTTGGTTATTACAGGCTTTCAAATGTGAAACAAGTGTTGCTTGAGCATGTGTTCTACTACCTTAGTTTCATCTGAATTAAATTAAAATTTTCAATTATTAATTATTCAGAGTCCTGTGAAACAACAAATTGCAGTCATGGGTCATTTTGTCAGATGACCCCTGACGGGCCGACCTGTACATGCAGTGACCATTGCCAGACGATCAATCTACCTGTCTGTGGGTCAGATGGAGAGACGTACGCCAGCGAGTGTAAGCTCAACGTGATGGCATGCAATGCTAGGAAGAACATTACAGTTGTCTCGTATGGAGCATGCGGTAAGTGGGAAATAATTTCAGGTATTTCTTTATTTATTGGGTAAATTTGTTGTTGTTGTGAGACACATTTTCAATAGACTCCAAAGCATAGGCTAGAAATGTATTTGACCCAGTCAAGTTTAGATCACCTAGAAAGTTGTTATCTGATATCATTAATTGAAGTTGTGGATAAGTTTATTGATTGAAAGACATATGTAGGAGATTTGGTAAAGCAAAAAGACTATGATACTGGTGTGTTAAAAAGAGAAATTTGCCTCTGTGTCAAATTCCTGTTTGGCAAATCCATACTTACAATATTGCTTGTCGTTTCATATGAATTTGATATTGCTAAAGAATATTTACTTTTGTCTTGAACATTCCTTAGCATTCTAGAATGATGTTGAATATGTTAAATAATGCAATGTAAACATAAAGAATTTTTATCCTTTTACAATATTAACACTTCTTATCACTCTTATACTTTAAGACCTTGTATGAAAGTGTTGAATGCTATTGTTACTGCTGTTGTTGCTGCTATAGTTGTTATTGGTCAAATTAATTCTGACTATTTGATATGATGATGACCATTACAGAGGACTGTGTTGGTGTAACATGCGAGACGGAGCGCTTCAACCAGGTGTGTTACCAGGGTATGTGTGTATGTCAGGAGTCCTGCCCTATGTCACGCTCCGATGAAGACATGGTTTGTGGTTCGGACCAGGTGACCTATGACACCGTGTGTCATCTCAAGATGTCAGCATGTCAAGCCGAGTCCAACCTCACTGTGGAGTACTATGGACCCTGTGATGGTGGGTTTCTTCTTAATTCAAAAGAATAAATAGATATACCAATCAGATTTAGAAGTACTAATTGATTTGATGCTTTAAAAAGTGTCATTGTATTATTGTTGAAATATGTGTAGCTGTATGATAGATAATCTTATCGTTTGAATCTGTATGTATTTAGTTGCTCTAAATTGGCAACATATGAATAATGGAAGTAAAACAGACGTACAGTAATTACCATCTAAGTGTGAATAAATGATAATTTTGAATAAAAGAGCAGTTTTCAGAATATGTGAAGATATCTTTATTAACATTCCTTCATGCCACAATAATATGATATGTAGATAGATTTATTTACAACCAAAATGAGGTATTCTCTGTTGATGTTTTATGAAAAGGAAAGAGTTTATGATAATTCAACTATTTTTACTGAAGTTCTGTGATTTTTGTACCAAATCAGGATATTAGATTTTCTTATATCTTTTATTTATCTCTCCTCCTTTTTTTACCCTCAAAACAGAGTTCTCCGGAAGTGGCACAGAGTTCCCTGATTATTCAGGCAGCGGCGCCACGCCTCCCAATGAATTTGAGTTTGACCTCTGTGACGAGACCTCATGTAGCTTTGGTGGTATATGCCGCCCTCTATCGGCCGATACTTACGAGTGCATCTGCAAGTTCAATTGCCCTGCTGTGAGGTTGCCTGTTTGCGGTTCGGACGGGGCAACGTATGGTAACGAATGTCAGCTCAAAGAAGCGGCCTGTGAACAACAGTCAAGTATCGTCTTGGAGAAGATTGGCACATGTGAAGGTAAAGAGCAAGATTATTTCTCTGTAAATGTCTTGTTCATTTTGTCAGAAGCCAAATATCACAAAGAGAATCAGTGATCCATATTTGTAGAATTTTGGAAAATTGAAAAGAAAAATTGTTTTGCTCAGCCTTGGGTGTAGAAATATATATATATATATATATATTTCAACTCGGTTGTTTACCTTTCAACAATTTGTTACATATATCAAACAGATGTGCAAAATGTTTGGAAATTCAGAGAGTTGATGATATTGTTTGTATTACTGATGTATATTTTTTAGTAAAATAGTCATTGACTTTATATTCGATCACTCCATATTTCTTTCAATTCAATGCAAAATAAATTCACCATTGGAAATTAAGAACATTCCGAAGAAATACACGGTATCATCGTGTAATACTTATAATTAATTTATACAGAACGTAAAAATCATTCTTTTTGTTTACCTGCTTGTAGTGATGAATGGATGTGCTTTGTTAATGATCATCATTAAAACCTTTTCTGTGAAATTTCAACACAAGAATGAAAAAAATAAAAGCAAAACAAATTTAAATTTCCTCATTTTCCATTTGCCCTCTTGTAGATGTTGAGATGGAGCCATGTGATGGTGAGAGCCCTCTAGTAAATGAGGCAACCATGGAGGCATACACCTGCCAAGAAGACAATGGGGGCGAGGATTGCCCCTCCGGTAGCTACTGTCATATACACCCCCTTGGAAGGTTCTCTGCTTGCTGCGCTGGTGAGCTAATAGTTCTTGAGGCATAACCAGGGGTAATAGGGGAGGGGATGGGAAGGGGGAGGATTGCCCCTCCGGTAGCTACTGTCATATACACCCCCTTGGAAGGTTCTCTGCATGCTGCGCTGGTGAGCTAATAGTTCTTGAGGCATAACCAGGGGTTATAGGGGATGGGAAGGGGGAGGATTGCCCCTCCGGTAGCTACTGTCATATACACCCCCTCGGAAGGTTCTCTGCTTGCTGCGCTGGTGAGCTAATAGTTCTTGAGGCATAACCAGGGGTTATAGGGGAATGGGAAGGGGGAGGATTGCCCCTCCGGTAGCTACTATCATATACACCCCCTTGGAAGGTTCTCTGCGTGCTGCGCTGGTGAGCTAATAGTTCTTGAGGCATAACCAGGGGTAATAGGGAATGGGAAGGGGGAGGATTGCCCCTCCGGTAGCTACTGTCATATACACCCCCTCGGAAGGTTCTCTGCTTGCTGCTCTGGTGAGCTAATAGTTCTTGAGGCATAACCAGGGGTAATAGGAGATGGGAAGGGGGAGGATTGCCCCTCCGGTAGCTACTGTCATATACACCCCCTCGGAAGGTTCTCTGCTTGCTGCGCTGGTGAGCTAATAGTTCTTGAGGCATAACCAGGGGTAATAGGAGATGGGAAGGGGGAGGATTGCCCCTCCGGTAGCTACTGTCATATACACCCCCTCGGAAGGTTCTCTGCTTGCTGCGCTGGTGAGCTAATAGTTCTTGAGGCATAACCAGGGGTTATAGGGGATGCTAGGAGGCAGAGGAAAGAGGGAAGCCAAGGGGAGGGAGGAACAAAGGATGTAAAAGAATGAGGTAGGGTTTTGTCACATCCATCTTCTAGAGAAGTTTTCTGCACCGGTATGAAAGTGGTTCTTGAGTATAGCCCAGGGTTAAATGCATATAGAAAGAGGGAGGGGGAAGAGGGAAAGATGAGGATAAGTATTGCCCCTTTGATAGCTACTGTCATATACACCCCCTCTGGAGGTTCTTTTTTTGCTGTGCCAGTGAGCAAGTGGTTCTTGAGGCATAACCAGTAGGTAAAGGATAAGGAAGGAGGGAGTGGGAAATTGAAGAGATTGAAAGTGGTGTTTGAATTAAAGTTTAGATTAATAAAAAGCTATAAAGTCAAAAAGGCTCATATCTGTAAGGAAAATGGGGTTTGATTTGTATTTGGATATTTACTTCTTTTTTTTAAAGAGATTTATTATTTATTTTGCATGATGACAAAAATCTGAGAATTATACAAATCAATCAGTCAAGGTGCTCATTCAAACATTCTGTAGAAAATTCAATGCATTTATGGTCTTGTCAAGGTTTTACTTCAATCTGATCTTTAATATCTTCATCTTATTATTCAATATAATTATAATTATCATGTAACTATTTATTTAATCAGTATTTCATATTTCATAATTACATGAATACATATAATTCATTCTTTTACACTGTTATTTAACATTAGAATTGTAATAATTTCCTTAGTCATGCAGTAATAATATTTTCAGAGATGAAAGTGAACATCTTTAAACAATTATAGAAAAGCATGTTTCATTCATCATATAGAATGATCTAGTCAGACCCATTTTTGAAGTATAAACCTATTTTGTACTTCAAACGAAACTAATTTCTAAGTCATTTACAATTTTTTTAAATATATATTTGGAAAACAGTGACATTTTTGGGGCTCTTATTAAATTACAGTCCTCTCAGTACTATTTTTATTTTCAAGAAAGAGAAATATATCATTGTGCAATACGACTTTTTTTCTTTGTCATGAGCTCAAATTAACTACTATTTTGAAGTTCTATTCCATAAACAATTTATATATTCATTCTAAATTGATCAGTATTTATAAATAAGGATGTAAATATAGCATTTAAAAATCAACATCATTGTCATTAAACAGTGATGAGGTACTTGAATCGTTACTAGGTTTATATATTTACATGTATATTGTGATATTCAGTAATATATTAAATATCTGTAATGATATGGGCCTTGATTATTTTACAAAGATTAGTGCTTATAACGTATGATAGATACATGTAGTTCATGCAACCAACTAATTGTAGTATTATTATGTTTTCTCCCTACCTTATTATATCTCCTTATCCCTTTCTTTCTTAATTCCTATCCACCCATCATATCTGAAATCTACATGTAAAAATCATTCTCTGTTAATTTCATATGTAATCCTTTCATTCTATGTTCTGTATGCTCCCATGCTGTTGTAATTCTTTGCTATTTGTATTCTACTTTTTGTATTATGTCATTTTTGCGTATTATTTCAATCTGTGTCTTTTTACTTGCTTCTTTCCTATCTCATAATGTAACTCTCTCTCTCACCATCTTGTAATGTACTTCACAATGTGCTTTGCTACTAAATTATTATAACCGTTAATGTCTTTACTACCATATGCAATGCCCTTTTATGTTACTTGTAAATACATTGTATTTGTTTTTCCTGTGTTGACTTTGTGTGTTTTCTATCGTCTATTTTCTTGTGCTCTTGCATAATAAAATGCATCTTTCTTGCCTTGTGATGGGTTTCATAAACATGTGTCTTACTTTCTACTTCTTTGTCATGTCACTTTTCTGCTTTGATGTTGTAATTATTTCTCTGTTTGACTCTTTATATCTGTCATGTTTTATCTATTCATTTATTTTCTATTCTTATTTTCATCTCTTATCCACTTTTGCCCTCTTATTTGCTTTCACTTTGTCAATGTCTCTCTGACACTTTGTTTTTCTCCTTCTTTCTCCTCCCATCTGTCTGTCTGTATCTGACTGTATCTGATTACCTCTATCTCTCTCCCCCTCTCTCTCTCTCTCCTTCCCTATCTCTCTCTCTCTCTCTCTCTCTCTCTCTCTCCTTCCCTATCTCTCTCTCTCTCTCTCTCTCTCTCTCCATCCTCTCTCTCCTTCCCTATCTCTCTCTCTCTCTCTCTCTCTCTCTCCTTCCCTTTCTCTCTCCTGTCCCTTGTTATATTACTCTGGCTCAATTAAACTTCTCTCTTTTTTCTCTGCCCATCTTTGTGACTGTCTATTGATAAACCCTCTCCCACTATTTAATCCTTGTCCACCCTCCTTGCATTATTCATCTATCCTTCTACCTTCCCTCTTTCATGTCTGGATCTGTTCTTCACTCCATCCAACTCGGTTCGGGAATGGCTCCCTTAGTCACAGGAGGTTGGTCTTTGATTACTGTTCCTACTATTTAACTAAGTTGATAAATGGTATATTTTGATCATCAAAATCAATGGAATTATGATAAAAATTGTTGAAACTCTTGAAATCATAAAAGGGATGCTATGAGAAGTGCATTTTAAAGTTTAACGCTTCCTTGTAAAATGGAGAAAAAAATAGAGAAATCAATAAAGAAAATGTGTTATCATTGATCAGATATTCACTTGAAATATAGAATGAACTAATTCTGATATAGATTATATAAGGATAATAAAAGAGTGATAATTCATAGCCATAAATATTTGAGGAAAATCCCTCATGCTTTGCTTTAGAATTCACCCTCCTAGTTGAGCATATTTTCCTTAATTTTCAAAACAGAGATGCTTCCAAAAACGCTGTAAAAGTTAGGCTTGTACTAACTTTGGCTTGACCAATTTATAGCTCAAAAGATATAGATATTGTTAAGATACATCATAATGTAGTTGAGAGTGTTCATGTAGATAAACATGAAAATCATGAACTTTAACATTCATATAGATTTCCTAAATTCCTAAATTTTGTAACCAAATTTACATAACCCCCTCTTTAACAAGTACAATATTTCCCTAGTAATTAGGTTCATGTGTTCCTTATCTAACATGAATTCTGTAACAATTATATTCTTATTTATGTATACTATTTACACACAAAAATGTATACAATGTTATGTTTCTTCTATAGCCATTTCCCCATGAATACGCACTACATGTTTGTAAAATTGGAATCCTCCCAGAAAAGGAGGTATAAATTAGAAAATACTACAATATTTTCAAATTGAAAATGAAATTGAAAAACATAAATGAGATCTTGGGATTCAGCTTTACGGACTTACTTTTCACAATTTTCATTTAAACTCCTGGTGATGTTTCAAAATTAAAATTATTTGCACCTAATGCCCATTTGGCACTCATAAGGTATCCAACAAAGGTAGCCAAAAGGGCGTAACTCCATTTCAATGTAATGAATGAACGCCCTTTGGTCTTCAGAAGACCATACAATTTTCTTTGTCTAGAAAATGTGGAATAATTGAACATTGTAATGAGCATGAGTAATTGATTTGGTGGTAGCTAATTGACTTGTGACTGCCTGTATACAGAGCAAACCTCCCAACCAAGCTGCGTGGAATCAGTGTTTGGATGTTGCCCTGACAACCAGACCGAGGCTCTGGGTAGCAACGGAGAAGGATGTCCAAGTGAGTCACACTTTAATCGTCTTATTGCTTTCTTCAAATATTTGAAATAATGAGTATTACATCTATTAGTCAGGGGTATTAAACAATGATTAAATTTGATAAATTCATCCCTGAAATACTGCACAGAGAGAGAAATGGATGGTATTTCTCCATATCTTTGAATATTGCCCCAGTGATTTCATAACACTTGCTACATGTACATGTATTACTCAAAATTGTTTCTAAATTGTTCTCTTGAAGTTTGTGTGGAAAATTTAGTGTATATCAGTATTGCAAAACCACCAGTCCAAGTAAATCAATGCTGAATGCTCATTAGCATACAATCAATGAGGTAGGATCTAAACAAATTATAGTCAATATATTTTGCACATATAACTTTCCCTTCTCTATATGTGCATGTAACATGGTAATATAATTTACAGCATATTACGTTTCCTGAAAGAAATACAGAGATAAATGAATTACATTCAAGGAAGATGATCAACACTGGACCAATGCCTTTGAGAAATTGTATTCAAATTCTAGTTACAGATACCTACTAACTACTATTGACCTATGTTTGATATGATTTATCTCTGTACAGGTGTGTGTAACTGCAACCCTCTAGGTTCCTACTCTGTTTACTGTGAGCCTAGTAACCTACAGTGTCCATGTAAGCCTGGCGTAGGAGGCAAGCAGTGTGATAGATGTGAACCAGGCTACTATGACTTCCTCTCCCTGGAACGAAACGGGATTGGATGCAAAAGTAAGTTTTTTTTCTCATTAAAATCAGTTGTAATGTAATCATTTACATCACAAAGCTGTATGAATAAAAAGTCAAGCATATTCACACTGACTTGACATATATTTCCACTCAGTTCTATTTTCCATAATGTGTGGGAGCTTTAGCTGTGATGAATGCCAGGTGGTTATAACATTTGCAAGACCGTAGACTTTCAGAGAATCATTAATCTTAATCGTAATCTCAAGTGCAGATTTTAAGTACAAATGGCCATCTTGAGTTTTATCTGCTTTTTTCCGCAAGTCCAAGTCAATATGATATCTGGAAGATTGTGATACCTTCTCATTTATGTTTGAAAGAGCAAACCAGATTTAGTATACAGTAGGCGTACAGTTGCACCATGTGAGAGAGGGGGAGGATTAGGGAGTCCTGAAAAGGACTGTCAGTAATCTTTCTTTCTTGAGTGTGTGTGTGTGTGTAGTCCTGAAAAGGACTTATAAGCAGCATCTAAAATTTATTAGCTTATAGAAGACAAAAAGATATGAATATGAATACAATTTTCAGCATCTAAGATTTAGTATATACAGTCAAACCTGCTTTAGTGACCACCTGTCTACAAAGACCACCTGTCTACAAAGGCCACATTTGTTGTTTCCCTTGAAAATGGTTTCTCATTGAATCATGTACTGAAGAAACCTGTCTACAAAGACCACCTGTCTACAAAGGCCTCTTTTTGTGTTTCCCTTGGGTGGTCGCTGTAGACAGGTCTGACTGTAGCATACTCTTCTTTGGTATGTCAGTATGTTGGTACTTATTCAGAGTAGAAAAGGAAACTTACTCATTTATCATTGATTTGTGTTTGGATGTTTGCAGCTTGTGGGTGCTCTTCCTATGGCTCTCGTCGTGATGACTGTGACCAGACATCTGGTGCTTGCCGATGCAGAAGGAAGGCCATCGGTCTCAAGTGTAACATGTGCCCTGAAGGTCTAACGATGACACCTATGGGATGTATGACAGGTAAGAAATGACATTTCCACTGTAAAATGTGGAAGGAAAGTACATCGTTGTGGATTAAAATTTCACTATAAATAAAAACTAGTCACAACACCAACTGATGAATTTATAGAGGCATTAGCTAAAAAGGTGATTTTAATGATAACTTAATTTCACTCACTTTAAAGATTTACTTAAATTTGATTTTGATGAATTTATTTCCACCTAAACTGACATTGAAGATAAACAAGAAAGCTATTTATTTCTAGGTATAATATATAGAAGGACAGGTAGTAGATCAGTAGTTCGGATTGTTGACACTTTTAATTAACTTAAATGCTGATGCAAATTTGATATTACCATGTATACACATTATGTTGGCAAAGAAGTTCTCACCTTATGTGAATTAGGCACTTTGGAGAGGGTCTTTTTCTTACTATTTAGAATAATCATGAATATTTTTGTTCATCAGAATTATAGAAAACAAAAAGATATGAATATCAATACAATTGTCATGATTTTGTTTTCCCATGGATTTAAACAACAGAGGAGGAACAGATGATGACTAGCGCCATCACATGCTCAAACCTGACCTGCCCCTTCTCCGCCCAATGTCAGGAGTCAACTGTAGAGGGCCAGAATGCTACCTGCGTCTGTCCTACCTCGTCATCATGTAACACAGACGTGATTCAGGTGGTCTGTGGAGACAACGGTGAGACGTATCCTAGTCGATGTCAGCTACAGGTCTTTGCTTGCAAGGAACAGAGAAATATTATGGTCCAGAATGAAGGAGCTTGTGAGAGTAAGTTCATCAAGGCAATTTGGTCCAAAGATGTTTTTGAAGTGCTAGCAGTGTTGGAGATTTACTGCATCATCATTAGTGTAACGAACAAAAACATTATCTTCTTTGTATATCTCCACAGAAAGTGACCTCCCAAGTCAAAGTTGTTCAAAGAAAATGCTCTTCCTCTACTATCAATTTGAGAGATTGACTGCATGGTTTATATTTGAATAACTTCTTCTTTAGACCCCCCCCCCCCCCCACGTCTGTAGCTCCCTTACACTTAAAATTTGTATTCTTGCTTGAAAAATTTCAGATAATGAATGAACTTGTTGAAAGTCATAGAAGCAAGTATATCTTATCAACCAAGATACAATGTGTACATAGCTAAACTGAAGCTTAGTATGATAACGTAACTTTTTTGGAACAATTTTTAGATTCATAAACATTTAACATTTCCTGTTTTGTCTCTTCTTTTCCTTTGCCCCTCTTTCCCTTCCTTTCTTTCACTTTCTCACCCCCCCCCCACATGTATTTCTATCTTCTGCCCTATTTTCTGTCTGTCTCTATCTTTATCTCTCTCCTTGTACCCATATATCTTTCTCTGTCATATGTATTTATCTGCCCCTCTCTCTTTATGTTTCTTCTTTCTCTTTATATTTCTGTCTCATCTGTCTTCCTTTTATTTCTCTCTCTCTCTCTCTCTCTCTCTCTCTCTCTCTCTCTTTCTCTCTCACCTTGTGGATCTTTTTGTTTCTCTATCAATCTCTCTTGTTACAGCTGTCATTGTCACACCCAATGAGATCCGTCCAGGCTGCGAGGAATCTCAATTCAGATGTTGCCCTGACCAGGTCACATATGCCACCGGGCCCAACAATGAAGGTTGCAGCGATGCCTCAGGTACACCTCCCCTAGCAGCAGATCAGAACGCTGGTCAGGCCTCTGCGTCTTCTCCTGCTCCACCTTCTGCCACTACTGTGGCTCTAACCACTGACGCGGTGGTGCCTTCTACTAAAGTCTCTTCCACCACACTTTCTGTTGCACCCTTTGTTTCAACCGCTCTTCCCACAGGTGTGCATGCTGTGACATATATGGTTTTTAATTTGCCATCTCATATTCATATCTTATATTGGTCATCATATATCGTCGCCTGGCTGGCAGAAGGGCGTTAGCTTGAATTTCAGGTCAATAATGAAACTTTAAGCAGAAGGGCGTTAGCACTAAACCGCCTCAAACTTTTATAAAACTGACTTATTTCCGAGAAAAACATTGTGGTCGTGTTCTTCTACAACATTTTTATTAGTCTTTTATGTTTTAAACCAATTTTCGAGGCGAAAGCAGTTTAAATATAAAACAAATCTTTAAATGCGAATAATTCTAAAAGTAGTTTTTGAGTCGCTCGTGCGCTAACGCCCTTCTGCCACCCGGCCGACAATTTGATCTCACTTGATGATGTTGTTTCCTGAAATACTGTGAATCCTTTATGATTTGAATCAGTGTTATGGTAATCATTTTATCATATCGGTCACCATTGAATAGAAACGAAACTTTATTTCCCTTTCTATTATTTGAAAATCCAAAATGTTGAAGCTCTTTGGCCCTGAATCCTCTCCAATTCTGTCTCAATCCTATGCACTGGGATGCAATAGAGATGATATTCAATCCCTATAGAACTTCATTGCATATGCCTTTGTAGATTAAAGATCTGGAAAAGGTTTTTATATTGTAAGACATTTTGTGAAATGTTGGAAGGAGCACAAATATTGCAAGGGTGCAGGTAATTTAGTTGCACACACAAAAAGTGTGAATGTCAAAAGAGGAATTGTGGAATTTCATCAAGATTTCTCTATGTATTGTCCGGCCATTAATGTACAAATCTTTTTAAAAAACAGCAAATACAGTACTTTCTGAAACAACATCATCCATACATTTTGTTCCAAATTAAAATTTAAAATAAATTTATCTGGTTTTGGAACCAGATTATCTCCGGAATAATTGAATGGTTGAAGCATAAACATAATGTCCAGTTAATGTATCATACACTATATGAAAATAATGATACATTTATTGGACATTGTTTGTGTTTAAAAGATCAACAATTCCTTCAACAGCTTGAATTTTCTTGGAAAAGTATCAAAATTATATTTTCATACACCTGGCATTTAAGGTCTTATTCAGAAATCAGAAAAAAGATTCATTTATAATCAGTGGAAGAAAACAAATGTCTGGACGATGTTTGTGTTTCCATTTATATTCTGTTGGAACAGGCTGTAATCTAAAACTTTTCATTTTCATACAAAAATTGAATTGTGCCTATATGTATTCTGTTTATTCAAAGTTTGAAGTGAAATTGAATATTTTCCAGTATCTAGTGCCATAAATAGGCAATGCTCATCTTCTGTTTATATGTTTGTATCGTTTGATTAATTAAGCTACATGTTGATTATTGTTTCATGCTTGAGTGGTTTATAGTGCATTGCAGAAAGTGACATATATTGATTTATGCAAATATCTGATACAAATTTCAATGGTATACCGGTAACTCTATAAATGATGAAAATAATCTTCTCATCAATATTCATACTGATATTAGATAATTGCTAATATTTAGAATTGATAACAACATTAAAAGCAATAGTGTAACATTAATCGATTTAATCATGCCTATCATAATGTAACAAACAATATGGAAAACTTGTGCTTGAAATTTGCAAAATAGCACTTCTACTTTATAAAAAGAAGTATTGACAATTGACCCCCCCTCCCTTTTAAATGAAATAAACAAGTGATAGGAATGATAATAATAATAAATGTAATTTAATTTGAATAGTTGTAATTGTACCATCCACATAAAGTATAATGTTCCCTCCCTGTAATGAAAGGACATTGTAATTTGGTAAGTCTTCTTCAAAGTAACAATGTAAACAGCATTTTCCTTCTCATAATGAAAAAAGGCAATTTTGTTTAAACATTTTCTTTGCTGTGTTATTATTTTTATGCCTCCGCCACCGAAGGTGGTGCCGGAGGCATCATGTTTTCGGGTTGTCCGTCCGTACGTCCGTCCGTCCGTACGTCCGTCCGTCCGTACGTCCGTCCGTCCGTCCGTCCGTCCGTCCGTACGTCCGTCCCGTTTGACCGTTATCACAATATCTCAAGAACCATTTAAGATTTAAACTTAAGACTCAGGAATAGTATTTATCACCATAGGAAGACGATCTGATTAGATTTTGGAGTACGTAGGTCAAAGGTCAAGGGTCACAGAGGTCAACTTATGAAATTCCATACATTGAGATTGTTATCATGATATCTCAAGAACCATTTGAGATTTAAACTTCAAACTTAAGGATAGTATGTATCACCATAGGAAGACGATCTGATTAGATTTTGGAGCACGTAGGTCAAAGGTCAAGGGTCACAGAGGTCAACTTATGAAATTCCATACATTGAGATTGTTATCATAATATCTCAAGAACCACTGGAGATTTAAACTTCAAACTTAAGGATAGTATATATATCACCATAGGAAAACGATCAGATTAGATTTTGGAGTACATGTATGTCAAAGGTCATAGAGGTCAACTTGAAAATTTCAGACTACATGTATAGGACTTGTCATGATATGTCAAGAACCACTTGAAATATGTTCCGTTACTTAACCCGTACTTAACTGGGCTATTTTGAGCACCTCCCTGACTGGGGGGGGGGGGGGGGGGGGGGGGGGGGGAGGGGCCGATTGCCTCGAAATTTGGCACGCGTCTTGAGAAATTGCGCAAAGCAAGAGACCTCACTATTATTTAAATTGCTCTATGGCGGAGGCATCATTTTCGACTGCGCGCAGTCAAAATTCCATCTAGTTCTACCTGTCTTCAAGTCATGAAATTTCATGTTTGATTTTCCTGCGCCATTTTTTAATCATTTCATAAATGGAATCAAATTCCTAATTCTTTTAACCATTTTGGTAACATTCAATTATCAACTTATTTATCCTCCACCATTTAAAACTTTTTTCATGATTGTCTGCAGCTTTTTTAGACTATCGTTTATTTACTGGCTACATCAAATTCATGTTATTTTCAATTATTTTGCAACATTTAGAACCATTTAAAAAATACAATTAAACATTCCTAATGATCTTTTTTCTAATGTGAATTATCAAAATTATTTTGTTTTTCTCCTTTAGTGTTCATCATTCTCAAAGCTATGAGTTCTGCCTTATTATTTAAAGAAAAGTGTTTGGCTGTGCATGTTATTCAAACGCGCTCTTTATCATCAAATTTATAATATCAAATATTTAACCTCTGTCAAAGTGGTGGAAGGGACAATTTCTATTTGTTATTCTAATTCTAAATCTATTATCCCCTGTCCTTATCTAAACAATACACATTTTTAAAAAGTTGTTCATGAATTTTGGATTCCTGAAGGAAAACAAAAGCTGTGCCTATGATCTATACCAATTGAGACCAATGGCTGTTTTTTAAATCTCTTTCTAGTAAATTATGAGGTGATTAAATTTGCAATTTATTTCCAAAGAACTTGTTTGATATCACCCCTATTATAAAAATCAACAATTCGTTGATATATTGTCACAATTTTTGTTGCAGCTAATTTATTCAGAAAGATATTTAAAAGATGAGTTAAGAAAATCTTGTTATTTTAGTTCAAATATACCGTTAATCATTTTCAAGAATTTTCCAATAAATAATCAAATTGTCTCTTGTCAACATTGCATCTAATGAGCAATGCCAATGCAGAGTTATTGAAATGACATCATCTGTCATTAATGTTCACGAATATCATTGCATCAAAGTACTAATGCAGTGACAGGTTCATGCTTTCCACCCATAGCAGAGACAGGAGGTGACTTTTTATTCAGATTTTGCTTTCTCATAAGCTTGTGATGACAGTATTTTTATAAGAATTTTTTTTTTTAATTTTTACATACAACCACCTTTTGAACGTCTAGATTCGGTCCTGCCTACAACAACCATTGTGACCATCGTCCTGGGATGTGATAGTAGTCCATGCCAACATGGAGGCACCTGTCAGAATGATGAGATAGCTCCAGGATTCAGGTGTATCTGCCCTCTAGGAAAGGGAGGACCGGTGTGTAATGAAGGTAGGTTTACAGGGTGATGAGGATGTCAATAATGATGAAATAGAGGAGGTGGAGGAGGAGGAGAAACATTGATGATGATGAAGATGATGAATGTGATGATAATGTTTGTGATGATGATGAAGATGATGAATGTGATGATAATGTTTGTGATGATGATGAAGATGATGAATATGATGATAATGTTTGTGATGATGATGATGATTTTGATGATGAACATAAAGATTTTTATAGTGATGATGATGATTTTAATTATGAACATAAAGATGATGATAGTGAGGATGATGATTTTGATGTTGATATGTGTCATGGGATGTGATAGTAGTCCATGCCAGCATGGTAGAACCTGTCAGAATAACGAGATTGCTACTGGAGTAGGGTGTTTCTGTCCTTGCCTAGACAAAGAAGGACCAGTGTGTAAGGAAGGTAGGTGTTAATGGTGATAGAGAGGATGGAGATGATGAGGATGAAAAGACGGGGAAGGTGGAGGAGGAAGCTGCGTAAAATTGGTCTAATTTTTCACTTACTGCCTCTGTCAAATTAGGTTTGTTACATGTATAGATGTTGAGGAGGGTGAAACTTTTTGCAATGTAACCCCTGTTCAAATGGAGTGACCCACCTGGAGATCATCTTGACAAAGATGGACTAGTGTGCATTTGAAGATGATGGTGATGGTAATTATGACGATTAGGATGGTAATAGTAATGGTGCTGATGATGATGTTCATGATATTTCATGACACAGATTTCAATTGAAAAGATTGCTGTTTTCATTCCAGGCTTTAAAGAAGGTCCGTTTTTTATCAGTGAAGATAGTTTCTTTGTGTCAACATATGTATCAAAAAGTGTCAAGTATATGGGCTTACAATCCTTGACCTAATGGAGTGACCTACCAGGAAGATCACCCCATACTTTATTTTCTAATACTCTGTATCTCTCCTCCTCTCCTTTCCTCCTCTTCCCCTCTCTCCATCGACCTATTTACTTTATGTATGAATGTACATGTATATAAATTATATAACCATGTCATCACATCAATAGCATTGATGTAATTTAATTGTAATAGGCGCATGAAGGCCATGTCTTTAAACTAATGGATGAAATATTTCTTCTTTACAAAATGGCCTCCCTACAACTCATTATAATTTTAACAGGGCACAGATATAAATTCTTTTTTCTTTGCTGTTGTTGATTAGGCTGATTGTTTCCATTTGTATCATAGTAAAACACATATTAATAACCGGTTCTTTCACCTTTGACCTTTAACCCTCTTGTAGTCGTGACCTTCACTACGCCTTCCTTTGCCGGGGACTCGTACCTTGCCTACCCTGAGATGGATGCGTTCATGGAGGTTGAGATCGTTATTGAATTCCAACCCGGTGCTACAGAGGGTGTGCTCCTCTATGAGGCCCAGACAGCGGAGGGAAACGGAGACTTTATCTCATTGGCGATTGTCAATAACCAGGTTGAGTTTAGGTGAGTGTTTCAAGAGCTAAACATAATGTCTTATGTCATTTATGTTGAATTTTTAATTCATTCTGTTTTTTCTGTGATGCTATCTATGAAGGCATATTTTTCATAACTCTTTGATGGCTTATAAACATAATGCACCTGATAAATCGACCTTGTTGTAATGAAATTTTCATAATTTGGAAATGAAAACATTTTAATACCAAGTCTTTGTCTTTAGCAATTTGCTTTCTTTCCTGTCAATAGAATTTGAATGTAGTGTTTTATATTTGTGATGCACAAATATAAAAAATATTCATGTCTTAATTTGCTCTTCCGATTTCAAGTTATACTATATATTTTCAAAGTGAAGTAGATAAATTTCAATTCCTGCAGATATTAAGTGCATAAAAAAATTGGATTCATTAGCATGACATTTCAGCATATGTACATGTACCTCCATGTATGTAAGCCATCAGAGATAAGAAACATTCTGATATCACAATTCAGTGTTCTCAACATGTTTGTCCTTCATGTAGTGTCTGTCATACAAGGTGTTTATGACATTTCTATCTTCTGGTATAGCATCAAATTCTGTTTTCTTCCACAAATGGGTAAATAACAGAGAAAAACATTCCATCTATTTGTATGTGAATGTAGATTTCTCACCCATTAAATGTTCAATATGTTCAATGAAATTAGAAATATGATTCACAGTCGCAATTGACAAAATCATTATGACAGTTTTCAAGTTTGAAGTGTAATTAATTTTTCTTCAACATTTTGATTCTCTTGGTGCATGAGGGGACTGTTCAGATTGGTTTTTGATCTAGGAATGTTTTTGGTTTGGTGCATGTCCTTTGATTTTAAGGTGCTGATATGCAAGCTCTCTCAGGATATTTAAAATTCTAGTTAGTTTCTTGACTATTTTTAGCATGAATAGATAATGCAAAAAAAGGCTTTTATTTATTTTTAATAGCTTTATCATGTTAAGCTTTAATCTTGCAATGAAAGATGATTTTATTTATGATTTATTTTGAGAGAGGCTTTTAGATCTGCATTTTAGTTTTAACAGTATAATTAGTTCTTAACTTGGAATTGAAATTCCTCTTATTTCTTTCTATTAATCTCAAGTTTAGAATGATTTTATAGTAACAGATATGTATCAATAATTTGATTTTATCACAATTTGTTTGTTGTAATTTCATTGTTTTTGTAATGTTGAATACATTGTGTTTTCCTCTTTCAGATGTCTATACTGTAAACTTGATCTCAATTTTTTTCTTTTAAAATTTGTTCTAAACACGAGATTTCACTTCTTCCTTTCTGGCACTGCTGCAACAAGACACTACACGCTTGATTTAGGCTTCAATACTGCTTCAAATAATTTGACCCTTAGGTCACCCCTCCAAAAATGTTCATAGGCCCCCGATTCTAAAAACAAAAAAAGTAACTTCCCTTTAACCTCCAGAGTCAGATTTATTCATTTAATTCCAGGCTTAGATAATTTTAGCCAGTTCAGCTTGTAGAGAAACCAACCCCAGTTGAAACTATTTTGTTTGAAAAAAAGAAAAATTGTTGAAAAGTAGAACCATTGATTAATAATATTTTGCAAAAAGTCTCTTCCCTATGTGAATATTCAACAGAGGCATTGGTAATTTCAAATTTTTTAATCAATTTTACAATCGCAAGCCACAGTGGAAAAACTGGAAAAGTATGGGTCATTTTATAGATATTTCAATGATTTCACCATGTTTAATGCTGGAATCTGTGGAGAAGAAAGATAAAAATATGACCACGCTATGGTTCATTATTCTGTATCTTCTCCTAATTTAGGTTCCTTGCTACTGACCAATCAAATGGGTGAGTGAAATCATGTGACCCAGTCTTCTTTGGCAAACTCAATTGAGTGAGAAGGGAAATACTCAAACTTTCTGTTGCCTTCACAGGCATCAAGGAAGTTTATTTTTCCCAGCTTACAGGGAAATATAAAAAACCCAAAGACTTCAACTAATTTGTTTCATCTCGCTATACGCACATCATTATTAACCATCGCAATGCACCATTACATGTGTATATATGCCGTTCGCTTACATTGTATACACACTCTCTTTACGTCTTTCCTTTTGTTATTCTGTATACTGCATGGTTTTGTTTCAGTTCATTTCTTTTTTTGGTTTTGTTTTGTTTTTGCGTGTGCAAACCAGCAAAAAATGTTGCACTTGTTTTCATAGTATGTTGTTGTTGTTTTTTATCTCCAGCAATGCACAAGCTTCGTTATGGTGATGCTTTTTTGCATGTTTTATGAGCATGGCAGTGATTTAATGAGGTCATAGATGAACCTATTCAGTTTTAGCTTTAATTACTGATAATAGGGTTTTGTCAATGGCAATGAAAGATGAATATACAGTGCAACATAACATTTTTCATTGAATTTAATTTTTTATTTAAATGCATAATATGAATTGAAATAAAAAGTAGGTTTTTCTCACATTCCAGTGGAAATTTAAGTTTAAAAACTGGTTTCTTATTCATTAAACCTGACTAACCTTGTTGTCAACCAATTCCATACCTCCCAACCACCCCGATTTAGGCGGAGTTCCTCCGCATTTTTCATACCAACTCCGAATTCCGAATGCATGCCTCAAAACTCAGATTTTTTAAAATTTAATTTAATTTTTATTTATTTATTTATTTATTTATTTATTATTTTTTTTTTTTTTTTTTTTTTTTTTAGAGTGTAATGCACTTGGAGAGTATATAACTATTATGTTTGTATTTCGAAATGTAAAGCGCCTTGAGCATGTTCATGTAAAGGCGCTTAATAAATACCAATATGTATGTATGTATAAGACTAAAGCATAACACAGCACTGATAACCAGATCACGCCGACATCCGCGCTCGCGCTCATAGAAGATATACACAGCGCAGCCCGAACGTGATCGTTAGTTCCCCCCCCCCAATCTACGGGCTACTACCCCAATCCTTCGGTGGTTCGCGACCTCGTAGTCCATCCGGAAAAATTTACTCCTAATTTCTCTTGTCTCAGGTTGGCAGGTATGCAATTCAATAGGTTATAGTGCATAGTTGACAGCTAGGCTTCGTAAAGTTTTGTGAATATGAGCCCAGGGCCCTGTCTTACAAAGAGTTGCGATTGATCCAAATCAGTCTCCTCCTATCTCTTATGTACATAGTTGCGATTGATATCAACTCTTAGTAAGACAAAGCCCAGAAGTTTAGCTTCTGTAACTGTCAAACAAAGTGGACTCCCTTGTTGCAAAAACCGTCCTCCATGTATAATTCAATGTTTGATTTATCCCACTGATATGTTGTTGTGGTCTCTGTTTTAGCAAAATAAGAACATATTAGCATGATATCATAGGACCGTCTAGATTGTGTTTTAAAGTGTGGGTTCATGTAGCAAACTTTCTCTTCATCTGTGATAGAAAGAACCATATGTAGGATAAGTAGATTCCTCATGCATGTATTATTCTTCTAGGATAGAAATTTGAACATTTTTTGCATTTAAATGAAATAGAATAATCTCACATTTTCCACAACATCTGTGACATATGCATTTTATAAAGCCCTCTTTCTTCCATTTGTTTCTACTAATGAAGACATTTCCTTGTTGATTAGAAATACATTCTGCATGATTTCCAAGTTGTGATATGTTAAAGAATGAGAAAATTATGGTTATGAAAAACTGAATTTATTGGATAGAATATTTACAATATTTGACTAACAGTGTGTTAGAAGAAGTAGTTCTCAATGTTTGCACTAGGCTTACTTTCTATTTTTACTTTCTGTTTACTCTATATTTTTTACTCTCTTTAACAGATAAACAATAATTGACAAATGATCATTATGTTTGAGTCTGATGTATCACCAGACATAACTTTAGAGCTCTTTTGCCATCATCAAATGATCTTCACATCCAATAGTTTAATTTTGATCAACATATATATATATATATATATATATATATATATATATATATATATATATTATTGTTTCCTTTTAATTCATTTGTATTGAACAAATCTTCAAGCCTGCATGAAATTCTTTGACATATTCTTGTGTGAAAACTTGTCACTATCATATATTACCTATCAAAAAAGCATAAGATATTTAGTTTATATACATGTAGTAGCTGTATATATTTGTAAATTCATGTGTCTGAGTACAAAAGCACAATCACTGAAATATCATTGAAAATACCCCACATCTGGTAACCGAGGGTAATTGATGCAAGATTTTTATCTTTGTATCATTGTAATTGATGATACTAGCTTTGATTTGAGCATTTATATCAACTTTCACAGTTTGTAATGTGTTTGGCTCATATTGATTACATTGATTTGATGTCTTATTGTTGGTTGAACTAATAGGGAAATGACTGGGTTTATTGAACAAAAATCTCTTCTTTTTTATTTATAGTATCTATCATTTTTCTCCATATATGTAATATTTTGTAAATATGATATTTCTGTTTAATATAAGGTGAGAAGGATTCATATGAAAGAGATTACAAGAGCTTCTCTCAAATAATTGTAACTTACTAACAACCTTTATAATTGGCAACTCCTAACAATATGATATTCTTTGTCATGGGTTTATTTGCTGATGGTGAGCACAGTCTGTCACAGTTCTGGGATAACTTTATTATGCACTTATTCGCAGTTATTCATTATGAGGAGACTAAACAAGCACTAATTTATATTATATATTGGATATATATATTATATTATTGTGAAAGACCTTTGTAAGGATAATCTGTGGTGGATTATTCTGTACACAAAAAGAAATTGGTTTGATTGTGTAAATATAATTGCCTAAATCATTCTTAAAAGCTGCATTTTAAATAAATAAATGGTATCTGGGATTTGCATTAGCATCTATGGACAATGTATGTCAGTGTTCTTTTGTTACAAAAAAAGTAAAATAATGTGAAATATGTTTGATGTAGTTATCAAAGCAAAGCATGAAATATATGTATTCTGTGGTCTTAACTGCAGCTAACACCTATGAACCAAATACATGTATGTAGTCAACAGGTATTGTGGTATATTTAGATTCTTATAGTTAACATTCATGATAGTCATGCATAATAATATATGTATTATCATATTTAAACATATAATGATATCTACCGGTAACCTATTCTTGCTGGAATTCTGGCTGGCAATTTTGGCAATCAAGGATGGGTTGATTAGAAGCAAAAAGTTATTTTTTAATGAAATTATCAAATAACCCCTGTATAGATATAATTCTTTATACCATGAATACCAATGGGTGAGAGATACTCAGAGAAGATATCTACTTTATATGGAATGTCAAAGAGTACAACAAATAGATCCAGTCAATCAACTTTCTTGTCTAGAGTGATGCAAAATGCCATTATGTTCCTTGAAATATGAACAGGTGCACTCATAATACTGCCTACTGTACTCCCTATGTAATCTGAATATTCAAAGCACATTGATCATTTCAAGTTTTCTATTCACCTTTACTATAAATAAGAAAATTTGCAATATATAAACAACATAGCTATCCCTGGGTGTCAAAATAGCTTTATATTTCTGAAGGCTTACGTATAATAATTTCATAAAAGTGTGAGCTGCTGATCCTTATAGATCTGACCTTTAACCTTGACCTTTCTCTTCCCAAGATTTGACCTTGGCTCAGCCGAACCTGTTGTCATAACAAGCACTGTCGACCTTCAACTCATGACCTGGCACCGTCTAAGGGCGTACCGTAGCCGGCGGGAAGGTAGCCTGAGTGTTGACGGTGAACCAGAAGTCACAGGGACCAGCGAGGGCGTGTCTGGCGCCCTCAACCTTGGCGAGGATCTCTTTATTGGATACGCAGTACCTCCAGAAGTGTGAGTTCATGTTATGTAATATATCAGAGAATATATTTCAATTTAGCATGCAATGTTTATGTTATGTATCAGAAAGGGTGATCAATCATTTTCTATAGAGACATTTGGTCCATGCTCAGCTATTACATGTAAGGTACGAGATAGGATTGCAATCTAGTTTTACATGTAGGTTAGGTTTAGGTATGGTTTTGATCCAGAGTTGAAGTAAGGACTTTGAATAGTGTAAGAAATTGCTGAATGAAGATATATTGTGAATTGCCCAATTATGATATCTTTGAAAGGGTACATTAATATTGCTAGAGGCATCCTCACAAACATGTACACAAAGACTGGCTGTAGTCATCTGCAATATAAAACATCCATTCAAGGATCCTTTACCTGCTTGATAAGTTGTCATTGCCACTAGACATTAAGTATGCTAAAGAAAGCCTTTCTTTTTAGCTTTTATCATTTCTTCAAAACATATTTCCACGCACAGAGGACTGCACACATTTATGAAGGAAAGTCTGCCCCTATGCTATTTCAATTTCTTTTGTTTGAATAATTCTTCAAAATGTTCTATTCCCACGCACAGAGGCCTGCGGCTAGCAAACACAAACCAAGGATTCGTCGGCTGTATTCGCTACGTGGAGATCAACAGCCAAGAACTGGATATTTCTTCATCTGGCTCATCTGTGGAATATGGTGCTAATGTTGGAGAGTGTGGTAACGATCCCTGCCAGAGCAAAGAGATGCCCTGTTTTAACAATGGACTATGTGAGGCTCTCAATGCAGAGTCATACAGGTGTATATGTCAAGGAGACTTCTTTGGTGAGTCCATATTAGAAATAGGGGTAGTTTATAGCAGACGTGTAGGGAGGTTGATGATTTATATTCATTTTCAGTGATGTAATAGTGCAAAATTTACCCAAAAGCAAAATTTACCTAACAAAATATAATTTAAAAGACATAAAATATAGTGGATTTCAATATTGATATTTAAAAGGTTCAGATTGGACGTTTATAGTTGGGAGAAGGGTCTTTACTTTTAGGTCTTTTGAATTCTATGAAATTTTAGAAAACTAAAAAGCTGTGGATGTATGACATTGCTGTTAGATTCTACCTTTGACACCATGTACAATGTATTATACATCCATCCAGGTGTACACATCACAAGTTCCTTGCTTAATGAAATTCTACTTCTTCCTCACTACGTTACATGTACATCACCATGCTTTTGAATTTCATGTATATTGCTACTCTTTACAAATCATTTGAACCCTTTGTAAAAAATTAATTATATTAAAACTTTGTACATATCATTTTAATACTTTGTGAAAATTGGTATATATTGAGACTATGTACATGTTATATATCTAGATTGAACACTTCATAATAATACAAAACATCTCTATTGCACCTTTTCATGAAGCAGATTAAAACATGAGCAAGTTACGTGGAAGTTGAAATGTTTGTTCTCTTCTTTGTTTTAGGCACACTTTGTGGAGATGTTCTAGTAGACCAGTGCGAGGGTCACATGTGTCATGAGGAGTCTACCTGCGTAGCTCTACCAGAGGGGGGATACAGGTGTGATTGTCCAGATGGAAGGATGGGAGACATGTGTACTGAAGGTGAGAGAGAGGGAGGGGTCTTAATCTTTCTTGTACAATGGTTGCTGGGTGTGGCTTAGGGATGGGAGTTACTTGAGATTACTCTCATTTGGGTGGGTACCAGACGGAAGGATGGGACACATGTGTACTGAAGGTGAGAGAGAGGGAGGGGTCTTAATCTTTCTTGTACAATGGTTGCTGGGTGTGGCTTAGGGATGGGAGTTACTTGAGATTACTCCCATTTGGGGGGTACCAGACGGAAGGATGGGAGACATGTGTACTGAAGGTGAGAGGGAGGGTGGGGTCTTAATCTTTCTTGTACAATGGTTGCTGGGTGTGGCTTAGGGATGGGAGTTACTTGAGATTACTCCCATTTGGGTGGGTACCAGACGGAAGGATGGGAGACATGTGTACTGAAGGTGAGAGGGAGGGTGGGGTCTTAATCTTTCTTGTACAATGGTTGCTGGGTGTGGCTTAGGGATGGGAGTTACTTGAGATTACTCCCATTTGGGGGGTACCAGACGGAAGGATGGGAGACATGTGTACTGAAGGTGAGAGGGAGGGTGGGGTCTTAATCTTTCTTGTACAATGGTTGCTGGGTGTGGCTTAGGGATGGGAGTTACTTGAGATTACTCCCATTTGGGTGGGTACCAGACGGAAGGATGGGAGACATGTGTACTGAAGGTGAGAGGGAGGGAGGGGTCTTAATCTTTCATCTACAATGGTTGCTGGGTGTGGCTTAGGGATAGGAGTTACTTGAGATTGCTCCCATTGGGTGGGTACCAGAGGGAAGGATGGGAGACATGTGACACGGTGGTATTTTATTTTACCAACTTCTTTTAAATGTTTGTCAACTACGTTCTCATTTTGAATATATTAATTGAGATGAAATAAAACCTACATTGCAATATCTCAAATGCTTTCTTTGTTGTCACTTGCAGAAATCAACAAGGTTGTGGTTCCGGGCTTTGCCGGCAATTCCTACATGCAGCTTCCCTCCCTGATGATGCCTGATGATTCCGTCATCGATGTAGAGTTCTTAACCTCCTCACCCGATGGAGTAATATTCTACAACGGACAGACCGCTGATGGTAGGGGGGATTTCATCTCTCTCAACATGAGGGATGGCTATCTGGAGTTCAGATATGATCTGGGTTCTAGCATTGCTGAGATCAAGTAAGGATACTATCGAGACTCAGTTTACATACCTGTAAAGGGCAGTAAAAGATATTATAAGATGATGACGTGGATCCTGATCAAATGATTGGTTGAAAGCGTACACGTGACCAGGCATTTATTTTGCCTAACACGTAATTTGGATAATGACCCATCATTATCCAATTCTAATGACCGGTCATTATCCAAATCAAGTTATAAAACATCATTTTATAAATCAAATCAAATATAATCTTATAAAACAAATAATACACATCATTTTGTTTGGGAATTAGTAAAAATGACCCACACTCGGTACCTTCAAACAGTCCCAACACCCTCGGCTACTGCCTCGGACGTGTTAGACTGTTCCAGAGGTACCTTATATGGGTGATTTTTTACCAATGCCCTCACTGCTGTGTATTATTTGTATAATAGTTAATCCCCCTCTTCCTCTACACAAAAAAAGAGAGTTAAATTGAATATTCATGAAAACAGAAAATGTAAGTGTCATATTGATTTCTAAATATGTTTTTCCCCTAAAAGATTATGGTTAGTCAAAAGTATCAAAATGGAAATTAAGTTTTTATATGTTTGTTCAAAATTCTCCATAAAAAAGGTACATGCGTGAGGTTTTACAGTAGTCGAGAAAATGTCTCCAGATTTGGTTGAATGTTTTTACAAGTCTGAATCATAAGAAAATAAAATAGAAAGTAATCAAATTGTATTGTTTTGTTTTATATTCTTAACTTTGTTTTATCTTGTCATTTTCCATCTCTTCCTCTCTCTCTCATTTTCTTCTCATCATCTCTTCCTACCCCCTCTGTATTTGTTTTTCTGTCTCTGTTTGTCCTTTATTTTCCCCTTTCCATCTCTTTCTATCTGTATCTGGCCCTACTTCCCTTTCTCCCTCTCTCTTACTCTCCCATCTTCTCCCTCTCCACCCCCTTTCTCTCTCTCTCCATCCCCTTTCTCTTTCCCTCTCTCTCCTTCTCTTTCTCTCTCTCTCCCTTTCTTCTCTCTCCCTCTCTCTCTCTTTCTCATGTTCTCTCTATCAGGAGTGTTGACAGGCTAGCTCTGAATGAATGGCATGCAGTGAGAGTGATCAGGATGGGTAAGAGTGGAGAGATGATCCTCAACGACCTACCACCAGTCAAAGGAACATCACCGGTAAGTCAATCTCACCTCTTACGAGAGGTTGGTAGATTTGCATGGTGGAGCAGCTAGAAATATATACAAGCACCATGTAGTAAGAAGGACTCTTGTGTATCCTCCAGCAAGTGTACTGAACAGAACTGTTCTAGGAAATCTTGCTGAAAGACGCTCAACCATCCACATACCTACCTGTTATTGTAAACTTTTATGTAGCTCTAATTTCATCTCACTTAATGGATCTCTCTGACATTGAAAGATACTCACATTTCCTCTCAGAATTCAAGAAAGAATAATAATACTAATAATACTACAGCATTTGTATTGTGCCATTGATCTAGTAAACTATTCTGAGGCACAGAGGGAGATTATTACCCTGGCTTTAGCACAACTAAACATCTTAGTTCATTGAATGACGTCGTCCTCTCTTCCCAATTGTTTTTCTTTCTTACTTGCCTCTTTTCAATTGCAAGAATATTAAAAATGATAACTTTCCATAAAGTATAAGCAGTCGTACTTGCAGGCTCTATCCTTTGGTATCACTTTAAAAGAAGAAATCATTTGAACCCGTATACAACTGTACTGTTGTGAGATTCTATCTATGTGATTAAGCAATGAAATGATGAAACACTAATTTTACATTTAATAATCATAAACAAAGCACACAATATTATAGATTTACCTCTTTTCTACATTGCACAGTACATAAATAAATATGTTGTCCTATGTAAAGTTTAATATTGTCTGTGAATGAAATGAATAGATGACACCAATGTGATTTTTTTTTTCTAAGCTGTAACCTCCACTTAATTCTTTGATATTATTTTCACCAAGGCATTATGTGTGTTCATGAAGTTTGAAGAATCCACGTCTCATTTTATGTGAATGTTTAAAATAATAATTGTGCTTATTTTGTTGTTTAGCCTGGGGCTTCACAGTTGAACCTTCGTCAGCCGTTGTTCATTGGTGGTGTGAGGAGCTATGGAGAGGTCTCTCGGAGAGCAGCTATCACTGATGGGCTCAATGGAGCAGTTAGGAGGGTCAGTTGCAAAGATATATATAACTTCATTTACAAGAAAAACAAGTTGTAGAAGCCATAAAGGATTACATGTCATGGAAAATATAAAACTTGTGAAAAAAATACATATAATCAAGAAGAGATACATGTATATATCTCATGAAGAAATATATTTTTCATGAAGAAATATATATATATCTTATGATGAAACATATAGCTTATTGAAAAATGCAAATCTTATGAAATGCTACATATATACTTAATGAAGGAATGTATAGAAACATATACCTCATGATGAAATAGTTTGTAAAATATATATATTTTGAATTTATTTTGATTTACTCCAATGACAATTGCTCTGGTCTTTATTTTGTAAAAGATTAATGGTTAGGGCAGAGTTGAAGTATGGGTTTTTGGTAGGTTAACTAGGATTAGGGTTAGATATATTGGCCCGAATTCACGAAGCAAGGTTTGAGCTCAAACCTCCTTTTGTTTCGCCAAACCTCCTTTTGTTCTTTACAAACCAGGTTTGTAAAAAACGCGTAAAACGCGTCATATGACGTACGAAAACCAAGGTTTGTCGACAAACCTCCTTTGTGAATTCGGGCCATAGTGTTTGGTGCAGGGTTGAAGTTAAGATTTTAGTCAGTGCAGCATATGGAGCAATTCTCATGTAACCTATCACACAACCTACAGTGTATTAACCTATCCTTCATACAACGTCATGTTTAGCCTGGAAGGTACACTATGTCTTTCTCACACACAAAAAAGGTGTTGCTGAACAATAGTCATGTGAATTTGAACAGTTTGATATAATGTTGCTTTGCTTTGTTTCTCACTGAACAGTTTGTAGTGAATGAGGTTGATTACTCTACTCTGAAGGACTTTGCTGAAGCCAAGGTCAACGTCGAAGAATTCAGAGAAGATACTATGAACATGATACCAACTGCTCCTAGAAAACTGCCAGGTAAAATTTGCTTCATGTCCTGTGATAGTCATTCGTATCCACCCAATCGTGTACATGCATAGAGAGTGGCATATTGGTTATCCTCTTTTTCAGATATAAGCTTATGATATAATTGTACATATAGTAAGAGGTTCACAATTAAAAGAGGAAGGAGATAATATGAATAACATATCAAGGGCTCCAAGAGAAATGCCAGGTAAAATGAGCTCACAAGAATTTGTCATTATGGTAATATGAATTCCAATCAAATCATAATATGATCACAGACTTTTGAGAAAAAAACCAAACGGCTTTTTGTGTCATCTTTGAAACATGCAAATATTATAATGGCATTTACAGAATCAGAACACGATTTCCATGGAATTTAAATTAGGATATGTATTAAGATTACCCTTGAGATGATTTCTTGTAGTCTTTGCAATTATGTTCAATTCATATATGCTATTTTTCATTTCATAAGAACCAGCAAAGCATAACAATTACTCTAGAACGTTTATAAAGAACCTGAATGTCTGCAAAATACAGCCATCTAAATGATGATTGCACAATTGGTTTAATTACATTGGATTCATCCACTCTCTAGATTATCAGTCAGCAGGTGTGTTGATGTGTTGTCAAAGAAGAATAGACATACTTTTAGTCATATCTTTTTTTCTGACTTTGCCTTACTTGAAGATTTCAAAGCATACAAGTCCTGTGCCTACTTGCTCAGAAGGTAGTCTGATAATATCTGTTTATTTTTCCTGCAGAAATGCCTGTAACAACCCCCAGACCACCTGTGGTTGCCACGAGAGCAAGACCTGCCATGACGACTGCATCTGTAGTGGTTATTAATACTGATGATCCCTTGAGGTTTGATGGACAGACAAGTATTCAGTACTACAATGGAGTTTCCAAAAAGTGAGTCTCTTTTTGTTGTTGATGTTTTGATGTCATGTTATCAAACTCATGTACAATTTGATCTTTTCTGATTTAGGAATTATATTTTTCAAAGGTCAGAATGACAAAATAATTCAATCAATTTTTGTTGAACCTTCTGTCCACGTCTTGCTTTCTCTAAAGATTTAATTTATACTGGAATTAAATTTGTCCTTTGGAGGTGTGTTCAAATTGCTTTTGTCACCCCGGACCAGCAGACTGTATCCTTCTCTCTCTCCTCTCTACTTTCCTATAACTGTCTGCATGTATTATGAAATTTCTATGTATTATCTGATTGTTATACTCATTGTATGTTTTTTGATTGGTCAAATAAATATTAATAATAAAAATAATATTAATCTTGACACCAAACTTCTTGGTGCAAGCAATTGTTTTTATTGTTCTTTTAAAAAAAAGCAATTGTAAGAAGTCTAGTTAGAACTGCAGTTAATCTAAAGGTAATTTTCTTTTTCCTTTGGAAAGTCTGGATAGTATTGATCTAACTGACATTCTAAGACATATGTTGTGTGATCAGTCCCATTTATAAGAAATGGAGCATGCTTTTACTGTAGTTTTAAAAGATTTGACCTACCCTAAACCATATCTTACACCACACAATCATTTCTACTTTGCAGACAAAGAGCTCTACGGACCCACCAAGTCCAGCTCTCTTTCAAAACAGCCGAACCAAATGGCGCCCTCTTTTGGAACGGAGTAGGCAATGCTGACTTCCAGGCTGTAGGAGTCTCAGATGGCTATGTAGAATATGCATACAATCTAGGAAGGGGTATTACAAGGATAAGAACTACGCAGAAGGTTGATAATAACAAATGGCATACTGTTATTATAACAAGGTAAGATTTCTCTTCTATATTCAGTGATGACGATAGAGATTATGGGTGGTATTCTCTTAAGTTAAGCCGGGACTAAGTCCAGACTAAACAAGAATTTTAGTTCGCACTTCTATGGAATGCTATGTTTCATCTTCCTCCTTCAATATTCATGACAAAGATAATCTACCAAGGACTGTGTTGAAATTTAGTTTATACTCATATTATCTTTTTCTTCCTATTTCAGTGCAAAATTAATTTTTTGGACACTTTTAATTGAAGGATTAAAATAATCTGTTCAGGGTAAATTAGTTCACAACAGGCACTCCATAAAAGTGTGAACTAACTAAGCACGCGCTAACTTAGTACGCGCTACCAGAATACCACCCTATAGCTTTTACCTTGTGCCTTTCTAGTACTGGGTTAGTGCCCTTTCCGATGTAATATTAGAATTCTGCACTTAAAAGAGCACTCTCCAATCGACACTTCTTGCGCTCAGGAGGCTTTTAGCTTTACAATGTGTATGGTGCACTCATACTTGTCCAACCACAATGATGTTCACATCCTACCAAACATCCACTCAGAAAACCTGGGTAGAGAGAAGCAATTGAGATAAAATGACCCGCATGAGGACAGTCTTGTTTGCAGAATTCATTTGAAAGTATTCAGGATGTAGATCACAGATTTTCTCTTACTTCACAGGCTTGATGTGAAAATTAATTTTAGAAAATAGTAATCTAGCTTTGCTATCAGTATCATCATCACCATCATGATCATCTTACCTATTTATTCCTCATCCTTTTTTTTTATTAAACAGAAATTTAATAGATGCCTCACTTCAAGTAGATAATGAAGAACCAGTCATGGGACAATCAAGAGCTGGAGCTTCACAACTAGACACAGATGGATTTTTATATCTAGGTAAGTCTATTTCTAGCATAGCATTCATTTTCTCTCTCTCTCTCTCTCTTTCTCTCTTCCTCCCACTGCCTCTTTCTCCCTCTACTTATTTCCCTTTTAGTCATTCTCTTTTTAGGCCTTCCATTTAAGTTATTCTTTCATTTTTTATCAGCCTTTTTCCTGTCTCCTTATCTCTCATTGTCTATTTGGTTCCTCTCTACTCCACCCCTGTTCATTCTACATGTATATTCTCTCCATTTACCCTGTAATTCCCACTTTCTTCTCCATTCTTCAGCATCTCTGTCTCTCTCTCTCTCTCTCTCTCTATATATGTACAGTTACCAACTAAATTATTCGTTCCCCTTGTAAATTTGATGATTTTTGTGTTTTTCGCAACTCAGTGATTAAAGGTGGTCTTGTCGAAATAAGGCCTTTGTTGTCTACTTTTAGATGCAAGCTTTAATATGTCAGATTCTCAGCAAACTTTAATCGGGACAAATCAATTTTTGCATATTAAAACATTTATGAAACTTGGGAAGGGTATGAATATTTTAGTTGTTAATATATCTGTATGTACGTCTCTCTCTGTACATTTTTTTTCTTTCTCTCATTTTCCTAACTGCCTCTTCCTTCTGACCGAATCTTCCTCATTCCCAATGCTCCCATACTCAACCTTGTGATCCTCTGTTCTCATTCTCTTCAGGACAAGGAGTAAACGTACCAGGAAGCATGGAGTCAAGTTATACATATTATACCGGCTGCATCCAAGATGTATTATTAGATGAAGTCCCATTGCATCTCTATGAAAATGCACAAGGAGAAAAACCATCACTGTTCTGCTCGGAACCATGAGGGCAGTATGATGCCTCACATCTGAGATACACACAGGAACACTCGCCAGATGTTGCATAAAGGACTCAAAAATAGAGACGGACAGAAAAAGAAAATAAAAGAGAAAAAAAAAGACTTAAACTATTTATATGTATAAATGAGCATTATATTATTGAGACATTACATGAAAGTATGATAATTTAGCTGTCTGGAAGGTGTAGTGAACAAACAGACATAGATGTAGAGAGTAAACAAGTTTTTAGATGTAGTGTTGTGGATTGTGACCAAACTTTTACTCTATTATAAGAAAGAGTAAGAACTACTCTCCAATAAGCATGGCAGTACTACACATGGCATTTACTTATACAGCTAGCTGCTTCATATCACCTCGCTCGCTATTCCTTTCTTATTTAAGACAATCTTTTATGAAACAAAGAAATTACAAGGAAACTTTTTTATCAGAAGTCATAGCAGTTTCCTTGTGTGATTTTTGTCCCCTTCAAATCATTATAGATCCCCTGTTCACAGAGGTATACTCCAGAAAGATATCAATGATTTTTTTTTTTTCAAAGGATTTTGGGAAGATTTTGCTTTGCGCCTATATGAATGATCTTAGTCATGTCCAGTTGTCTAATACAGTGAACAAACTTGAGTCTTGTTTTATTATAAGAGGTCAAAGTTCAAAGGTCATGAGATACTCTTGTAGCATAGCATTAAAGTGTTCATGCATGTATCTTGAGAACTGAAGAAAAAAACTTATTTGATCATTTTGAAGAAATTTAGTCCCTTGTATTCTCATATGTATTGCCCCAGTTAAAAATGTCAAAAAGTGCAAACTCTATTGGAATGAAAATAAACGACAAACAAAATGGAGATTTTTTGATAGTATATATAAAGACATGCTGCAGACAGGTTGTATACATGTTATTGTGTGATAAGGAGATGTATATAATATTTGTTCAGGACAGTACACATTTGAAGTAGGAGTGATACATTTTTATGAACATTAAAACTTAACACAGCTCCACTATGTTACATGGCCAATACTTTGGTACGTAATTGATTGTATATAAAATGCATGTGTACTACACTGTTACAATTTGCTGGGACGAACACATTCGCTAAACAATGAAGTTTTCAGTTTCGTTTGAAACATGATTTTGTTTGACCATTGTAAAGACAGGAGTCGAATCGTCACAAAGCTTATGATTAAATGTAGTCATTAAAGTAATATTGTGTGTGCTTTTATTTTCCATGTTCTTTTAAAATGGAAGCCCATTTACATGGTAGATTGTACTGCTCGAAACCATTGATTTTCCAGGTTCAAAAAATTAAATATAGACTTTAGCACAAAGTGTTTTTTTAAACTATTGATACATATCTGTGTCTTGTTAATATTTTATACATTTATTTCAATTATGAATGTGAATAATAAGTGATTTACTTTTTATTTAATATTTCTCTAGATTGGAGTGGAGGTATGCAAGATTTTTTTTTGGATAAAATAAGAGAACTGACATAATTTTCAATATTTACAATTAATATTGGTCTAACTCTCTGTATTGACATAAACAAATATGCAACTAAAGTTTTTTGTTTTTGTTAAAGGTCCATCCAACCAGTTATGAACAGCATTATAAGCTTTAGAAATCCATGTACAGTATAGTCATGCATGATGTATATATGTCTTTAGTTAGCAACTGAGCAATACAGATACTTTTACTGTGAAGGAAACGATCTAACAAAAACAATCACATGTAGAACAAGTAGTTTTCAATTTCAAAAATATGTGTAGTTTACCACGCAGTTGAAATTGATAACCATTTAGTGACTTATTGGTTCAATTTTTTAAAATAAAATTAACAAAGAACAGTCATGTGCTGTTGTTTTAGCGTTGGAAAAATAGAACTTAGTTTAGAACTGTCATGAATATAAATCTTTGAATCAATCTTGAACATGAAAATAAAGATTAATTTGATCATATTGAGTACATGTATTTCTAAACAACACAATGTATTGGGGGATCTACATGTATCTATATGTACAATTGTTATTATTAACGTGTTATTATCATGAAAAGTGTCATATGTTGTTACTATGCAAATAATTGTTATTTTGTGATAAACATTTGTAATTTGTGACCACTTCATCGTGATCTTTCCTTTCATAGTTTCCCCAGGTCCTAATTTGAACTGATGTAAAATGATGTTACTTGGTGATCTTAAGCTCAACCATGGGCTGTGATATCAATGATGGGGTAGGGAGACATACATTGTATTAGTTTGGACCAAAGGCCTGGAGGTTTGAAAATACATGTACAAAATAGTCACGAGACCAGAGGCATATAAGACAGATATTCATTATTTCAGTGACCTAGACCTACTAGGTGTATTAAAGGAAGTCCTTACACTGAGAAGACTGAATATTTGGGTCTTACTGACTTCTGAAGACTACTATGTCCATGGGAATAAAATCGTCCTTGGCTTGGCCTTGGGTCGAATTGCCTACAGACCGTTGGAGTATTAAGCCCTGTTGTTAATATCTATGTTCTATGGAGTATACAAAAATGTATGATTTAATGTCAATTTTTACCTAATGATGAGCTTATTTCCTGATCATTAATAATGATATTGATAATGTAAAGCCATCACTCCATACTGCAATAAGCTACACCTTTTGTAATAGACGTAGATTGATGCCCAGCACACACTATACGATCCGATCCGATCCAAAATGGCAATTATATTAGATACGGAAATCTAAACAAACATCATCTTCCCTATGTACATGTAGGTGTGGAATGATGATAAGAATACTAACAACCAGAATTTTAGTGTAATTTTCACCTTCTACCGGTAGTCAGAATGAAATCCGAACCGGCTTCAAATTATAGACAATCCCACCACTGGTCCGACGTCACTTCCAATTCTGCTTTAGCTATTCCTTCTCCAAAGAAACTTGAAATCCCTTCAAAATCAGATTTTATGAAGCATATGACCATTCAGATCCTTGATTATTAAGATATTAAAAGTGTGAATGTTCATATCAAATGTTATTGCAAATTCTCCCAAATTGGATCATTGTTAGGTCGTATAGTGTGTGGTGGGCTTATTAAGACCTTTTGATGTGGATGAATAATGAAGTTTGTCATTTTTGAAATTCAAAACATATTTGAGATTTGTGTGATAATGTTGACTACGATTATTTTATGCTATTGTACTTTCATACAAATTATGAGAACTATTCCAACAATTGTGAATATGCTATCATAGTTTTGTTATTATAATTATTATGCAAATAACTTGTACATTTTGGTCACTTGCTTTTCCAAGTATACTTGTATTTATTAACAATTTCAGTTGACACAACTGAGAGATTAAATAATGAGATCAAAAGTATAGCAGAAAAGCTGCTTTAGTTAATTTGTTAGTTTTCTTTCATTAGACATATTTATCATTTACATTATGTGAATATTTTAGTGTGATATATTATATATTCTTAATCTCTTTTTTAGCTCTCATATTTTTAAAAGATTTTAGATTTTTGTAATATCTCGGATTCAATGTCAAGTTTGTTTTATAGATTTTTTCATGCTCACTTTTAACAAAAAAATTAATGGATAATGTATTAATTTTAACAAGGAAAATAGACATTATTATTGATGGATTTCATTCAATTTCCGGTATATTATGGCTTTAATAGAATGAAATGATTTCAATATTGTTAAAACAATAAAGCCAAGGGAATGGGGAGAAAAAAATAAAGAACTAAAAGTTTCAAGTGTTTTTGTACTTAATGTGTGCCTATGAAAGCTTCAATGTGTGTCAAATTTGTATGTTATCCCATGTTTTATGTCATTTGTAATATTTGATTATACATTGTATTAGTTTCATTGGTATGTCAAGTTATCCCTGTACAATATTATATATAGTCCTAAAAATATCATGGAAGACAAAAAAATATGGTAAAACATAGATTTGGAAGAGAGTGCTTGTAAGATATAGTGAAACGCATTTTCCAAGTTTTACTAACAGAAAGACGCAGATTGTAATATTAGTTGATGTATTATTTCATTAAAAAAAGGGTGCTCCATAATACTGATGTCAATAAAAACTGAATGTCAAAACCATATTTGGACTCTGATGTGTATCGTTTGTCAACATTCTTGTAAGTAACTTCCTTGATCCCTAAGGCTTGTATCTGATTAAAACTTACCAATCACCTACACATAATTTTTGTACTCTACAGCTAACATATATATCAATTCAACCTTAACCCAAAACTTAACCTGGCATTATATGGATTAATGTTTAAAGCCCTACCACACTAGTTTGGCCAGGAGGGATTATACCTCCCTGCAAGGTAGTGACCTTGCAGGGAGGTATAATCCCTCCTGGTTATCTCATTAATTAACATAAGAAAAAGAGGACCATGGGGGACCAACAGTCACCGATTAGGCATTGTTTGCTATATAGAGGGCGCAAGTAGCTATAAGTAGTGCAGTGGGGCTTTAAGAAGTGTTATTAAATAAAGGATAACATAAACAGGGCACGCACAGTACCCAGTTAAGTACTGCAAGCATGTAGTAGTAGTAGTAGCTGTCTGTCTTGAAGCAACAATGACCACCTTCATTTTCACTTTACAGCTGTTCTCCATACAGCTCCCTGGCCTGCAGCAGCATGTACAGGTCAAATAACAAGTCCCTCTTTTGCTCATCGAGAGTGTATTCAATTGAGAGTGTAGACACACAAAGAATCAAAAGTGTTTTGAATTGATGCAAAACTCATATCATTGCGAAGGGGAAGCCTTACTGATCAAATACAACAACTCTCCTCTTCAAAATATGTTTCAGGCCCGCAGTAATCAACTCTAAAAAATGTTAGTTTTGAGATCCAGATTTTCTGGCTTCAGCGGTCCTTTGAAGTGCGTCAATATTTGTGACGTCACACACGGGACATGGCTGGCTAGCTGCAGACTAATACACGCGCGACTCCGGTATGCAACCGGTACCGAGCTGTTTGTCCAGGGTGTGACGTCACTATTCAGAGCTCCCTACGCTCGTGTGTTTGGCTTACGTTCGGGGGCACTTGGGGGTCTAAGAAGGGTCTTGAAAAATTGCATTTTATGCCTTTCCATAATATCTATATGATTTCTCAGCAAATTATTCGTGTTTTTCAAGAGAAAATCTTTCCATCCATATGTAATTTGTTCTAATTATCAGTTGTTAGTAAATTTTCTTTGTGTAGCTCCTTTAAAGCTCATAGTTTGATTATACACACTGTAGATCAATGGAACCCATATCATACAGAGCAAAATATCTTGTGGGTGATTGGTACAATTTAAATTTCACACCAAATGCCTTGTCTGAAATGACCAAAGGAAGTTGGTCCGAGGTCTAACTTTTCCCTTTGTTAAGCATTACTCAGACCTAGCAATGGGTTTAAATGACTTAGAAAAATACAGACTTAGTAGAATACAGATCAATGCTAAACACAACTTCAGGTAAACAAATTCAGACAGATGAAATCATTTGTAAATCATGTAACCAAAGTCATTTTAATAAACAAATACATTACAAGAATTTTTAAATACATCTGTGACTTCACAAATGATTGCATCATGAAATCAATGTAAAAAAACAAATTAATTAGAGATGATTGCTTGAGCTGGATGGGGTTCTGTTTCCTTAAACTATGTCGCTTACCAAAACACTAGAAAGTAGAGGTATCTTGGTCTAGTGGATATGTCCCTCACAGCACTAATGTTCTTTGGCAAGACATTAAGCTACATTTGCCACTCTTCACCCAGTTGCAGTAAATGGGTACCAGGGAGGAAGGAATCCCTTGAATGCTTGAGCGCCTTTTTATGGTGGCTCAGCTACAGCCGGTGTAATGATATACTCTGTATCAGGCGCAGTAGAGTATATTCATATAGAAGCTGCACTATATAAATGACCTATTAATATTATTTTGTATTATTAAAGAATAAAGTTACTGACATGTAGTGTGGTAGATTTATCACCTTCACATAATATAATAGAATCTAAAAAATGAGTAGATTAAAATGTTAAAACCAGTATTAACTTAATATACTATGTTTGTTTGTTTTTATTTCTGCGTTTTCAAAATAGAACATAATCATATACTGAAAGTAACGATTATTATTATTTTACATAATTATCGGTATACATTTTTAAGTATATTAAATAAGATGCATACAAACACAAATATTTTTCAATGAAAAAAAGATCAATTACAGAAAACGCAGGAGACCGCGATCATGAGCGGTAAGATTGAAATCGATGGCGGCCTCAAGAGAATAATTGCTGTCATTCTCTAACAAAACAAATTAAGGTCATACTATAAATTTGAGACATTTGACACAATGTTTTGCTGACTCAATATTATTTCAGTTACAAAAAATGAGACAATGTTAATTAGCTAAAGAGGTTGACATTCTGTGCTTAGGGTAGTATATCAGTTGACTGACTCCATCAACTTACCGTTAGACAGAATTTCAAACCTGAACTTAAATTGGTACACTGTCACAAATAACAGCTATGGATAATTAGATTTAATCCTGAAGCACGTATTTACAATGGGGGTTCACATCATTCATAGAGGATGCAAGTATTATGAAATTAAGCATAATATAATGCACTGCAAAAAAAATTCTTTGCCTATATCAAATGGTAATATGAGCTTCTGTTCATAATACCATATGATATTCATGTAGGCAAAGAATTTTTTTTTTTAATAGCATATACAGTAGAATTTTTGTTTTTAATGTCGTTTGTACATAATTACAGCAATTTTTGTCTACATCTTTGCCTTTGTCTATAATGAAATGTAGAAAACAAAATGGTATGTGCTACCTTGCACGCACTGGGCAAATGGTGTTATACAGGGCGTCCCAGAAAAAAATGAAACCGAGAATTATCGATGTTTTTAATAACTTAATCACAATTATAATTAATAAATGACACATATGTGTAAAGCTTAGATCCTCCTCTTTCATTTGATGCAACTCATATGATGCATTTTTAGCATGAGTAATTAAAATCAATTTGAAGAGAGGGAACCAAAATGTCATTTGGTGGACGGTATCTGAATTTCAAAGAGATAATCACATTTGATTTCTAGAAAGTTCAGTTTTTGCCCTTTCAAATGACACCTCAATCAGGAAAAATGAGCTAGGAATAACGAAGTTCTGTTTGTTTAAAGTAATGCTTGCATTTCCATAATTTTATTAAACAAATTTGTTTTCACTGGCTGCCTGCCATAGCAACAGGTCAAATTGACAAAAGACTTAACTCTGTTTCGTTGACAATCAGCCATGCATCAGGTCTTTTGTCTATGGCTGATCGTCCGGAGGAGGAGCAAGAGCAAGAGCAAGAGAAGAAGTGTGGCGACAAAGATACAGAGCTGCCTGATTTGGGTTATTTCCAGGTTTGTCCTTGCTTCTTCAAACTTTTTGAAAAGTGGTTATGAGATTAGCTAACCAAAAATTGAAAGAAAATATGGTGCCTTTTGATAATACATGTATGTATAAAAAAATTATAATGATTGTTATCAGAATTTATTTGAAGAGCTTGATAAAAGGGACTATTTCAGTATAAACTGCCTGGTGTGATCGTGATAAATAACTATTGATATAAACATTTCGGGTAGGCCTACCTAATAAATTAAATGGTTGATACGTATTTCTATTGATTATATCTATATTTCACTAACACTACAGAATCAAGTTAAGACTAACATGAAAGAGCTGAGAATGGCCCGGGACACGCTTCACCGATGTATCATTAACAGGGAAGCGATGAGAGCAGTGAAGGCACTGAAGAGCCAATCTTCCTTTAATAAGGAGGAGATATCTAGTTAAGACTCAGATGAAAGAGCTGAGAATGGCCTGGGACATGCTTCACCGATGTGTCATCAACAGGGAAGCGATGAGAGCAGTGAAGGCACTGAAGAGCCAATCTTCCTTTAATAAGGAGGAGATATCTAGTTAAGACTCAGATGAAAGAGCTGAGAATGGCCTGGGACATGCTTCACCGATGTGTCATTAACAGGGAAGCGATGAGAGCAGTGGAGGCACTGAATAGCCAATCTGAAGGATTGGCTCTTACTAGCTATTTGAGGTAATTGATGAAATGTTTAAGGCGTATGTCACGCCTGATGTGATAAAGATTGGAGAAGCAAAGAAGTCCCCAAACAAGTCATAAGGCGTATGTCACGCCTGATGTGATAAAGATTGGAGAAGCAAAGAAGTCCCCAAACAAGTCATTCGGCGGACGGTATCTGAATTTCAAAGAGAAAATCACATTTCTAGAAAGTTCAGTCTTTGCCCTTTCAAATGACACCTCAATCAGGAAAACTCAGGAACAATCAGGAACAACTCCGTTTTGTTGACAATCAGCCATGCATGAAGTCTTTCATCTACCGTATGGCTAATCGTCAACAAAACAGAGTTATGGAAATGGAATCATTACTTTAAACAAACAGAACTTTGTTATTCTTAGCTTTTCCTGATTGAGGTTTAAACCCCTCTCTGATTCGCCAACAATGGTTTCTATAGTCCATGGTTTGGTTTCTTTCTACTCAGCATGCTCAGTAGATCAGATGCTGTCTGCTACATCTGTCAGTGCAGAGAGGGAGAGAACCAAAGGGAACTGGCAAGCAAGTGGGTGAAAGAAACTTTCTCCTAGAGATGATCAGCGAGAGGAAGGACATATTACTCTCCAGAAAGACAGATTACTTAACCAACTCAAACAAAGCAGGTGCATGGGAGGCCTTGGTGCAAGCTTTCCATGCCAAATTTGGAATGAGATGGAGTATAACCCAAATAAAAGACCAGTGGAAGAGGATACGGATGAATGCAAAAAATGACTACTCAAACTTTGCCAAGGAGACCAGAAGTTCAGGTGGAGGTGGCCCTCCACCTGAACCAAGCCATTTTACCATTATCGTTAAAAGGAACTTTGCCCGTACGACTTCATGCAACTAAGGAATCTGTTTGATGATAATAGCCTAGACAACATCGCAATAAGTTCACTCAATTCCTTAGCAACTGGCCGTAATGAGTAAGTAATCTAACATAGTCTATGGGTTTCGTAAGAATACAAATTTAAAAGGGGAAAGTGGAGTGACAAAGAGAGAAAAGAGCAAGTCATGTATGGCTGAGAGAGAGGGAGTAAGAGAAACGCTCCAAAACGAATATAGATGGCCAGTGACTATCATTTGTTAATACGAAGGGGGGAGCCGTGGAAGGGGGTGCGGGTTAGTAGCTCTTTCATCTGAGTCTTAACTTGGGCGGACAGTAATGTTCATACCTTTGTGGTTTGAGAGATGTTTAAGTAATACCAAAAGGTATGAGATGAACCCCCCCCCCCCCCCCAAAAAAAAAAAAAAAAAAAAAAAATTATATAATAACTCTCCAATGAATTAATGTATTTCTCCTTCCAGAAAAATCCAAAGAAACATAATTCCAAATATCACAACTATGAACAAATAAACCTAGAAGAAGCTGCAAGATTGGTGTTGGCAAAGAAAAGAAGTACTCTATTAGAGGCAAACGGCAGCCCTACAGTTTGAAGCTTCGCCAAAGAAGAGGCGCTTAGCAACCACCTGATATATATGGCCGAGGTGGTTATGGATTAATCGTTCCCAGGTAAAAATCTCAAAATTTATTCAGATTCTTATTCATCAAACAGTTTCATTTCAAGTTTAATATACTCATTATAAATGTCAAAATCAAGTGCAGGTATACCACTATCAACAAGGTGGTTTCATGGGTTTTTAAGGAGATGACCAATTTTCCGAGTTATTAGACCGAGATCCCTGGCAATCAATAGAGCAATAGCGACCACAACGGAAAGGATCACAAACTACTACCAGGAACTGAACAGGATTTTAACCAAGTACACCCCAAAGACAAAGCCGAGTTCATCTACAACGTGGATGAGACAAGTATTTTTTTCCCTGTGACACTACTGACTGAGATCATTTTGCAGGGTGACTTCGCCATAAATTTCTTTAACGTTGTCCAGGACGAGATTCAGTCTTTTCATTGGGAAAACAATCAGGCTACTCTACACCCTTTTGTGGTGTACTGTAGGATGACTGATGCAACGCTTGAACACTGGAACATATGCGTAGTGAGTGACATGTAGTAGAGAGCGTTCAACAGTTACTGCATGTGCACACATTCTTGAGGGTTGTCATTCCGTACCTCCAAACTCAATTCTCTGACATGAAGGAAATCCATTATTTTACTGATGGCTGTGCTGGACAACAGAGGAAAAAACTAATTTTCTCATTCTGTGTCATCATCAAGAGGACTTTAATTTAAGTGGAGAATGGAACTTTGTGCAACAAGCCACAGGAAAAGTGCATGTTATGGAATAGGAGGGACAGTGAAAGGGTTGCTAACGAAAGGCTAGTCTGATCTGGGTTTAAAGAGATCAAGATATCTTGGATAAGACAGAGCCTATCCCATTCCCTCCACCATACATGCCCCTAGTCTTCCCATTGAGATGAAGTCCATACCAGAGTTATCGGTGCAGGAGACACCAACTCATCCTGATGACTACATGGACTTTAGCAATGATAGTAATCACAAGGTACAGCCAAGTGAACGAGCAAATAAAGTTGGCTACTGCGAAAGTACCGTACATGGTGGCCATTCCTTTATAATCTACAAACTCCACCCAAACCATTGTACTTCCCGAGAAAGCATGCGACAACAAAACTCTGAGAATCACTGCTGGCAAGTCGATACAACTACTGGTTCTACCTGCAACACACGTACCAACCCGGTTAGACGATCGAGTGATCCAAATTATTTTATAACCTACAAACTCCACCCAAACCATTGTACTTCCCGAGAAAGCATGCGACAACAAAACTCTGAAAATCACTGACAAGTCGATACAACTACTGGTTCTACCTGCAACACACGTACCAACCCGGTTAGACGATCGAGTGATTAAAGTTCTTTACACCGTAGTTACCGGGGTCCTGCTAATTGCAGATAGACCTTCAAACTCAACCAAATATCATGCTCATCTAAAAACAATGATGGCAGACATTCTGCTACTCCTGCAGGAAGAGGCTGGTAGGCGACTATGGAGGGAAAGAATCTTGTGAGACAGGCTAGACCCATTGGATAGGCCGGACGATGAAATCTGGAGAAAATACAGATTCACAAGGGCTGGTCTACTCAAATAGTGGTTGAAAAATGGAGATGATTTAATTCTCTTTTATCTGACATCAAACTCATGGTTGTTCAAGGTTTCCCTAATACAATATTACAAAATACTATTTTTAATTTTTAAAAGGCAGCTTTTTTGGACGCCCCCTCCGATTTAGGCCGGTAGGCGACTATGGAGGGAAAGAATCTTCCGAGACAGGCTAGACCCATATTCCCTCGCTAGATGAGCTTTTTGACTATGTGGAGAGGACTTGGCTTCAAAATCAGATGTGGCCGATAGCAGCGTGGTGTACATGTATGCACGGGAAGTCAATCAGGACCAACAATAATGCGGAAGGGTATAACAACCATCTCAACAGAAAGGCTGGAGGAAAGACCAACTGGCAGCACTGCTCCATCGGGAAGCACTCCTGACAGACCTCATCATGAGGATGGTTGATCGTCACCTCATCACCAGGACTATACAAGCCAGGGTCTTCAGGGCTTGGGAGGCCCATAGGGACGACGAGAAAACAACACAGGAACTCCTTCAGGCACGATTACTTGGATGCAACTTCCATTGGCAGCAAGCCTGGCAGTAGATTGCAGTACAATGGAATTCCTGCAGGTACTGCAACGTTTTTTCACCATCAGAGGACAGCCAGCTATGATATTGAGCGACAATGGCACTCAGTTCGCTGGTACACAACGCGAGCTGAGAAAGAAGGACTCTCAGACAAAGAGCTGAAGGACTTTTGTGCGGAGAAAGGCACCACATGGAAGTTTGTAACTCCAGGGGCAACCCATCAAAACGGATGTGCAGAGTCCTTAGTTAAAAGCTGTAAGCATGCATTGCAGAAGGCGATTAGTGAACAAGTGTTGTTGCCTTTTGAACTTTGAACTAGCGGAGGTAGCGAATCCTGTTAACCAAAGAAAAATCGGCTGACTTTCAACTGATCCAGATGGTAGTTATATTTCACCAAACGACATGCTTCTGGGAGCATGCCCTCGCATGGAAACCCAACAAATGGTTTATAAAAAAAATCATGTGAAGTTTATCTATGGATAATGTGTATTACTTTTTTATTTTTTGTTTTATTTTGAAATTGTTCTTTTTAGGTGCGACTGTGGTCATTGCAGAGTTCTCCCTTCTTTGGATGTAGGAGACTGCATCTGCTGCAGGGAGATACCAGAGGTTGCTCCTGAAGCAGACAGGCTGGACATGGGTATGAGATGTATCACAGAGGCACCATCCTTCAACCCTGCAGTGCTTGATCCTATCACACTCTTTGTTGCATGGCACAATTTCACCGAGAAGTGGCGCAGACAAGCCAGGTCATTTGGAGCAAGAAATAACGAGTACCGGTAGATGTCATTGATTTTAAAGCTGGCAAATGCGTTGTTTTTATCATAACTTGATACCTATTTTGTATTGATGAACACTGATTTGTACATTGTATTAAATATCTAAGGAGTTGCTGCCAAGGTGGATGGATGGAGAGGTCTCATTTTATCCCCCACCCTCCTTAAAAGAAAAGAATTCAGTGAATAGGCCTCAGGAATAGCTATATTTGCATGCATTTAGTAGGTAATGCCATTATTTGTGCGTGTTTTTTAAAAAAGGAATTCAATCTTTATTTACTGATACAACACATTAAAATGCTTTCCTACAGCCATCCTCCACTGAATTAAAGAAAATAAAGACACATTCGACCATCAAAATAGAAGCATCTCTCAACCGTTGGCTGGCCGATTATTTAGTGTTTTCTTCTTTTATAATAATTGTTTTTCTTTCTTTTTGGTGGATGAGCTGTAGACCAAGGGATGTGAGTGTGAACGAATGATTTTGTACTGCCAATCCAGGAAACTGGTAGCAGAGCTAGCTGTATACTCTTTCTTATGGTCACTGCTCTTTCTGCAAAGCTTCTGCTGAACTTTGGAACAAACTACCTTTAAATGTCAAAAACTGTCAGACTGTTAACTAATTCAAAACTTGTCTTAAGACACATTTATTCAAAATTGCTTTTGATGATTAACTTACTCTGTTCGCATTGAAACTTGAAAATCTCCATACCCAAATCCACAAAGCTGAGGAGGCAGAAAATAAGCTTGAAAGATTTTCAAGGAGAAATAACCTAACGATCGTCGGCCTGGCGGAGGATAATGGAGAAAAGCCTGATGAGAAAGTTGCCACTTTGCTGGTTCAGTACTTCGGGATGCAAATCCACAAATTGAGCGTGCACAACGAGATGGGAAACCAATTGAAGGAAGGCCGAGACACATGCTATTCAAGTTGCTGTCTTATCAGGACAAACGGCAGATCATGTCTCTATAAATTAGTGGTAGATCTGATATTTATTTATAGTCAGTATAGGTAACTAGATTAGTATTGTTAGTCCCCCTCCCCCTCTATTGTAATCTACTTCTTTAACAAAAAATGTTGTTGTTCCAGTAAAGGTGATCTGTGTTTTAACAAGCTGTGCTTTTTTACAGACCACCTCTTTTCCACATTTATTAAAGTCTTTATAACTGTTTCATTGTTAATGAATTTATGCTAGTTGACGGTGAACTTGTTGCTACTGTTCCTGAATTAAATGTTTTTTATGCAAGTGGAAAGAAATAAATAAATCTTGAATGTATATCTCATATGTATTGTAATTTGTAGGTTTATTTGCATTTTTTTTTTTTTAAATATGTAATTGTTTATCATTGTATTTTCAAAGAGCCCCTATAAATCTTGACCCTCCCATTTCATTATGGAACGCAGGGGGGAGACCCTTCCCGGTAGCACTACCCATGCAGTGCGAGGGAAGGACCAACTTGTGAGGATCAAGGTAAACGTCCTGGTCTACCTTCAAGCTGGTAGGGGTTGTGAGCCATCTGACTTGTTCAGTTGGTGGCGGACAGACCAGGGTGGCTAGGAGAGGAGTGTCTCATCCGCCTGCATAAACAACTTACGTTTTGCAGACGACATCGTCTTGATAGCCGAGACTCCAGAGGAACTGCAGACACTGGTTGATAAAGTCTACAAGGCAAGCTGTGACCTTGGTCTCAAGGTGAACATAGCAAAGACAGAAGTGCAAGCTATTAGCAAAAGGAAGTGCAACCTCAATATCGACATAGCCAACGACAGACTAAAACAGGTGGAAGATTTTGTGTACCTGGGAGGGAAAATAGCAGAAAACGGCTCTAGTACAAGTGACATTAAGAATCGTATCAGAAAAGCAGGGGCAGCTTTCCAAAGGCTAAATAACATATGGACATCAAAAAGCATTAGTAGTCACACGAAGATGCAACTGTACCAATCACTCATCCTCTCTATACTGCTTTATGGGGCAGAATCCTGGACAGTTAAAAAAGAAGATAGCAACAGACTTCAAGTGTTTGAAATGGCATGCCTTCGTCACATAATGGGGGTGACAAGACTAGATAAGATCCGTAACACACACATCAAAGAATCCCTCAACCTTGATCAAGATGTTATGGACAAAGTCTCTACTAAAAGACTCAAATCTTTTGGCCACGTCCTAAGAATGAAACCTACAAGATACCCCAAAATTGCAGTGGAAGGAAAGGTCACAGGAAATCGACCCAGAGGCCGTCCACCCAAAAGATGGCTTGACTGCATCTCAGAGGACTGCAAAGCAAGATCTATACCAAGGCTGACAGATGCATCAAGACTGGCTGCGGATAGAAAAACTTGGCATACTATCGCCATACAGAAGCCATGACGAGGCCCCTGGCCTGCATGGTCGCCATGAGTCAAGTAAGTCAAAAGTATTTTGTTTGTTAAAGCGCTTAGAGACTTCGGTGGTAAGCGCTTTATAAGCACTGTTTTTATTACTAGTATTGTAGCGAATTGCCTAAGTCAGTTTCCGCATACGTGCAAATGTACCACACTAACACTGAAGAGGATATCCAGGAGAAGATCATCGCTCACATGGGAGACCCAGGTGGAGAGATTAGAGTCCTGATAGCCACCATCGCATTTGGGATGGGGGTCGATGTGAAAAGTATGCACACCGCCATCATGATTGGAAGGCCATCAGAGCTCCATGACTATCTACAAATGGCAGGAAGAATTGGACGGGATGGAACACAGAGCATGTGCTTGACTGTGAAATATCCAGGGGATATTGTTGGAGGGGGTGTTTCTAAATCAATGAAAAGATTTTTGAGTGCAGGAGAAGTGTCATCAACGAAAACTACATGTCCAGTGGTACTGTCATGAAGAAGCATGAATGTTGTTATGTCTGTGCAGTACAATGCATGTGTTCTGGGAATAGGTGTGATGCTGAGCCATCACGGTTGGAAAGTCTGGCACGCAATCATCTTGACATGCAAGGAGAAGCTCCGGAGTTCCTGATTTCCATACCCACACCTGCCCAGCAGGACAAGCTCAAAAGAAGTTTGGATGAATATCAAAATGAACTGGTAATAGAATGTCCAGATCATCTGTACAGTGGGGAAGGACATTGCCAGTGGACTTCCAGAGTGTACAATATCAAAAATAATGTGAGAAATCAACGTGCATCTGACTAGAGACGAGTATGTGAAGATATACCACTTTGGTAGCTCCGATGTTGCCCAGAGAACCTGGGTTATGTATCTTAAGATTCTTGAAAGGACTGATAGTAATTTGCCTGACAATTCCTGCACCCCAGTTCAACAGGACCACTCTGATGGATCCGATGTGTGTGGTCCGGGAATGTATTTGCTGATGCAGTTGAGGAGGCTGTATCTGGCATCGCTGCACGGTTAGTGGAGCATTGAAGGCCGGTAATGGATCTGGAGGGGAAGGTAAGAGCACAGGAAGAGGAAATCGAGCACCTTAAGAAGGCAGGAGAAAGCTCTACAGAATTTTGTTCGGCTTTGGAAATGAAGCTGGATGTGTTAGAGCAACAGGGAAGATGCAACAACATCCGATTTCTTGGAGTAAAGGAATCTAAAGAGGAGGTTCCGGAGGCGGTCATGATGGAGGTTAGGGAGAAGTTTGGCGTCAAATTAACCCCAGCTGACTTCGACCGTTGTCATCGACTAGGCTCGTCTTCACCTGATGCAAATCAGCGGAAAATACATCGCCCTCTTCTAGTAAAGTTCTCAAGCCATCGCAGCAGGGGTCTGGTAATGGGAGCCAGATCAAAGCTGAAAGGCACTGATATCTTCCTCAATGATGATGATGATGAAGCTCCTGTATAATGTATAATGTCCGCCACTGACAGAAAGTAGAGCGATCCTTTAGCCAAAAAAGGAGGATCTTTGCGGGCATAAAGAACATAAATGGCGGCTATACCAAGAAACTAATAACTTGTGATGTAGACATTGCTAACAGCAGACTAGCATCTCATCACCTAACTAATCATGCTGAGCTGAACAAGGGATCAGAATTAATGGATGATCTTCGTGTAGTTGAGGCACCTGCCGACGACGAATATGAAGACATCCTAGTGAGAGTCAAGAATTCAGGAATCCGCAGACTTGCTATTAGGACAATGACAATTGTGACTGAACGTTGTTATCAGGGAAAGACGGGGCAAAATCCAAACTAGAACATACTATTTTGAGAATGAAGAATAGTAACCGTAAATCTCTGTGTATAAGGCGCACTTTTTTTGCGCTTTATAAGCACCGTTTTTATTATTTTATTATGTTTTGTAGAGAATTGCCTAAGTCAGTTTCCGCATACGTGCAAATGTATCACACTAACACTGAAGAGGATATCAAGGAGAAGATCATCACTCACATGGGAGACCCAGATGGAGAGATTAGGGTCCTCATAGCCACCATAGCATTTGGGATGGGGGTCAATGTGAAAGGAATGCACCCCACAATCATGATTGGAAGGCCATCAGAGCTCCATGACTATCTACAAATGGCAGGAAGAATCAGAAGGGCCGATTATTGCAGCCTTTAATCGGTACACGTCCAAAAGTATGATCCTGGTAAATGCACGTCGCTTCTTGAAGGAGAAACCCTTTGAGCACAATGGAAAGCATCTTATTTACGTGGATGAAATGTTGCCCAAGGAAATTCGTGAACAACGGAAGAAGCTGATTCACATCAAGAAGAAGCTGAAAGAGGAAAATACAAGGAGAGCAGTGTACTTCAAGTATCCTGCTCGCATCTTCTACAAAGAAGGAAAAGACGGGAAGGAGATAGAATACAAGATGAAATAACTCAAAACGTCAAAGGAAAGAAAATATCATTCCACATCGAAATGCCGGAAACATTAAAAAAACAAAAACATGAATAATGTTATAGAGCTGGACTTACCTTGCCTACTTAAAAACAAGAAGAAAAGTGAAAAAGGAATACTTAGATTAGGTTAATGACAAGAACTTAAACTTTTATTTGTTTAATTATTTTTCATGAACTAATTCTGAGAGTGAACTTTTATAGGTGAATATGTGGAAAAAGCACTCAAAGGAAAAAAGGAAAGACCACGATGTGGTCTAAGGCATACGGAAGAACTAGCCTTTGTTATGATTTGTTTTTTGTGTTGTTTGTTTGTTGAACCTGAATGTTTAATATATGTTAAACCTGATCTTATAATGGTGGTATTTTTAAGAAATTCATATCTTAACTATGGATTTGAAGCTGATGACACATAATGTTAACGGATTGGGGGACTTTAAAGCAAGGAAACGTTATTTTAATTATATGCTTAAACAGAACAAAGATATTATCCTTTTACAGGAAACTCATTCTGTAGAAAAGGAAGAATCATTATGGAGAAATCAAGTTAGATCTGATATTATTTTCAGTCATGGAACTTCTAAGAGCAGAGGAGTATGCATTATATTAAGAAAGACACCCGATTTTAAATTGTTAGACTCCATTAAAGATATAATGGGACGATTTTTATTGGTAAAAGTTGAAATTCAGAAGAAAGTTTATGTGATATGCAACATATATGCACCAAATAATGAGAAGGATCAGGTTGAGTTTTTTAAGAAGGTAGAATTGACCATACAAGATAACGTTGAAAATGGGGAAATTCTAATAATTGGTGGGGACTTTAATTTAATTCAAAACCTTGATCTGGACAGGGCAGGTGGCTCAATGAAAAGCATTTGGAAGCACTCTGTGAATCTTATAGAAAATCTGAAAATATATTTTGGTTTGGTTGATGTTTGGAGAATCAGAAACCCCTGCAAAAAAGGATTTACATGGAGAAGGTATAACCCACTGGTGCAATCTAGATTAGATTTTTGGTTAATCCATGAATCCTTACAGAATACAATTAGTGAAAATGATATCATACCGTGTGTTTTGTCTGATCATGATCATGTTAGTTTGCACATGAAAATTAAGACAAAAAATTCTAGTCCGTCCTACTGGAAATTTAACAATAGTCTATTGAATGATGTGGAGTATGTTAATGCTTTAGCTAATAAATACTCAGAATGGATTGGTGAGTTTACAGATAGTAATGATAAAGGAGGGCTATGGGATTGGTTAAAGTTTAAAATTAGAGAATTTACTGTACCATTTTCTAAGAAGAAGAAATGTGAAAGGGAAGAGAAAAGAAAGGCTCTTGAAAAAGAATTGAAAAAATTAGATGACAGGATGGCAGCAGAAGATATAGATGAAGAATTAATGAAAAAGAAAAGGGAAATAGAACAGGAGTTGTTTAAAATATATGACTATTTTGCAGATGGGGCAATCTTGAGGTCAAGGTGTACATGGTATGAGAAAGGGGAAAAGAGTACTAAATATTTTTTGTCATTGGAAAAAGGTCAAGCAGCAAATTCCAATATTGATGTTTTGATTTCAGATGTAGGACGTATTGATAAACAGTCTGAAATACAGGATTTCATTAAGAAATCATATAAAACTTTGTTTGAGAACAAAGATACGGTGGAAGATGAGGTGAGCAAAGATTACATAAGTCAGAGTAACATTAAGCATCTCACAGACGAAGAAAGAAATTCATGTGAAGGAAATATCACTTGCTCTGAAGCTAGGGCAGAATTGTTAAAAATGGCTAGAAATAAAACACCTGGGAATGATGGGTTAACTGTGGAGTTTTATGAGATGTTTTGGCCTTTGATATCAAAAGAAGTTATTGATTCTTTCAATTTTGCATATGAAAATAGTGTAATGTCTGTGTCACAAAGACAAGGTACAATTAAACTCATCCCTAAGCCTGATAGAGATAAACACACACTGAGCAATTGGCGTCCCATAACTCTTTTAAATGTAGATGTTAAAATACTTTCTAAATGCTTGGCGAAGAGAGTTGCTAAGGTGATAGGAAAGTTAGTAGATAGTCAACAAACTGCCTTTATTAATGGCAGATACATAGGGGAAGGAATAAGATTGATATCAGACCTCTTACAATATACTAAGGAGGAGAATTTGAGAGGTATTATGCTAGCCCTTGATCTAACAAAAGCATTTGATTCAATAAGCCACAGGTACATGCTAAATTGTTTAGAAGCGTTCAATTTTGGACCATCTTTCATACAATGGGTTAGAACATTGCACACTAATATAAGTAGTTGTGTATTGGTGAATGGATTTACCACTGGATATTTTCCAGTGTCTAGAGGAGTCAGACAAGGTGATCCTCTGGCTCCTTTACTGTTTATACTGAGCTTGGAAGTTGTTCTTACAAGACTTAATAATAATGATAATATTCAGGCTTTTGAATTTAGTGGAAAACAAATAAAGTATACAGCATATGCTGATGACATAACTTGCTTTTGTAGGAATATACAATCAATGAAGATGGTTTTCAAAGTTTTTGAAGAATTCTCAATCATATCAGGTCTTTATTTGAATAAAAAACAAAAACGGAAGGTATATGGGTTGGGAAAGATAGGCACAATGGAAAAAAAACAAATGATATACATTGGGCAGACAAAAGCATAAGAATATTAGGCATTCATTTCTCATATGATCAGGAAGTAGTCAGGAAACTGAACTTTGATAAGAGACTGGATGAAATAAAATGTACTTTCTTAAGATGGAAGAATCGGGGGGTTAACTTTAATAGGGAAAATTTAACTGTTGAAAACATTTGTTATGTCTAAGATTATGTATATAGTTTCCAATATTGAAATACCCAATGATTTTGTTGAGGTTGAAAAGTTGATGTTTCAGTTTATATGGAAAGGTCCAGATAAGATATCACGGGCAACAATGATTGCAGATTATACTGAAGGTGGTCTTAAATTCCCGAAACTAAAATGCATGATAGAGACACAGCTGGTTAAGTGGATTCAGAGATATTATACAGAATCAGATCATCATTGGAAGTTGTTCTTTGACCACTATAGTAAACTATTTGGTGGAAAATTGATTTTTATGAGTAATTATTCTATGAGCCAGTTGAATTCTCTTGGAATTCTCATATTTTATCATAACTTGTTGTTAGCATGGTCCAAGACAAAGGAGTATAATCAATTTGTTGATGATCAAGGAGCCCAAGCAAGTGTACTTAGTCAAATTGTTTGGAACAATCAATATATTCTTATTGATAATAAATCAGTTTACTGTAAGGCCTTTCATGAGGCAGGTCTATGTTATGTATATCAACTTTTTGATCTACATGGAAACATTGTGCAATTTAATCTTTGGAAAGCAAGAGGAGTACCAGGTAAATACTACATGATATATTTGGCAATAGTATCGCTAGTCAGGAAGAAATGGGGAAGTTCATTTAATCAATTATTGATACAAATGTTCTTGGAGAAAATAGATTATGAACATGATCAGTCTGACCTTTTGACAGTAGAAATTCAAAAACTAAAAACTAGAAATATTTATGTTGATTTAGTTAGTAAATTGACATGTAGACCTGTCTGTGAACCCCTATTTTCCACTAAATATGGGATAGAAGAGGAGGAATGGCCACAAATGTATCTACTCCCATTTAAATGCACAATAGAAGTTAAGATGAGAGTCTTCCAGTTTAAAATTTTGCATAATATTCTATACACCAATGAGAGACTATTTAAAATGAAGCAAGTTCAGACAGAACTTTGCACATTGTGCGAGACCTCTGTTGAAACTCCTTTACACCTTTTTTATGAGTGTAAGGTTGCTGAAGATTTAAGACGAGCTTTTGTTGATAAAATTGGTCTAAAGCTATCTGTCAGATATGAGGATCTATCTAGGAAAAGAATGATGTTTGGATTCATAAAGGATTGGAAGGGACCACATAAAATATTATTAAATCACTTAATTATCTTATTGAAGAGATACATTTATATTCAGAAATGCAGGAATTTAGTAGTAAGTTTCATAGGTTTTGAAACGTTCATTTGCAAAATCAGACATATAGAATTGGTAATTGCTAAACAAAAGCACAAAGAAAACATGCACTATAGAAAATGGTCCCCTATTGAGAATTTATTTTAATTATCCATAATTATATTTTGATAATGATACAGTTCAAACCACCCGAGACTGATTTTTTAGTTTTTACATCAGGTCTGTTTGTTTGTTTGTTTGATTGTTGTTGTTTTTTGGGGTAATTGTTACAGTGATTCGTATTTGATTATTGTTCTTTAAATGTTATACAATTATTTAATTCTTGTATGATTGTTGTTTTTGTAATGTTACAAAAAATTTCGAAAATCAACAAAAATTTGGAAAAAAGAAAGAAAAAAAAACTGCTGGCGAACAGAGCAACAAGACCAAGCTCTGTAATTGATAGGTTGATCCAATTGTTAGGTTTGTCAAATAATGCCGAGTTTGTGCGACTGAACTTAGTGGAACAAGTCGATTATATTAATTTTATGTCATACGTTTTTTGTTTAAATAATTTTTTCGGGAATAAAGCGTGACATTAGGAAATGCAAGAGACTATATACTACGTAATAGCATCAGAAGATTGATAGACAAAGCCCAAACCAAGTACATCAGAGGTATCCTGACCACTGAAACCCTACGCTCGGAACCGAAACGCTTTTGGTCTTATGTTGCCCACAAGAAAAAAGACCATAGCGGAATCCCTCCATTACAAACCACCACTGGAGTCTCTTTCGACGGAAAGAGGGTCTGTACCACCACCGTAAATTGCAGTGGGCCTATCATCCTCCGTGAGAACTGCACCCTCCACCTCAGATGCACATCACCCGGCTGGGGAACATCATCAACAGGAAGAGGGTCTGTACCACCACCGTTAATTGCAGTGGGCCTATCATCCTCTGTGAGAACCGCACCCTCCACCTCAGATGCACATCACCCGGCTGGGGGAACATCATCAACAGGAAGAGGGTCTGTACCACCACCGTTAATTGCAGTGGGCCTATCATCCTCTGTGAGAACTGCACCCTCCACCTCAGATGCACATCACCCGGCTGGGGGAACATCATCAACGAGAAGAGGGTCTGTACCACCACCGTTAATTGCAGTGGGCCTATCATCCTCCGTGAGAACTGCACCCTCCACCTCAGATGCACATCACCCGGCTGGGGGAACATCATCAACGAGAAGAGGGTCTGTACCACCACCGTTAATTGCAGTGGGCCTATCATCCTCCGTGAGAACTGCACCCTCCACCTCAGATGCACATCACCTGGCTGGGGGAACATCATCAACGAGAAGAGGGTTTGTACCACCACAGACGATTGCAAGAGGACATAATTTTGATTCGCCCGCTTTCACCAAATACATCAGGTTTCCAACAGTAGATGTTAAGCTCGGGCAACGGCGGTCCCAGCTCCCGGAGGCAATCTCTGGGGAAGCTTTTCATGAATATTTGGAAGACATCAAACGAGAAAGAAAACAAGAACAACAAGGAAAGATAGCTCGGCAAGAAGAAAGGATGAGGAAGAAACAAAAAAGACAAGAACAATTAAGGGTCAGAAAAGAAAACAGAGAAAGGGAAGATGAAGAAAGAAGAAATAGAAGAGCAGAAGAACAGCATCAGAAAAATGATAAGAAGCTGATGTAGAAGAAATAAGACAGTAGAAAGCAGAAATCAGAAGAAAAGACCAAAGATCAAGAAAGTGAGACAAGAAAGAAGACGGTAGATGAATCAATGAATAAAGAGCATCAGACGAGGGAAGAAAGTGAGAGAAGGAAGGCAAATTCAGAACAGCAGAGCAGGAAAAAGAAACGAAAGGCAGACGGAATTAATGAGCTGGGCAAAAAGAAGAAAGAGTCTTGTACAATAGCAGCAGCAAAGCAGAAGAACTAAACTCTCACTACAAATCCATCTTCACCGTGGATGACCCAACTGTTAAGCCATCCTTCTTCTCGGCCCCATATCCATTGACCCAAGAGAAGTCATGCAGTTGATGCAAGGTTGTTAGTATTTGTGGTATTTTTATTGCAGTGTCCTTAAGAATCATGGCGTTTCAGTTTCAAATTTTTGCTGGATTATTTCTTCTGTAAATATAAAAAAAAGAGATAGTGACATGGAGGTCTCCAATTTTTTTATTCCGGTGTTTTCGAGGATTATTGTTTTTCAGTTTCAAGTGTTTGCAGAATTAATTCTTGCGTGACACAGGTCCTTGTGAATATAAAAGAAGAGATAGTGACAACGAAGCCACTCGCCTCCATAAATTTGCTTTGCTACTCCACGGCTGGCCTGAACGTTGTTATCTCTTCCTTGATATTTAAAAGGACCTGAATTTTAAAAAAATGAAATTATGCTCATACTTATTTGAGAGCTATCAAATACTACTAATAACAAGATGGATATCTTTATGGCGCACATATTCACCACACAAGATACTCAAGGTTCTCCAATATCATTTAAAGGTAATACAAAGTTTTGGTGTGGGGTCGTGACTTTGGTTCAAATTCACATATTGGAAGCATATGCGATCCTACAATATTCACTGATCGTTGTCGCGGTCAGTATTGACTCTAAAGTTATGAAATTGTAAATAATGAACACTTTATGTTGTATAGCTTCCTCTCAAGGTCAAGATATTAATTAAGCTATAAAACAATGTTTCTGGACTAAAATCGACCGATTAGCTATTCCCGTTCGAAAATTATATACCACAACTACATAATCTGAGATTTTCATGGTCGCAGCTACCATTGTACGGCCGTAGGAGCTATTTAAAATTTATCAAAATTTACCGGGAGCACCGGTAAATCTTTATATTCAATTTTTCTCGAAAGCAGAAGTGTTTTAGGGGCTAAAGATTCTAGTGTTTTTAATACATCCACAGGGGCATCCAAATATATCAAACTTTTAAAGAATCACTATCCACCCATTTTTCAAAATTTCCCAAAACTTTGTAATACCTTTAAGCTGTAGCTAGGCTACCAATTGGGGTGTGCACAGTATTCAAGGAATTCCTTCCTTCCTTCCAGTACCCATTCAATTAACACCTTGGTGGAGTATGGCATATGTAGATTATGTTTTGCCAAATGACTCCAGCTGGGGCTCAAACCCACGACCTTCACATTTCTAGTCAAGTGTATAAACCGCTTGACTATGATATCTCTACGACACACAGCTGAAAGAGCTCTCATAATAGATGCTATCTTTTCTTGGACCTGTGAATAGTGATCGTCCTCTTTGCTGTCTCGTTGCGTTCCTGCTTGCGTTCCTGCTTGCGTTGAGCTCTGAAAACCTGGCAGACCCATTTGCCTGATCTCTCCTTGTAGTTATGAATCAGAGTATCCAGGTCCATTGAAAAGTGATGTTCTCCATTCTGGGGTATAGCAAATTGAGAAGCATAACACAACTCTGAATATGTGGAACCATTACAGATTTTATATCCAGAACATGAAAAATGCTAGAATGAGACAGAATAAATTTAATTTCTACATTTGACATTTTTACAAATTTGTTAAAGGTAAAGGCCAGTTATGGAAACGCCCCCTTCTCAAAAAATGAAATGGAAGCTCTTATTACCAATCATGTGAAAGAATATGTTTTGAATAATACGTGATGATACAAATTTTGCAGAGAAGCCGCCTACTTATTGATATATTTGGTAAATTAGTATTTGGACCTGATAGATATAACGTACGTGAACCAATCTTGGTCATTTTTCTCTGTATTTTTATGGAATTTCGTAGAAAACTAGATTATTTTCCTAGACTTCTAGTGAAATCTGCTTTAAAGGTACTACATGTATGTCCCATTTGCAGTCCCAAAAAAATGAAAAGGTTAAATTCCAACGGCATTTGAAAGATAATACTAATTTAGAACTTCCCTAAAAAAAAAGGGGGCTTGAAAATGTCTTTAAGTGGGAAAATAACGACTAATAGTTGTCGAATCGACTTAAGAGCTATAGAGCCAGTAAGTAAGTCTGATTTTCTGACTATTGTACCGAATGGTCGTACGTTTTATGCTGCGCAAAGATTCAATCAGTTTAATTTTGGCCATTAAAAGAAGTGGGTTATTGATGTAAACAAATGCTCATGTACCCTTTACAGCTCATTTTATGTATGTTATTACCAAAGAAGAAAAAAGCCAGTCAGTCACTCAATAGCGTCTGACAGTGAAGTCTAGCAAGTAAACAGGTTTCCTTGCATAATTTGAATACTAGGACACTGCTAACATTTAAAATTTCACAGATAGGACATACATGACATATTCATAATTCCTGCAAAGTTCTACAGAATTTGATGTTGGCTGCAAAAGGGACATAGTATCTTTAATGACCGCCTGTACAGAAAGAAACCTGTCTATGAAGGCTGCTTTTTCTGCTTTCCTTGATAGAATTTCTTGTTGAAATGCACACATAAAAACCCTGTACCTAAAGACCACGGGCGGTATTCTGAACCCTATGTTATCTCTAATATTGTTGTATCTTTGAAGATAAGATAAAGTTGGTATTCTGAACATTGTTGTAACTTTTGTGTTATCTTTTGTTGTATCTTTTCTCTCATCTTATTGGCCGCGCCTGCGCTCATACTTTGGTGCGCTTGTAATTGTGCGTATTATTAATAAAGTGGCATTTAATCCTCATTTGCATATGCGCACGGGAGATAATATGTCGAGATAATTGGTTTTCTGAAAGTTGTTGTATCTTTTATCTTATCTTATCTTGCATGGTATTTACAACAATATTTACAACAGGTAGGGGGTTGTTGTATCTTTCGTGGTGATATAATGGCGGCAATATTTTCTGCCCAGAACCAACTTCGTGCCAATAGACGAGTTAGAAGAAGATTGGGTGTTGACCGGACACATCACAGATGAGAACTTTCTAAGATATTACATGCTGGGATATGACGATTTTAATGCTTTCATCTTAACCAATATAGTGAAAGCGTGATTTGTCTTCATGATCCACATTCAACAGCGCATAATGATGACGCGCGTAATAAGTGCTCAAATAACTAATTACGCCCAAGATTAGTATGCGCTAGGCGCATCTTCAGATATGGCATAAAGTATTCCTATTGGTTGACCTACTTATCATGCTTATATAAAATAAATTTTGATTGGTAGGGTCCATAAAAATGGGCGTGTCATCAATGGTCAAAGATAAGATAGAGGCGGTCCTTCAAGAGATAACACAGGGATAAAACAATGTTCAGAATACCAACTTACAACAATATCAGCGCTGTGTTATCTCTGGAAGATACAACAAAAGATAACACAAAACTTACAACAATGTTCAGAATACCGCCCCACATGCCTATAAATCCCTAGTTGTCTGCCTTAAGCAGTCTTTCACTGCAGCAACTTACCTCATACCAGTCACCAGGCATCCTGAACGTCTTCAGGAGGCGTCCAGTCGGGTTGTCATGGAAAGTCACATGACCTACATTAGAACATAAATCATCAGCTTGAGTTGCCATGGAAACAAACAAGATATCCAGGTCCGCTTCAGAGCCCATGTTATTGATCATCTACAAAAGGGAGAGAGTTGAATTGAGTCATCAATCAGGGTTGGGGTTCCATAAGCTATAAAAATTAACACATTTTATTGACAAAGAGTTGATATCAATCGCAACTATGTACATAAGAGATAGGAGATTGTAAACTTGCGATTGAATGGACTTGCAATTGATTTGGATCAATCAAAACTCTTTGTAAGATGGGGCCCAGATTGGTTTTTATAACTTATAGCAAAAAACTCATGAAAATTTAAAGAACAACCCCATTATGGGGAAGGGGGTCTATTAGATAGATTTTTAAATGCATTTGGTGGTGCAGATTCTTTTTCAAATAGCCATCCTACAAGATTATGTAACAGGTTTCAGGAGCAGAGAGCACACATCTTTGTCATTTTATTTCCGAAACTCCTTGCCATTCAGTTACATGCAAAGTTTTGCCACTACAGATTAGAGAAAGAGATAGATAGAGAGTTTACCAAGTCTTTTCTGAAAGCGACTTGAGCAACATGTAATCAGTTACCTCTTCACTGAATGCCACATACATGGAGGCCTCCTCATCATCGTCCCCAAACCAACTCTTTCTATGTCTGATGAGTCTACCACTGCTTGACAAGGTGGTACCCATTTCCTTCATTTCTCTCTCCAGCTCACGATCATCGCGGTAAGGCCAGGGCGATATCACATGGTCCTGGACTAACTCGCTCTGACCGTCTTCATGCTGCTTCAATTTCAATACACTGCAGGCGAATAAAAATATCAATTCTATATATCCTGTTTTGTCAACGTTTGGCACTGTTTGTATACATGTCAGATAAAACATAATTCACTGACATATAATCCAACAACATTTGCTTTAGGCCTTATTTCATCAAAGATAAAGGAAGGGCTCAAAACTAGCTCAAAATCAGAGTCCAGACCCCACATATTTCAAAATATTTACATTGGGCTCATACATATAGACTTTAAAAGTCTAATCCGGACCCCATTTTCAAGCCCAAGTACAAACTACCTAATTTGAGCTCCTAAAAAGGAATTATCACTTTACTATAAAACTCATATGATAATAATAATACTAATAATATTCCACTTTTATATAGCGCTTTTAATACATCTATGATATCTCTAAGCGCCTTAAACCACTCGGCCACAACAATCTTACACATTATAGCCTGGCTTTTCATATCCCAAAATAGTGACTTCAAGTTTGAGAAGAAGTAGTAAAGGTAAACATCTAAGAAGACTCGATATCTAAAACTTTTTATTCCCCCCCCCCCCAAAAAAAAAAAAAATCTAGCAATTCATGATCTCAGATTATAGTGTGTGTTTGTGATTGTGTAAATTAATGGAAACTGAAAAACAAGACAAAGCAAAACAAAAAACAAAATATAATACATGTAAGCTTTGGCCCAGTTGCTTTACAAATAATCTATTTCAAATGAAATGTACCTCATTGAACGCATCTTAGTGTTGATGATCCGATCTGAGCCGTCAGTATGGAAGAAAGATGTTGGCATACCATGATCAGCAGCCACGATATTCCGTTCTAATGTTCCATTTATAGCCTGAAAGCAACGCAAGACGGGAACAAACAGAGATAATTTCTGATCCAAATTGGTCTACTACATGTATATCTGTAAAATGCTTGGAGACAGAATTAAGTAACTAAATCAAGATTACCCCTACAATTATTATTTTTATCTATCATCATCATCATAATCATCACCACCATTATGATGATTGCAATCAGAAGGAACTGAACAGTCCATTAAGAACTATGGACATTGATAATGATAATTTGCATAATGTCATGAATATTCACTAGGAAAAAATGAGTCGAATCAAAGTGTTAGGTAGGTCAGAAAGAAGTGGGACAGTAAATGCAAACTCCCAAGAAAAGATACAAACAATGTGCTTAGATTATAAAACATGTCATGCCTGCCAAGGAACTAAACACACCTTAGATGCAATAAGTAGATATTGTGATGAATCTACCATCTTGAAATTACTTCTTGCTAAAGACTAATAATAAACTAAAAATCCTTTGATTCTTGTGCTGCCATTTTGAAGGTTTCAATGTATATGGAATACTTACCTCTTTCTTGTTTGCTAGGCTGTAGACCTTGATCACTCTAGGATCCTTCCTATTACTCGCTGGAGGTGACATCATGAAATGCCAGGGGAATCCCCCAAACTTCACATCATGGTCATAACATCGGACCTCAAACAACACTGCTGGTTTCTCTGGAGTCAAAGGGTTAAATGGATAAATATAAATGATGCTTAGGTTACATGTTTTTCCTGGTAGGAATGTACATATGAATTTGAATACAAGTTTCTCCTAACACAGCCCCTCTTCAGTTACTTTTTAAAATGACATTAAATTGTAGGTTTTCCTGATGTACATATCGATAATGGATTTTGCTCTTCAATGCTCTATTATCAAAATTAGAAAAAGAGGTATCATAAAATTTTAAAAAGTTACAGGAAAGGACAGCATACAATATTTCTGAATCAGGTTGTACGACAGATGCTCCGGCAACAATCCCTCTGCATCAAATTCCTACATTAACAGAGTTCCTAACTTCAACCCTGGACGAAACACTATAGCTAATCCTAACCCTGCATCTAACCTAAAACAATTGCAATGTAAATCCTTACCCTACACCTTTGACAAAATGAAGCCTGGAGCAATTGTCACAAAACCCTGAATCATAAATGTGCACTTCAAAATGTGAAAGAAAAATGGATCACAGAATAAGAAACAAAACAATTTGGGAAAATGGAAGATAACTGTTCTCTTACCTGTTAATTTGAGAGTGATAGGGATACCAAGGGGGGCCTCTCCTATCTTGCATCCGCCTGCTTCACCGTTTGGAAAGTCATCACCTAGTCTGAGCTTACTGGGATGCTGCATGTACAAAGGATGCAACGATTGACAACTATAAAACCTCAGGGAAGTCGTTGTTCCTAGAAAATTATTACTATTTCACCTTGCAATCCATTGATGCATTGAGAAGTAGAACCAACATTTCTGAATGACCAAAGATATTCCATTTACTGTGGATACAGATCTGTGCAAGTATGCTAAGAAATGGACAATCTGAAAGATATGTAACAATTTCAAAATAGATTATTCGAAACTGAATGTTCTCATTAACCTACTGAGTACTGAGCTTAGTAAGTTTAAATAGCAGGGTAATGTGGTAGGTGCCCCCCATACACAATACATGTGAAAATTTATTCGTGCATCTTTACAAGTATAAGACAAAAATGTTTCTAACTCATATGCTATATAAGTCATTGGTTATTCATAGCATGATGATTGATAGCACATTATACAGTGGACATCTCTTTACAGACACGGTATGTATCTGACTGGTCCATAAATCTTACCTCCTCTAGTATTCTCTCAAAGCTGTATAATCGGACGATCCCTCGTTTGTGAGATGTGTAGAGCATGTTACCTCCGTATATATGAGCACCAGTAGTGTCACTACCAAACACCTGGTTAGAAATAAGCATGAGGATGAATTCAATTTTGATTTTATCTATATACACATGAGGTTTACCTGAACATACCTTTTTACAAGCGCTCAAGTCAGATCACTTTTAACACATGAACATGGGATAAGCATGATTTCAATCTATAAACATGCATGCATACATAGGGTCAACCTGAAGGTAACATCACACAAGCACAACTTGTATCAATCATAAGTACTAAAGAGCTATTAGAGACATATATAATTCAATCGCAACACCAATACAGCACCTTCCTGTGGAATACATACATACATGAATATCTGCAGAACACAACTTGCAATGAAATTATCAAAGGCAGAGAATTCAGGATGAAAGAAACATATGTCACAACTATATTTTTGACTATCAAATGTTTCATCCCTCCCCTGGATAATGGGTACATGTACTGTACATGTATGGGACAGCAATAAGGATGACGAGCACTCACCCTCAAATCAATTTCCATGCATGCTTTCAGCTCTAATGGATAGATAGTGAATACTGCCATTGTGAGAAGAATATTGGATTGGACATCTGCCTGAAAAAGAATACCAAAATAACAATATTCTTTTAATTTCCCTTATTCTTAAACACAATTCAAATGACAGACACTTCTAATTTCTGCATCTAGAATGCCCTACATTTCTACTTCTTCACTGAACAATGAAAAAGTATTCACATTCATATAATGTTGATTTTTTATATTTTTTAATCAATTTTTTGTTCCATGTTATGTTCATAAATTATATCCTATTTCATTTTAAAGTGTATTCCTATCCTCTGCTTTATTTTATATGGCTTTTTGTCAGGTTTTCTATACACATCTTTTTAAATATTCATATAATGTTGATTTTTTTTTTTTTTTAATTAATTTTTTGTTCCATATGTTCATGAATTATATCACATTGCATTTTAAAGTGTATTCTTATCCTCTGGTTTCTTCTAAATGGTTCTAAATAGTTCTAAATGGTTTTCTCCACACATCTTTTCAAATAGGGTTTTTAGTATATTCTTTGAGGTGGTAAGCTATTTACATTTGGAGGACTCAAAAATAATAATGGTTACTTACTGCTCTCATTAATGAGGTAGTTTGTGATTTTGTGGTTTCGACAACAAATGAAAACCCCTCCTCATTCCAATCGAGATAGCTGCAAATGAAATGACAGATTAAACGACTATTAGAGAAATGGGGATAGCCTGAATAATGGCGACAACAGCATGGATGATGAGAAATACAATAATGACTACTGTTAATTTCAGTAAAGGTAATTGCAAAGGAAATAGATATAATTAGTCAGAACAGAGGTACAGTCTATCAGGGAAAAAAAGAATAATAACAGCAGGTGACTGCTATGAGGTAGAAATGACAGATGAAAAGACAGAAGAAACAAAACAGTAATTAAAGAATAAAGGGAATTGAAGAGAGTTGAAAAGAGTAGAAGAGAGTAATATTTTTTTTTTCTACCACCTTATCCCACTAAACAAGTCTGTTTAAAGAATAGACCAACTAGCAACCTACCCCCTTATCCCACTAAACAAGTCTCTTTAAAGAATAGAACAACTAGCAACCTACCCCCTTATCCCACTAAACAAGTCTGTTTAAAGAATAGACCAACTAGCAACCTACCCCCTTATCCCACTAAACAAGTCTCTTTAAAGAATAGACCAACTAGCAACCTACCCCCTTATCCCACTAAACAAGTCTCTTTAACGAATAGACCAACTAGCAACCTACTCCGTTATCCCACTTAACAAGACTCTTTAAAGAATAGACCAACTAGCAACCTATCCCCTTATCCCACTAAACAAGTCTGTTTAAAGAATAGGCCAACTAGCAACCTCCCCCCTTATCCAACTAAACAAGTCTGTTCAAAGAATAGTCCAACTAGCAACCTACCCCTTTATCCCACTAAACAAGTCTGTTTAAAGAATAGGCCAACTAGCAGCCTACCCCCTTATCCCACTAAACAAGTCTCTTTAAAGTATAGGCCAACTAGCAACCTACCCCCTTATCCCACTAAACAAGTCTCTTTAAAGAATAGACCAACTAGCAACCTACCCCCTTATCCCACTAAACAAGTCTCTTTAACGAATAGACCAACTAGCAACCTACCCCCTTATCCCACTAAACAAGTCAGTTTAAAAAATAGACCAACTAGCAACCTACCCCCTTATCCAACTAAAGAAGTCTCTTTAAAGAATAGGCCAACTAGCAACCTACCCCCTTATCCCACTAAACAAGTCTGTTTAAAGAATAGACCAACAAGCAACCTACCCCCTTTTCTCACTAAACAAGTCTGTTTAAAGAATAGACCAACTAGCAACCTACCCCCTTATCCAACTTAACAAGTCTGTTTAAAGAATAGACCAACTAGCAACCTACCCCCTTATCCCACTAAACAAGTCTGTTTAAAGAATAGACCAACTAGCAACTTACCCACTTATCCCACTAAACAAGTCTGTTTAAAGAATAGACCAACTAGCAACTTACCCCCTTATCCCACTAAACAAGTCTCTTTAAAGAATAGACCAACTAGCAACCTCCCCCTTATCTAACTAAACAAGTCTGTTTAAAGAATAGTCCAACTAGCAACCTACCCCCTTATCCCACTAAACATGTCTGTTTAAAGAATAGTCCAACTAGCAACCTACCCCTGCCCCCCTCCCCCCCCCCCCCCCCCCTCTTAACAAGTCTGTTGAAGAACAGACCAATTAGAAACCTATTACCATCCCTGAAATTACTCACTTGTAGTTGAGCTGAGGGTGGAGGTAGACGGCCTGGAGCACACGTCCTGTGTTGAGATCGCATCTTTTTATCCACTTGTCTTTTGTGAGAGTAATGAGATGTGGTCTAGTGTCTTCAGATACATCCTCCTGTACAGGACAGCACATGGTCAGGAAGGACAAACACAGAAACATTGTCAAAAAAGGTGCATTTCAATATGCAATTTAGATACCGTAAATCTCTGTGTATAAGGCGCACTTTTTTGCCGCTGAAAAAAATTGAAAGCCGGGGATGCGTCTTATACCTGGCAATGTCTCCCATCTCAGTAATCATTGTATTGACTCACCACTCAGAAACTACAACAACACTCAAATTTGTCTATCATCCTGGTTTAAAAGTAATCTTTCTAATAGATCTCAATATGTAGTTTATAATAATAATTCCTCAAATTTTTTTTCTATAACAAATGGTGTACCACAAAGTTCTATCCTAGGTACTCTATTGTTTTTAATTTACATTAATGATCTTACACATTCTTCTAAAAACGACATTGTTACTATTATTTGTGACAAGTTCACAAGCACAAATCAGCACCTTCAACTGCACCTCGATGTTAAATGAAGGTCCTTCCCCGCGTGGGTTTTCGGCAACAAAACAACAACACAACAACAACAACAACAACAAATTTTTTTATTTTTTTTTTCCCTCCAAAATAGAGGTGCGCCTTATACACAGAGATTTACGGTAATAGCAAAACACAAAGAGAATGGATTCACTGGTGTGCATTGAAGTTTAACCAGCTTGAGGCAATGGAGGTTTCCATTTTTAATGAATACTTCCCCTGTACAAAGCAGGTCATAGAAGTTAACACAGAGAAAAAAAGTGTTGAAAATAACAAGTATAGCTTACAAAGAACAAAATTATTCCTCCAATGCAGTTCTATCTCACATTAGCACTTGTAGTTCTGTAGATAAAAAATGTAGCTGTAACAAACCTGATATCCAGTGAAAGTGTTTCTTGGAATTACACAGATAAAATAGGTAATTCAAAACTAGCCAGTATTAAAGTGAATATTATGCTATGTATGATAAACACCACCCCTCCCCGTACATACCGGATGGACATCACAAACAAGGGCACCTTCAATCTTGACATTGGCTGGACATTGAGGCAGCTTGTAGAGTGGTGAGGGCTTTCCATTGTAACCACACCTACATGTACATGCAGAGATGATGGAAATGAATGATAGAGGATGGTAGAAATAATAGTTCTTCAACAAAACACATTTGGCATGTTTTTTTAATTAGAAACTCACAAGTAAAAAGGGGTTATTCAGTAAAATCTGTCCTATAGCCAGGAAAGCTCAACTTCAAAACATTTTTTAACACAGTACACAGACTCTTAGGAGTTCAATCTGGATCCATATCTAAAAAAGTGGAGCCCATGAAGTTTGCTTGACCAGATCATACATGTACAGTACAGAGGGCTTGACGCTAACAGGCGCCCGGTATGTACATTGGTGCCTCAAATCGATGTCCGCCTGTCCGAACCCCAAAATGTTTTAATTTTGAAATAAGCATCCTAAAAAGATCTATCTGGACCCCCTACCAAGAAAGTTAGTGTGGAGCCCTGTATTTCATATTTCTTTTCTAAGTAAAGTAAGTAACCCATCCAGGAAAATATGAGCCTTGTTATGAGTCTTGAGTACAATGCTTGCACAAGTCTTGGCACAATGTGGGGAATCAGAATGAACAATTCTTACCAAGTATAACAATTCCTATAGCCGTCAGCATAGAGTCGGTTGCTGGAGCATGATATGAAGAGAGAGAGAAAAAAAAGTTGATGAGTCAGATCATTTGTATATATTTATATAAAATGGAATTATAACATTTTGTTACAATAATTTTTTTGTGCAGATTAGATGTTATTTCTGGGCTGTTTTACTTTTGATCGTCTACATGTACATGTACCTTACAAAGTTACATGTACATATCTCTGCCTCCTACAAAGTTCAAATTGATTAGAATCAGAATCGATCACAACTGTTTAAAATGTGGGGTCCAGCTGGTAATGTAAAATGTAAAATGTAACAAAACAAATGCTGATTAATTTAATCAGCAAAGAGCAATTTTTTCCACATTCTGTCCAGAATGCCATATTGTGGAGTGATACATACAGATCTATTAAACAAAGATCTTTTAACTAAGTCAAAGAATCTCATTTGAACATCCCCCTTCTTCTATCTGTGTTTCTTCCTCTGATAATTCTGAAGGACAGACAGTAATAATAATACCATGAAAAGCTGAAGTCGTACATGATTTGAGTAGCAGTTGAAGGTGAATTTTAACCCTAATAAGGCCGGGGGGGGGGGGGGCCATTATGGCCCCCCCCCCCCTCCACGATTTTTCTGATTGCTCGGGAACGCATATGGATGGCGCCCCGCCGCTCGTTGACTTTTTTCTTTCGAGTCTTGCGCAACTTTTAAAAGAATTTTTTTAAAATCAGACCTACGGTTACAAGGTCACATGACCTTTTGTCTTTGCATGTCAGCCTGAAAATCGCTCATTTTTGTGATTTGTGTACAAAACATATGGAAAAGTCATTTTTCCTAAAAACAGATCAAACATGGGTTATTGGGTCTTGTTTAAAGTTTAGGTGGTTGTTTTGGGAGTCAAAATAGTTGAATTGTAGTAAGAAATGAAATAAAACAACAAAAACAATGAAATACATAAGTTAAAAAAAACAATGAAATACATAAGAAATTATCAAAACAAGGGATAACATAAGGAATAAGCTGGCTCTTCCAAATTTTTTTGTTGTATTATTATTCAGAATGGTCTAATGAATATATGTAGTGAAAAAGAACGGTTTTTATGACTTTATTTGCATAAATTACAATAAATATGCAAATGAGTGAATTTTTCAAAAAATTGAAATTATCATATTATTCTATACACTTCACTTGAGATGCGTGCAAATTTCCGCGGCAATCGGCTGCTTCACGGCCGAGATCTTAAGGGGGGGCCATAATGGCCTCCCCCCCCCCCCCCCCCCCCCCCCGTCCGTACTAAGACTACAAATAGACCAGCCTTTTGAGGGTTAATTAAGTTTGCTGATATTGTGTCATAACTGTATTTCACATGAAGTTGTAATTTATATTTGTTTGTGTTTCAATTCTTACCTTTCATAAAATGTTGAGGTTGATGATTGCAATTCCCATATTTGCTTGAATTTAACATCATCCTGAGGAAAAACAAGAGTTTAAGTCTATAGTAATCCCAGGTCCACCAGGGATTTGTACACTTTAGCATTTTTATTTTGACTACTGTAATTAAAACACCAGTCTAGATATCAATAAAAATTGCTGTGTATCAAAATCTATCAATACTTCTCCAGGGGGAACAACATTATTTAGGCATTTTGTGACCAACATTCATACAGTGTGATTAGGACTGAATAAATACTGGGTACCCGGATCCGGGGAGGGGGGGGGGGATCAGAGAAACCCGTTTCCCAAAATCGGATGGCAATGAAGAGAAGGCCCCTTAAAAATATATGCAAATGTAGAAAGAGAACATACATGTACATGTAGGAGTCACCGCTTTGATTCAAGCAGGAAGAAAGAATCAGGCAGAAAATGGCATTCTAAAAAAATTTCTTCTTCACAACCTACTGATTCATAAATATTCATATTTGCTGCGCCAAATACTGCGCATATGTACTTCTTCTTCTTCTTCTTATCGAGTCACTACACAAGTCCCGTCCAGTGGTCCACACAGGCTTTGGCACGGCAATTAACGGCTTCCAGGTCATCTTGGGTGCATGGCTCTGGCAGGAGTGGGCAGACTAGCAGGTGTTCCATTGTCTGTTCCTGGCCGCATTCACATGCCGTTTGTTCGTCTCCTAGACCCCACCTCTGCATTAGGACTCTGCATCGACCGTAGCCAGTTCTTAGGCGGTTGAGGCTAAGCCAGATAGGCCAAGTCTCACTGGAGCCGGTTGCGAGGGATTCCTTCGGGCTGAGGGAGAGTTTATGTGGAGTTGTCTGAAGGTGGTTAGACCACAAAGTCATCCTTTGGTTGTGAGGGCTAGTATTAAGAGGCTCTACCGAGTGCAGAAAGCTGTGTCTGGATTTGAGCCGCTTGCCCACTGGCTGTTGTTCGAGGAGTGGGTGGAGTGGATTGTTTTCTTGTTTGTCCTTTTCTTTCTGGGACAAGACCAACCTTCTGACGTGTGGAGGGGCAATACCGCAGAGCAGGTAGATGTCTTCTACTTTAGTTGGCCATAGGCATCCAGTGATCGCTCTGCAAGATGAATTTAGAGCTGGGTCAATCTTGGGTGCATGGGCCGACCTACTCCATACTGGTGATGCATACTCCGCAGCAGAGAAGCAAAGCGCGAGGGCTGTCGTCCGGATTGTTCTGGCATCAGTCCCCCAGTTGGTGTTGGCTAGCTTCTTGAGGACGCTGTTGCGGGTTCCAACTTTTGCCTTTGTGTTGGCAATGTGGTTCTTGTAGGTAAGGGAGCGATCGAGTGTGACGCCTAAGTAGACTGGGTTGGGAGTGTGCTTCAGCCTTTTCCCATACCAGCTGATCCTTAGTTGATGGTTGGCATCCCTGTTCTTGAGGTGGAATGCGCTTATCTGAGTTTTATCAGGGTTAGCTCTCAGGTGGTTGGTCGCATAGTATGGGATGAGACCGGCCAGGGCATCACTGAGGGACTCCTCCAACTTCACAAACGACTGGTTCTGGGTGGCGATGCAGAGATCATCGGCGTAGAGGAAGCTCCTGGTGTTTGGGTGGATCGGTTGGTCATTCGTGTACACGTTAAAGAGTAACGGTGCGAGCACACTTCCTTGTGGTAGGCCATTTTTCTGTCTGCGCCATCTGCTGCGATTCCCATTGAGAACCACAAAATATCGCCGATTGGACAGCAACGTCTGGATGAGTCCAGTTAGTCTCACGTCCTTTGTCAGCTCAAAGATCTTCCTGGTAAGGATTCTGTGGTTCACGGTGTCGTAGGCAGCAGAGAGATCAACGAAAGCAGCTCCGGTGATTAGCTTACTCTCATACCTGTCCTCAATGAACTGAGTGAGGTTTAGGAGTTGGCCAGTGCATGATTTTCCTGGCCTAAACCCTGCTTGTTCTGGAATGAGATGTTCATCCACGAATGGGACGATGCGGTTGAGGATAAGCCGCTCAAACAGCTTATATGTATGGCACAGTAGGGAGATAGGCCTGTAGCTCTTTGGACTGGCTGGCTGCAATAACTTTGGATTTCCTCCAGAGCTTTGGGATGTTGTTGGTGCCCAAACATTCGTTGAACATTTTGTGAAGCCAGTTGAGGGCGCCTGGTCTAAGCTGTTTGATCTGCTCGCAGAGGATGTCATCAAGTCCAGCAGCTTTGTTGTTTTTCATTGCTTTGATGGCAGCAAGCAGGTCGTTCATGGTGAACGGTCTAGTGAAGCCTGGGTCATCTTGAGAGCTTAGAGCGTCTGGGACCTTAGGGAGTCTGGCCCTTCTGGGGTGATGGTCAGGGTTTCCCCGACCATTCAATAGGAGTTGATGGGCAACTTGGTCAGCAGTGACTTCAGATCTTGGTTGGGCCTTTGTATAGTCATTGCCCAGTATCCGGATCGTTTTCCATGCCTTCCTGCTGCTATGTGTCATGTCAGTGGATTGAATGAATACCTGCCACTTCCTCCTTCTAGATTCACCAATTTCCTTGGTCAGATTTTCTCCAGATTCCAGTGTCTCCTCACTAAAGGGGTCCATCTGGAAGTGTTCGATGTAGTCTTCATACATCACTTTGGAGTGGTCCGTCAAGCCTTGAATGTAGCTTGTGCGACATCCTCGGGGGATGTTACGCCTTGACGATTTCTTCATCAACTCTACAAAGGTGTCGTAGTTTTGGGGGGTGGCAGGTAGGTCCTGGATGTAGGAGTCAAAGTCCTTAGCAAACTTTTCCCAGTTTGCCTTCCTCAGGTTGAAACGACGTCGGAAGGGTACTGCTCGTGGAGTAATGACTGCATTAACCTTAAGCCCTATCGGTCAGTGCTGGGAGTGAGGGATTGGGTCGAGAATGACTTTCTCGCACTGGTTAGCAATCCTGGTAGATGTAAATATCAGGTCAGGGTTGTAGCCACGTCTCCACCTTGCACTGTTGAAAGAGGCAGGAAGCTTAGCGTCATGAATGAGGGACAGCTGGTTAGCATCTGCCCATGTCTCAACGAGTTCACCATCTTCGTTCATTTCTCTATATCCCCAGGAAATGCTATGGCTGTTGAAATCACCAATGACCACATTCATCCTGCCGTCAGTAGCTCTGCCAGGCAGGTCGAAAGGCTCTTGAGGTGGCTTGTACACGGAGCTTTCGGTGATTCCCATTAGGTCAATAGAAAGGACTTCAATGTTATTGATGTCTGATAGGTAAGATTTGTCCACAGCAAGACCATTACGGGCAAAGATTGCACTTCCGTATTGGTCATGTGGTCTCTCTGCGATGAGGGTCATTCCGGAGATACGAGGGCGAATTCGTGTAGGCCCGCGATGGGTCTCCTGGAGGCAGAGAATGTCACAGTTGGTTGTTATGCATAGGTCAGCCAAGAGTTCTTGTTTGGCGCCTGAACGACCTTCAATGTTGGATGAGATGATACTCAGGGCCGGTCCTGACAAGGACCCATGAGTTCGACCCTGGGCCTCAGCAACAAATTGGTCATCATTGTCATTGGTAGCCATGGTGTTGGTTGTGGTAGTTACTAAAAGAAACTTGAGTAGTGTGGTTGAAGGATTCACAGATTTTCATCTGACGGACCGCGACGTGAACGCTCCTTCAATGGCCCCACTGTTTTTACTGTTCTCCTACACTTAACTATAGTCTAGATACAGTACAGGTGATTGATCTGCAGTAACCTCTAAGTAAGCTATATGGTAATGCAGCAGAATTAATGATAGTCTATCGTATATATTTTGAGGAGGTATCAGCAAGGTAGACTAAACTATAAAAGTATTTTTTTTTAAAAGATAAAGACGTATGACATAAAAAGAATATAATCGAAATGTCCGACTAGGTTCCGTGGCACAAACTCGGCATTATTGGACAAACCTACCATTGGAGAAACCTAACAATTACAGAGCTTGGTCTTGTTGCTCTGTTCGCCAGCAGTTTAAGGATATGAAACCCCGCGGCACACTACTCACAAGAGCTCTAACAAGCCAAGCTTATACAGAGCCTAAAAGTAAAATAAAATAATACCGCGTATGTACCACTCGCCCAATCGATTCAAGAACAAATTATGATTAAGTTAATCACGTTAAACAGGAAAATATAAAAACAATAATTGAATAAATACCAAATTGTGAACTATAATAATATTATCAGCACTCAAACACACCCAACGCACATATCAGTACAAAGCGTAATATATATATCTTTACAAATCCAGTAATATAATTATTTATTATTATTATTATTCATTAATTATTTATTTATTATTCATATTATTTCATATTAATAGTAACATAAAATGTACATATTGTAATAAAGGATAATTCCTCTGCGCGTACTTCAAATAAAAGGCGCTGGCGCAGGTGTATATGCGCAATTAAAAACAAAGAAGTAATAAAACAAATAACAGAGTGCGCAGTATGTTGTCACTGACAACAGGTGTTTAGCTTTTTTTTATTATAATTTTTAAAGGGATAGTTGAGTTCTGTTTTCAGACCGCAAATGCCTTTAAAGTGCATGGTTATTGCTCTTATTTTTATCTATGACATTTCTAGTGCTCTTTTAGAACCTAAAAATTGCTATGAAATTTAGCCAACACGGAGATACTGTACCAATTCAGCTCCGCTTTCAAAAAAACACGGTGACCGTTAATTAATTAAAATGCCAACAAAAAAACCAACTTCGGCATTGGCTGAAATAAGACGTAAAAGGCGTTATTTCGTTTTTTTCCAACGTTTTTTCAAATTTTTCAAAATATCTAATATATGTGGTGGTACACAAGTATTAGAAATCGTTATATTTCAGCCGTCTCTGAACCGATTTTGATCAAACAAAGATGATTCTGTAATTTAAATATTATGTTCTTCCAAATTTGACAGTTTTTCATTATCTCACAAAAAAAATATTTTGTGTAGCGCTCTCTGTAACAGAACTCAACTATCCCTTTTAGAGGAGTCGAAAAGGAAGTAAAAATTGTAATTACTAACCGTTTACATTGCCCCAAAAATGTGACCCAACCCGCTGTTTGAATCGTTTTCAGAAACAGGCTCTGAAGCTCATCGGCATCAGCGTCCGAGCTCCCTGGAGTTAATCTCAGCCTAGACCGAAAGCTTCAGTCTCTGATGATATCAACTGTTGTTCCACCAGTAGGGGCGCTGGTTCGAGAATAAGGATCGTCTGGAAAAAACGAGGATCGTCTTCGTAAGCGCGGACCGATGCGTTCTCAAAAATAAGGATCGTCCACATTTTCGCAAACGTTTAATATTTTTGATCTGCGTGTTGGCGATGCGAAAACGGATTCTCCAATGATTTTCTTGAAGCATATTACATTGACTTTGTACAGAGACCTTCATATTATGAGTGATAAATCCTCAGGAAGACGGAAAACCTATTAAAGTAGACGGTGAACTAGATCTATGGTTATTCTTACCAGGAATCCATTTTTCGCATCACCAGCAGGCAGTTCAGTAAACCTTATTTGTGAGGACACATTTTGTCTGCGTTTATTAGGATATCCTCAGGCTCTAATTTAAGACGTAGTCCTATAATGCTCACCTTCCTTCATTCCTTCGCATTGGTCCGCGTTAAAAAAGACTATCCTCGTTTAAGAAGACGATCCTAATTCTCGGAGCAGCGCCGCCCCTACTGTGACACTGTCTATTTTGACAAATGTCAGTTTTATTAAAGAGTGACCCATACCTTCTGTCTAATCTCAGCCTACTACTACTACTACATGTAGATCTAGTACTAGTACAGGAACTGCAAGGAAAAGGCGCTATATTGAACAGGCGCGTAGCCAGGGGGGGGGGAAGGTGGGGGCAGTCGCCCCCCAAAAAAAAACGCCGGCCAAAAAAAAAGAGAGAAAAAAAAGAGAAGAAAGGAAGAGGACGTAGGAAGAAAAAGAATTTAAGAGTCGAGAACGGTACAACGAATTGTCTTCTTTCTCTAATAATTTAATGAAACGTCAAAGCTTCCACGCTTCGCGCGGGAGGTGGGGGGGGACCGAATTCAGATAAGGATTAAGAGTCGAGAACGGTACAACGAATCGTCTTCTTTCTCTAATAATTTATAAAACGTCAAAGCCTCCGCGCGGGAGTGGGGGAAACTGAATTCAGACAAGGATTAAGAATAAGAGTCGTTTGAGAATGGTACAACGAATCGTCTTGTTTCATTAATAATCTAATGAAGTGTCAGAGCTTCTGCGCTACGCGCGGAGGAAGGGGAACTTGTTTCAAACAAGGATTAAGAGTCGAGGACGGTACAACGAATCATCTTCTTTCTCTAATGAAACGTCAAAAGAAACTGAATGTAGATATAAGGATTAAGAGTCGAGAACGGTCCAACGAATCGTCTTCTTTCTCTAATAATGCAATGAAACGTCAAAGCTTTCGCGCTTCGCGAGGGAGGGGGGAAACTCCCCCCTCCCTGCACCCACCCCCCTAGGGAGCGCTTTGCGCGCTCTGTAAGTGATTCGCACGCTTCGCGTGCTCACTACCACCCCCCCCCCCTAAAATGAAATCCTGGCTACACGCTTGATATTGAATATCTTTTGGATTGAAAGGCAGGCGCCACAACACATCACACGCAGCACTCCATTGGCGTTGCAATCGAGTTTACAAGCCCATGGCATGCTGCCTGGCACTAGCACTATGCTCACGTCACCCGCAATCACCCGGCCATGCTCACCCAAGCCAAGGTCCCGATGACTTTCATCGGGGTTTTGGATGCACAAAATCATTCACCATTCCCAACTCCAATAAGAGAAAATATCGAGTAATATTGACCTACCTGACATATAAAGTTCCTAATGATTCGATGATTTGTCCTCGTTAGGTTTTGAAGCCGTCTTTCCTTTGATCTGACCTGCAAAACTGCATTACGTTGAGGTCTCATTTTTTCAGGAAGCCACGGGATAAATATGCAGTTTGTACATATACATCGCGAAATCTAGCTTGCGAATTGCCAGAAAAATTAGAAGAAAGAAAAATGTTCAAAATTCGCGCGCAATATAATATAGAGTCGAGGCCAAGTTTATAGAGGCGATGCGCGTAATACGCTCTCGATGTATGATTATTTACCCTTAATTATTATTATTACTAGTTACCTAGCTATAAGCATGGATTATTGATGCATTATTACTATTATTATTATCATCATTAACTATTATCAATTTTTTTGAACCACCATCATCATCATCATTTTTATTATTATTATCACTATCTACCTGGACGTTGTGTCAGGACAATAATTATATAATATTGACTGGCCTTGAGGGGTATATCAGATATATTGACCAAGCTCAGATCATATTGCCCCGAGTCGAAAGACGAGGGCAATATGGTCTTAGCGCGGTCAATATTTCTGATATCCCCCGAAAGTAAAGCCAGTCAATATTTTTATTGTTATCCAAATCAGACATCTAGAGCAAATACAGAAATCCACCATGACAATCTCAAGAACTGAACAAACTTTGTCAAACCAGCACTGTGCATCCAGTGCTTGACAAAATTTTCGATACACTGCAAACAGTGTGCATTTGGTGTGATTATATACGTCACAATAGAGTGCGCGCAAAGTGCGTATGTTCTCGTACGCATAATAGATGCGCAATGAAAATGAAACAATACGGCGCGCGCGGTCAATAAGAGATGTCCAGATGCGAGACCGTGGAAAATACCAAGGTATATTTTCACTCGTCTCTACACGCAAAGTCAATACGCGCAGGGAGACCAAGGAAAATACAAAGAATATACCCCTCCGTTCCCACTGCTAGTGAAAAATAGGGCAATACGGTTTTGTAAATGACCAGCTCAGATGTCTGATACGGGTAATAATACAAAATAATCAAAGATTTATGTTGGGCAATATTATAAGGGACAAATTTTCATGATTTGATGAATATTTTCTGTTTAAATCCAAACTCAAGCAAGAAGTCTTTATGTGTGTTAAAAGTGTCCGGACACCCACACCCCTATCTTCCAATCCATGGTTTTCTGGAAATGGGAATTGACAGTAAATCAAAAGTATATAATTATAAACCACAAATGGAGGGGTTGGGAGACATATGCTCATCCCTTGCGCCAAACGCAATCTGGCATCTACATTGCGATTGAAAACATGCTACATGTCCCCCACAGCCCAAAATGGGCCTCAAAATTATGCAATCAAATTAAAGGCCCTTAAAAAATGTGTTGCCCTCACTCCTCTCTAACACCCTCTCTTTCTCCCTCTCTTTCTCCCTCTCTTTCTCCCTCTCTTTCTCCCTCTCTTTCTCCCTCTCTTTCCTCTCTCCTTCTGTCTCTGTCTGCTACTTCAATCAAAGGTTAATGAAGGTTAAGTTTGCTTGTTAATAATGTGTTTTAAGTTCAACTTCATGACTCACTAAATGCAACAAAATAATGATACCACCACAGATTTATGAACACATTGGCATTTACTACATATCCCTGGAGCATTATTTTCAGCTTTGTGATTTATACAGAACCATTATGTACATATTGATGGATACATGCGACATAACATGTAAACTGTGATAACTGTCAATCCGAAATTTTCACAAAAAGAATTGTTTAAATTAGATACATACTCCATGGAACGATTCTACATTTACACCACAATTCCTTCAGCTCTATAATAAAAAAATCAACATTAATATAAATTGTAATTTAAAAATCTACAAGCAAACTAATTGTACTAAACCTAAAGCAGACCTGCCAACCTCTGGAGTTCAAAAACTGTATTCTTTAATCCCAAAAGTTGTATTTTACTGACAAAAATTGTACGATAGAAAACAAACACTGATCAATGCCTCAATTACAGTTACTACATACATGAAGAATTTTTGTTTAATGGATCATTGGTTGAATATGCATGATTTCGTCATGACTGGTGTGTCCGATGAACCAATAAAGATCCCCAAATTGCCGATGTGAGGTGCTTGTAGGATACTTTAAAGGACAGAATGGGCATTTTGCCATTGAAAATGGCACATACACACACAATTTATTTATTTTATTTTTTTTTTGGGGGGGGGGTCATATTTTACTGAGGAAAATTGTACTGTCATATTTACTTCTAAATATTGTACAAAATATGATTAAATCGTACTGGTTGGCAGTTCTGCTAAAGGGAATGAAGAATGAAAAAACAAACAGACAAATTAATTCATGACAATAAAGTGCGTTATGATGGAAAGCAGTTTTGACACATGTGAATGATATCAATGGGATATTTTTTATCTTAACATCATTGCATCCAATGATATATTAGTTTGAATAAAGTTTAAGCCCTCTCAGTGTTTTGGGAAGTATGCCAAAGAATACAGATATAAAAACAGACTCCTCTGCTGGCTATCAAAAAGTGACATACCGGTAGAGACACATGATTCTGATAGTCTCTGGTGTGTTGTTATACACGTGCATTTACTAGAACATACCTGTATGCTATTACACACTTTCCGATTAGCTTTTGATCGCAAACCTCACTCTTGCAAAACAACATAAAAGTAGTTGTCTCTTGTGTAGTGCTCGTGTCGGACACATTGTCACTCATAGCACTCCATTATTATTTATTACCCAGCTTTAGCACGGCTGCCACTACAGCGCTCAAGCATTTTAGCCTCTTAATTCCTGCTGGGTATACCATTTACCTCACCTGGGTGGAGTGTGGCAAATGTAGATTAATGTCTTTCCAAGGGACATTAGTGCTGCGAAAGGGATTTGAACCCCGAACCGTAAAGTTCAGTCCTGAGATTTATCCACTGGACCACAACAAGACTTCATACTATCATGGATATATTATGCTGCGTTTAGCTACTAGGAATTCAATGCTCCTAACAGATCTCATGTAGATGCATTGTTATCAAAATCATTCAAAGCTTTTCTGAATCTTAAAAACTCTGGATATCTACTCTCCATGTGCTTTCAAATTTAACCCTTTTAACTCGCTATCTATGTTGACAAAATTAATTCTAGCATAAATGTATCATGACTTTTTGCAATTTCCATACAGTGCAAATGTTTTGCCATATCAAAGGTAATGCAAACTTTGGGAAATTTTGAAAATTGGATGGATAGTAATTCTTTAACATTTTTATATTTTTGGATACCCCTGTGGATGTATTATAAGCACTAGAACATTTAGCCCCTAAAACACTTCTAATTTCGAGAAATTGAATAATCAAAAATTTACCGGTGCTCAAATAGTGCCTAAGGACATTCCATGGTAGCTGCGACCATGAAAATCTCAGAATATGCAATTCTGACATATAATTTCCAAACGAGAATAGCAAATCGGTCAATTGTAGTCAAGAAACATTGTTTTAAAGCTGAAGTAATATCCATCTTGAGAGGGCGCTAGACAACATAAAGAGTTTATTATGTACAATTTCATCACTTTAGACTTTATTTCAACCGCGACAACGATCATTGAATATTATGAAATCTCATGTGCTTCCAATATGTTCATTTGAAGTACTCCTGACCCCATACCAAAACTTTGTATTACCTTTAACAGTTTTGATGGAATTTTCATTTTTGTAAATGAAATTCAACTATTAATAATTAATCAATTAATCATGTATCTGACATGAAGTTATTCAAGTAAAACTTAAAATAATACTAGCCTATCATAAATTATTTTACATGCACCAATAAACTGAGTGACAGAGGAAGAAAGAAAGACAACTCTGCAGAACATACAGTATGCAACATCATACAAACAAACAAATGATATAGAGAGTCAGGTAAAAACAATAATCATGAACTACATAACAAACTAAGCATGCAATCTTGGATGAATATTTACTTTTAAACAATAGTGTAAGATTTCTACTGAAATAAAGAAAATAGTGGATGAAAATTGAGCAGAAGAATGTGTTATACCTATAACTCAGAGGAGAATAACACTTCCCATTTCCTTTAAAAGATTAAAAGATCATGTGAAAAATACTAATGTTCACATACAAAATTCTGTCTAATGCCTGAGTAATGAGGTACTGGTACATGTACAGTACATGAACACTGATCATTTATAGTTGGTTTTGTTTGCAACAGCTAATATTTCAGGATATATAAGTTTTTATCAAAATAAATCTCAAAATTTATATTTATTTAAACCTCCTTGCTTGATAATAGATTTTAAAATGTTGCTATCATTAAGAGAATATTTCATTGATCATCAAGACATCGACAAAGAGCTTTGCTTCTCAAGTCAATGTCAGTGACGATTCAAAATTTCTTGGATTGTGACCATCAGAGATCATGGAGCATTCAAAAATAAATTTACTAGGATTGATAAAAATGTGGTTAATTCACTCGAACTTCTGAAAGTTTAACAATATTTTACATATAAATACAAGATTGGACAACTGACACTACCATGTGGGCATTTTTCTTCTAAGATAACCATGTACTTGTACATATATGCCTACAAGTCCTGCGTCCAGACTGGTTGGTTATCTGGACAGTTGAATTCAAACAGTAATTGGAAGAAATTTTCAAGCAATATTTCATCTATCAAAGCTTATGTTGGATACTATCATAAAGGACAAACCGTTATGATGACTAGTGCTATTTGATGCATATCATGATCATATATGCTCTGGCCATTATAATACATCACAATAAAGCCATGTTTATGACAATTGCACAGAGTGACACAACATTTTGGAAAATTTATCCTTAGTTACATTAACAGGACTCTGGAAAATAAAAAGTAATGTTTATTATTCCCAAATAGCATGATGTGTCATTAAGCAAATAACTACCGTTGGTGAAGGTTATGGGACAAACTATCAATTCCAAGGCGATCTGGATGTAGCTATCTTTCCGAAGCGAAGCTGAAGACAGATAGTGTATTCAGATCGCCGAGGAAGTGATAGTTTGCCATCGCCTGAAACCAAAAGGCGATTATTTGCTTTATATTCCACATCAAAAACATTTCACTTCAGATCTTCCGACATTTTAGAGCAACAAGTCATCAACTAACAGCTAGCAAACGGTGTACGATACGTACAGTGCAGTTTGAGGTGCTAGAGCAATACGCAGCGTATACAATCAAAGTGCTTTGCACTGTGTAGATAGTAGCCTATCTACACAGTGTAACAAACTTTTTGCTTCTCCCAGCAATGATGAGCGAACTATCTTTCATTACGTGATTTACTTTTGACCAATCGTAGAGCAAGATTCTTAGTATGTGGAATATAATTACCGGTAGATATATCTTGCAAAATATCAATATGTATTAGCTAGGCAATTTTTATTTTTACAGTCATCAAAACATACAATGCCAGTAAACAGATGTATACTTGAGGTTTATGAGGAAATAACAGATATGAAAATATCTAAATATACACTGTAGCTGGGAAACTGGAATTTCAAATTCTTGATTGTTGAAACTCTTTGAAAGCCTATGACTAATGGACATGTGAGTCTTTTACATTTCCACTTACATGTACATGTAACTTGATGTCAGTTATACACAATAAAATGAGTAGGATTGGTACTTACCAATGGGCAATTCCACGGTAACGGAAGGACACTCAGACAAGATTTTTGAACTTCAGGTTCATACTAAAAGAAATGTTTTATAGTATGTATTAAACTATGGGGAACAAAATGTGTTTCAGTCAATTGGGAAGCTTCATCACCTTCACAAAGTTTGGATAAACACTAATTAACTGGAAAAACCATGTCCATTTTTATGTCCTTCCGTTACCGAGATAATTAATATGCACATTCTTAAACTACTTAACTATAATGACAATTTTTTGTGTGAAAATTAAAGGCACTTATATAGGTATTATATCCGTACTGTTTCACATCTTATACTAATAAAACAGTTCTTTTAGTATGAACCTGAAGTTCAAAAATCTTGTCTGAGTGTCCTTCCGTTACCGTGGAATTGCCCCAATCCTACCCAAATGCAGTTTAATGAGTTATTTAGTGCACAAATATGGTGTACACAAATACAATGTATAATTCTGATATTTTCACTGAGCCACATAATTATTTCTAAGCATAGTGATAGATTATAATAGCACAAGACTACAGCCATTTTCACCATGAGGTTGATGAAAATGTGCAATTGGCTGTCCATGTTTTAGTACAGGCTTTGGAACATAACTTTGGCATCTGTATAGAATATAAGTTTCATGAAAACACCAGTTTGAGGAAGCCTGGTACTTGTCTCTCTCCATAAAAGCATGACGTTTGATGTGTGTATAGATAGAACCCATAGAAGAAAGGCTGTAGGCTCCTTTACTGTGCAGAAAGTGTAAAGGTCGTGCAAACATCTTCAATAAATACAGCATAGTTTTTGTTTCTGTCAGCTGTAGAAACACAGTCAGGGCGCTATTCCTTGAAATTACACATCACTCTGTGTCGTCCGTATAGTCAAACATTTTAGCTGAGCCGCTGTGCGTTCTGAGATGGCGCACAGCTAGGTCCTTACGACTGAAAGCCTTGTCGCACACTGGACAGTTAAACGGTCTCTCACCCGTGTGAGTTCTGAGGTGATCCCGCAAATGGAAACGTTGACTGTAGCAGTTGCCACAAAACTCACACTTGAACTGTTTCTCCCCCGTGTGAGTACGCATATGCCTCATGGCCGAGTACTTGCGACTGAAAGTCTTTCCGCACGCATCGCAGCCATAGGGTTTCTCGCCGGAGTGCGTTCGCAGGTGGTTCCTCAGATGAGAGCGCTGGGAGAATGCAGCGGTGCACTGATCACAACGGAAGGGCTTGTCAAAGCCTTGAACTCTCTCTAGCTTTGGGAGGAGGTTTGCAATGGAGTTGGAACTGGAGGTTGAAGGGGGTGGTATGAAGGACTGATGAATCAGACTGAGCTTGTCATCGGCATGGGTCTTCATGTGCCTGTCTGCAGAGTACTTCCTCCCGAAGGTCTTGCCACATATGTCGCAGATGAAAGGCTTCTCTCCAGTGTGGATGCGTTGGTGAACTTTCAGATGACACTGTTGCCTGAAGGAAATACCACAATCAAAACATTTGTGTCTCTTATCCTTGGACCCTCTGCCCTTGGCTAGATGTTTAGCGTGACCTTGAGACCCTTCTCTTCGCCGGGAAGGTGAACGGACGGAAGGACTCACTAATGGGGTGAGTCGCTGCACAGTCTGCTGAGCGCTCTCGTGCTGCTTCACCTGCTTATCCTCCCCGTCTGCTGCATGGATCTTCATGTGACGTACGGCCGAGTCTAGACGAGCGAACGTCTTGCCACACACCTCGCAGCCAAATGGTTTCTCACCTGTATGTGTGCGGATGTGGGCTTTCAGGTGGCTGCGCTGCTTGAAGGCTGACCCACACTGCATGCATTTATGGGGTTTGTCATTTGCAGTGGTAGACAGACTGGCCATGGTTACAGTGATCTTGCCTGGGCTGTTGCTAGTCTGGAAGGCACCGTTCATATCATGAGCATCAGGGTAAAACATGATGGCATCACCGCAGTAAAATCCTAAAAAATAGATGAAATAAATGTCTATATTAATTAGTTTTTTGTCCAAGTTAAGAAACCAGGAAAAAAATTAAGAAAAAGGAAAATTGACAATTAAATTGATAGTTGTAAAATCCTTATGAAATTTAGAGGCAGAATTTCTTGTCTAAGCTACAAATAGACACTCAATGAATCACTATACATTATCAACCATAGATATGTCATTATAATTTGTGTCTCAAGGTTCAAAATTAAGGCTTATCCAACTGGGCAGCAAGTCCTCCCTGGAAAATGTTATGTAGCTGTGCAAAGTTACAGTACATTATCAAATTTTTGTCTTTACATAACTTTTGTAATCAAAGATATTCAGTTTCAAACCTTACCATCTCTCTCAAGTCCTGATTTCAAAGTTTGTTGTTGTGCCACTCCAGCATCAGCGATAGATTTCTTGTTTTCTGTAAGCACAATCAAGGAAAATTGGATCAACCACATGTACATAGTGTACATAAAATTTGTTTTGAAGTTATAAAGTGTACAAAAAGTGTATGAAATAATATCATCTTTAATTCAATAATAAGGACAACATATTATACATTTCTTACGATTTTCAGTCAAATGTATGTATATTGTTGTTCTTTACAATGCAACCTCCCAGTGCTCAGCCTCCCACCAAACAAAAATAATGGCGACTGGCTTTCAAAAAATACTTGTTGAATGTTTAATTCCATATATATATTTTGAGTTTCAACAAATAATTGTACGTAATTCAAAATTAGTTTGACTGTTATATTTGTTAATTTGATAATCTCCCTCTGCAGCAATACAATTTGTACATCCATGCAAGTATAATCAATCGCGAAGGTATGACCAGCTGATCTGACACTCTGACAGTACATTTGGATTATTCATTTTGTTTGATTTGATCATTGAAAAGTAGGAGAAAAGAGGATGTGGGAGACCCATATGCTCAGTTCTTCCTGAGAATGCCAAGAAAGGAAGGAAAAAAAACACAAGACAGAGAAAGATCCCAAAGGACCAAGAAAGTCCTTGGGGGGGGGGGCATTTCACAAAACTTGTCATCAGTGACAAATGACAGTTTTTGTTATTAAGCTACTGAAATCCTTGCTTCTGATTGGTTATTAGCAGATTTGTCACTGATTTTTGTCATTTGTCATTGAAACAAGGCTTTGTGGAATTCCCTCCTGATGGACATGGAAACCTATGAAAGGTGGCATGCTCTAGCCCAAAAGCAAGGGGCAACTCCCCGACAGTTATAGTAGTAGTGCTGCTTGGTGCAGTTGACGAAAGGAAACTCGTCAACTCAAGGTGAGTAAAGATCTAGTTGTACAAATAATGTGATTAAACTGCTCTAGCCTGTAGATGGCGGCACTTTTTTTAAACCGATCCTGCAAATTATGGGCGTTGACGGTAGGTATTCAGGTACCAGTAGTACAGTTGCAAATCCATTTGCATGAAAACAGCGCTAGATTTTCATTTCTAACAAAGAGGTTTCAGAACCTATAACTGTAAAATTTTACAAGCGATATCTAAAGGATTTATTTTAAACAATCGCTTAGTTTCATGGAGTTTGCAAAAAGGAGAAACCACCTTTAAAAATATATTCCTAGCCATAAATACTACCATTCTTGTTTTACTTCGGTAGTCCTTATCAGGTTTGACCCTTCTCCACTTGGATTATCATTCTTACCTTTCATCATATCAGCTTGAGGTGCAGAGGATTCAGAGTTTGATATTTTTTTTCTAGCATTGGACCTCACCTGACGAGGAGATATATACTGCACCTTCCCATCCATCTAAGACTTCTTTGTTTCACCTAGATCATTAGGGAGGGACAGAGAGACAGACAGAGAAAGAGAGACAGATAAAGAGAGGGAATAGGAGAAAGAAATAGAGATATAAAAAAGAGATAATAGAAAGAAAACAGGAGAGATAAAAATGAGAGAGGGGGGAGGAAAAATATAGTTACAAAATGTACCAGATTTTGACTTTCGAAAGCTTTTAATGTACAGAACTGTAATTTTGCTAAAAAGAATTTTGGGGATGAAATGTCTTTTCTCAAACATTTTGATTCCATATTTTACTGAAAAAAGCACTTTACATCAATCTAAATTGTACATTTGTATTTTGTTTTGCATGCTGGCAATGCCAAACGGATTCCGCATAATAAAATACCCCCAGTTCACAGTCTACTTTTATGGGTCGTCCGTCTTCCTGAGGATTTATCGCTCATAATGTGAGTCTCTGTATGGCTGTGTGACCAACGTTCGCGCATGACCTAAGTTCGCTATCTCAAAATATTGGTAAGATTTCAAAAATCTGATATCACCAACGGAAATAGGAACATAAACAAAGTTATCTCTGGAATCGGGTGTGAAATTATGAAAATATTGACAAAAGATCAGCAAATTCTGTGGTTATTAGCATCCGTTCCGAAAGAGTACTAACTTACCGATAAGGGTCTGGAAATCTTCATTTTGAGAGTAGATATATATCTTCAAAATTGTAAGTAATAAGTGATACCGACTGATTGTAAGATATCTTGCCTTGCAAATTATGAAATTACATTATTCTTTAGGGATTGTATTTTTGTATAAAGCAGATGTAAACCCCCACACGTGAAGTTAGGTCTCGTTGTTTGTTTTAATGACTTTTTTAGATGCAGCGCGCACGCACGATCGGACATCAAATTTTTAGATCGCGAAATCCTTTGACGATAAATTTTCTAGCTGAACCAATTTGTAGTAAAGTACTTTGCCATCCATTTGGTATTAATTAAAATAAATAAATTTGTGCAGAATATGAGAAATCATGGATCGAATATAACATTTTCTAATCTGTTCTAAAATCTCTGCGAACTTTGGTCACCCCTTCATACTAAGTCAATGTGAAATGCATCCAGAAAATCATTGCGAAATCTGTTTTCGCTTCGACAACGAGACAACAATCGTCCGCGAAAATGTGGATGATCCTTATTTTTGCTGACGCGGCTGTCCGCGTTTATGAAGACAATCCTTATTCTCGGACCAGCGCCCCCAACTGTTCATTGCAGATCGGAAAGAATTTGGAGAGAAATAAATCACAAAAACGGAAAATGGGAAAAAAAGTAAATATAGAATGAGCAATCATAACAAGTTAATTAGCTTGAGAAAACGTTAACATTATTCTGTCAAACATCCGAACGAGGCCTTTGCGTTCAGTTCGGTTCGGCTTGGAAGTTCCATGTTTATGTTCGGCGAACTTCCATTTGGTTCGGCGGTTGAGCTACAGCACTAAGTCTAAATTAACAATTTCTTCTTCTTCTTCTTCCTTTTGAGTACAGACCTCTTTACAGAGTATTATCGTACTATACTGGGGGTGTGTGAAGGTAGACCACTACACCTGGGTTTCCCCCTACTCTTATACGAATAGTGCAGTGGGTTCTTAACGTGCAAAGGTAGTGACTCTTCTCTACACGGGGCCTCCATTTAACGTCCTATCCGAGGGACGTAGTGTTTTCCCCTTGACATAACCTGCGTCTATGAACAAGGAAAGGGGCATGTTAACACACAACGCAGGCTTCAGTCTTCCGCCTGGGTGGGAGTCGAACCCGGGATCTTTGGTTCTACAGACGGACGCTTTACCGACTGAGCCAACTCGCCTCCCTATTTTGCTGTCCATTTAATAGTAGTTTATCGATATAATTTAATGTAGAATATCAGAAATCATAGTTTGAATATCACATCACATTCCTATTATCTTTAATATTCTTTCTTTTGAAATGTGCGCGAACCCATGAACCCATCCATCGCATCGTACACACCAAAACGCCCACGTAAATCCAACACATTTTCTAATGCTCGGGACTGAAACCAAAATAGTAGAAAGCGATACTGTACAAAAGACAGGGTTAATCATTAAAGAACGACAAAATACTACCGATGATTTACAATTCTAAATCTCACCTTAATTCTAGCGTAGAATCCGAAGGTAACAGATTATAATTAGACGAACATCGGGTATAAAATCTCTGTTTTTCCGAGAACAAAAGGTCGTGATGCTGGAAAACGATGGAATACTAACGAGCCAACAGAGGGCGCAATAGCTAAAGCGCCTCAGACTAGACGCGCTCGAGCTCGGGGTCGGGAGTTATAGAAAGCAACATCGGATCGGATGATATAAAAATGGGATGATTTTTTTTTTCTTATAATTTATTTCTACTTCACGCAGGTATCAGATTTGTACATGTATCCATCCCGATAATGTGCTGGGATAGTGACACAGTACACATTTTTTTTAAAGTAAAAAAATATTGGTCTTGTCCATGGGTGTCGATCCCGGGGGGGATGGGGGGGGGGGGGATATATCCCCCCAATATTTCAGGTGGGGGGGGGGGGGGGGGGATGGCCTGTACAATCATCCCCCCCCCCCGATAATTCACCATCAAAACAAAACAAAAAATGAAGAGAAAAATTAAGGATGAGAGCCCGATGAGAGTAGTTAATGGTTATTACTCGCAAGATGACCATCAATATACACATTTTGCTATCTCATTTTCATACGAAGTAAATAAGACAACCGTATATGAGACAAGAATAAATTGAATTCTCGCTCATACGGCTTCATCAGGAATTGATGAATTTATTCAATTTGTTCAATCAACAGCATCATAGAAATGCAGTGCGCCAAATGCAAAGACGCAGCGTCAAAAAGCAACGAGCTAAATGTTAAGCGCGAAGCGCAAAAATAGCAATCTGCAATGCACATCAGACAATCCTGGACAGTGTAAACATAGATGAACTCTGTGACGATTTCGTGATGAGATCGGAGACAAGGAGAAAGATTTTCGGACATTAGTATGACTCATAAAATAGTTCTCTAGTTGTTATGTTGTTTCCGTTCACCCTTTTTAAAATTCACGTCATTGTATCTTTATTTTTGTTTTTTCACTCATTTTATTTCCTGATATTTCCTAAAAGATTTTTCATTTTTGGATAAAGATTATTATGTCACAACTTATTTGTAACACAAATTATTTTCAGTGGGGAAACTGAATTCAGACAAGGATTAATATAGAGAACAGTACAACGAATCGTCTTCTTTCTCTAATAATTCAGTGAAAAGGGTAAAGCTGTTAGGGGGTAACTGAATTCAGACGTGGATTAAGCGTAATAATCAAATGAAACGTCAAAGTACACGATACAACGAAGCGTCTTCTTTTACGAATAATTTAATGAAACGTGAAAGCTTCCGCGCTAAGCGCGGAATGGGCGAAAATGAATACAGACAAGGATTAAGAGTAATAATTTATTGAAACGTAAAAGCTTCCGCGCTTCGCGCGGTAGGGGGGAAACTGAGTTTACGAAGGACACGATACAACAAATCGTCTTTTTTCACTAATGTGAAAGCTTCCGCGCTTCGCGCAGGAATGGGCGAAAATGAATTCAGACAAGGATTAAGAGTCGAGAATAGTACATAGGATCGTCTTCTTTCTTTAATCATCTAATGAAACATCAGAGCTTCCGCGCTACGCACGGGGAAGGGGGAATTTTTTTCAAACATTAAGGATTAAGAGTCGAGAATGGTACATCGAATCGTCTTCTTTCTTTAATAATCTGATGAAACGTCAGAGCTTCCGCGCTACGCGCGGAGGAAGGGGAACTTGAGTTAAACAAGGATTAAGAGTCGAGAACGGTCCAACGAATCGTCTTCTTTCTCTTATAATTTAGTGAAACGTCAAAGCTTCCGCGCTTCGCGCGGTAGGGGAGAAACTGAATTCATGAAGGACACAATACAACAAATCGTCTTCTTTCTCTAATGTGAAAGCTTCGCGCAGGAATGGGCGAAAATGAATTCAGACAAGGATTAAGAGACGAGAATGGTACATAGGATCGTCTTCTTTCTTTAATAATCTAATGAAACGTCAGAAGGGGAAGGGGAACTTGATTCAAACATTAAGGATTAAGAGTCGAGAATGGTACATCGAATCGTCTTCTGTCTTTAATAATCTAATGAAACGTCAGAGCTTCCGCGCTACGCGCGGAGGAAGGGGAACTTGATTCAAACAAGGATTAAGAGTCGAGAACGGTCCAACGAATCGTCTTCTTTCTCTAATAATTTAGTAAAACGTCAAAGCTTCCGCGCTTCGCTGGGGGGGGGGGGAACTCCCCTTCCCTGCACACAACCCCATAGGGACCGCGCTTCGCGTGCTCTCTACCGCCCCCTTAAATGAAATCCTGGCTACGCGCTTGGGAGGGGTGCAACTTGCCACACGCTTCTACCTCTTGATTGCTTTGATCCATTGCCGAAAATATTTTGGCACCTATCATCCCCCTCCCCCCCCCCCCCCCCAACCACGGATACAAATCGACACCCTTGAACACAAATGTCTATGTTTAAACAGAATGCCTACTTTTCTTTCGGATGCATTTGTTTAGTGTGTGAATACGTTTTTTTCATTGAAAGGTGACAGTCAATTTCGATTCCTACAAAATGATGCAACGGTTACCTCTCTAATATCTGATCTCGGATATTCCCACAGATCCTTTTTAGGCTATTCATCTACCTTTGGATTTCATAATCATAATATAAGCCTAGCTTGTTTTCTGTAGGTTAATTATTACTTCATTTGTATTACACCATTTCTGCACCGTGATTAATTTTCACTTCCAATCGCAACGACTCAGCTAGCCGCTGAAAAAGCGGGGGGGGGGGGGGGGGATCAATGTCGCTATTCATAAGGACCGCTATTTATAAGGTTCGCTATTCGTAAGGTCCACTATTCATAAGGACCGCTATTCATAAGGTCAGCTTTTCATAATTGGAGAAAAGGGTCATTATTCATAAGGGTCATTATTCATCAGGACCGCTATTCATAATCAAAGAAGAGGGTCGGTATTCATAATATTAGAAGAGGGTCGCTATTCATAATACGAAATCGGGGTCGTTATTCATAAGGGTCCCTATTCACAATATTACACAAGGGTCGGCAGGCGCGGATCCAGGATTTCTTAGGGGGGGGGCCCAAATTTGAAATTATGCGAGCCAAATATTGGTACGTAATGATGACCAACAGTGACGTAATGCGGAGGGGGGGGGTCGGTGCAGAGAGGGGCGAGTTTTCCCCCACCCTCCTCCACGAAACGCGGAAGCTTTGACGTTTCATTAAATCATTAGAGAAAGAAGACGATTCGTTGTACCGTTCTCGACTCAAAATCTTCGTCTGAATTTAGTTTTTCCCCGCCCGTGCGAAGCGCGAAAAATTTTACGATTTATTAAATTATAAGAGAAAGAAGACGATTCGTTGTAGAGTTCTCGACTCTTAATCCTTGTCGTAATTCAGCCCCCCCCCCCCGTCCTGCGCGAAGCGCGGAAGCTTTTACGTTTTATTAAATTATTAGCGAAAGAAGACGATTCATTGTAGAGTTCTCGACTCTTAATCCTTGTCTAAATTCAGCCTCTCTCCCCCTCCTGCGCGAAGCGCGGAAGCTTTGACGCTTCATTAAACTATTAAAGAAAGAAGACGATTCGTTGTACCGTTCTCGACTCTTAATCCGCGTCTGAATTTAGTTTTTTCCCCCTCCCGCGCGAAGCGCGGAAAATTTTACGTTTTATTAAATTATTAAAGAAAGAAGACGATTCGTTGTAGAGTTCTCGACTCTTAATCCTCGTCTGAATTCAGGTTCCCCCCTCACGAGCGAAGCGCGGAAGCTTTTACGTTTCATTAAATCATTAAAGAAAGAAGACGACTCGTTGTACCGTTCTCGACTCTTAATCCTCGTCTAAATTCAGTCCCCCCCCCTCCCCCTCCTGCGCGAAGCGCGAAAGCTTTGAAGTTTCATTAAAACTATTAAAGAAATAATACGATTCGTTGTAGAGTTCTCGACTCTTAATCCTCATCTGAATTCAGGTCCCCCCCCAAGCTTTTAAGTTTTATAAGATTATGAGAGAAAGAAGACGATTCGTTGTAGAGTTCTCGACTCTTAATCCTCGTCTGAATTCAGGTTCCCCCCCCCCCCTCCCGCGCGAAGCGCGGAAGCTTTTACGTTTCATTAAATCATTAGAGAAAGAAGACGATTCGTTGTACCGTTCTTGACTCTTAATCCTCGTCTAAATTCAGTTCCCCCCTCCCCTCCTGCGCGAAGCGCGGAAGCTTTTACGTTTCATTAAATCATTAGAGAAAGAAGACGATTCGATGTACCGTTCTCGACTGTTAATCCTCGTCTGAATTCAGGTCCCCCCCCCCTCCTCCCGCGCGAAGCGCGGAAGCTTTTAAGTTTCATAAGATTATGAGAGAAAGTAGACGATTCGTTGTACTGTTCTCGACTCAAAATCTTCATCTGAATTTAGTTTCTCCCTCCCGCGCGAAGCGCGGAAGCTTTGACGTTTCATTAAATTATTAGCGAAAGAAGACGATTCATTGTAGAGTTCTCGACTCTTAATCCTTGTCTAAATTCAGCCTCTCTCCCCCTCCTGCGCGAAGCGCGGAAGCTTTGACGCTTCATTAAACTATTAAAGAAAGAAGACGATTCGTTGTACCGTTCTCGACTCTTAATCCGCGTCTGAATTTAGTTTTTTCCCCCTCCCGCGCGAAGCGCGGAAAATTTTACGTTTTATTAAATTATTAAAGAAAGAAGACGATTCGTTGTAGAGTTCTCGACTCTTAATCCTCGTCTGAATTCAGGTTCCCCCTCACGAGCGAAGCGCGGAAGCTTTTACGTTTCATTAAATCATTAAAGAAAGAAGACGACTCGTTGTACCGTTCTCGACTCTTAATCCTCGTCTAAATTCAGTCCCCCCCCCCTCCCCCTCCTGCGCGAAGCGCGAAAGCTTTGAAGTTTCATTAAAACTATTAAAGAAATAATACGATTCGTTGTAGAGTTCTCGACTCTTAATCCTCATCTGAATTCAGGTCCCCCCCCAAGCTTTTAAGTTTTATAAGATTATGAGAGAAAGAAGACGATTCGTTGTAGAGTTCTCGACTCTTAATCCTCGTCTGAATTCAGGTTCCCCCCCCCTCCCGCGCGAAGCGCGGAAGCTTTTACGTTTCATTAAATCATTAGAGAAAGAAGACGATTCGTTGTACCGTTCTT